ACCATCACATCAATACACCAACTCAAATCATCACATCTATACACCAAATCAAACTATCACATCAATTCACCAACTCAAACCATCACATCAATACACCAACTCAAACCATCTCATCAATACACCAACTCAAACCATCACATCACATCAATACACCAACTCAAAGTATCACATCATTACACCAAATCTAACCATTACATCAATTCACCAACTCAAACTATCACATCAATTCACCAACTCAAACCATCACATCAATACACCAACTCAAACCATCACATCTATACACCAAATCAAACTATCACATCAATACACCAGCTCAAACCATCACATCAATACACCAACTCAAATCATCACATCTATACACCAAATCAAACTATCACATCAATTCACCAACTCAAACCATCACATCAATACACCAACTCAAACCATCTCATCAATACACCAACTCAAACCATCACATCACATCAATACACCAACTCAAAGTATCACATCATTACACCAAATCTAACCATTACATCAATTCACCAACTCAAACTATCACATCAATTCACCAACTCAAACCATCACATCAATACACCAACTCAAATCATCACATCTATACACCAAATCAAACTATCACATCAATTCACCAACTCAAACCATCACATCTATACACCAAATCAAACTATCACATCAATTCACCAACTCAAACCATCACATCAATACACCAACTCAAACCATCACATCAATACACTAACTTAAACCATCACATCAATACACCAACTCAAACCATCTCATCAATACACCAACTCAAACCATCACATCACATCAATACACCAACTCAAAGTATCACATCATTACACCAAATCTAACCATTACATCAAACCATCACATCTATACACCAAATCAAACTATCACATCAATTCACCAACTCAAACCATCACATCAATACACCAGCTCAAACCATTACATCAATTCACCAACTCAAACTATCACATCTATACACCAAATCAAACTATCACATCAATTCACCAACTCAAACCATCACATCAATACACCAACTCAAACCATCACATCAATACACTAACTTAAACCATCACATCAATTCACCAACTCAAACCATCACATCAATACACCAACTCAAACCATCACTAATACATCAACTCAAACCATCACATCAATACACCAACTCAAACCATCACATCGATTCACTAACTCAAACCATCACATCACATCAATACACCAACTCAAAGTATCACATCATTACACCAAATCTAACCATTACATCAATTCACCAACTCAAACTATCACATCAATTCACCAACTCAAACCATCATATCAATACACCAACTCAAACCATCTCATCAATACACCAACTCAAACCATCACATCACATCAATACACCAACTCAAAGTATCACATCATTACACCAAATCTAACCATTACATCAATTCACCAACTCAAACTATCACATCAATTCACCAACTCAAACCATCACATCAATACACCAACTCAAACCATCACATCTATACACCAAATCAAACTATCACATCAATACACCAGCTCAAACCATCACATCAATACACCAACTCAAATCATCACATCTATACACCAAATCAAACTATCACATCAATTCACCAACTCAAACCATCACATCAATACACCAACTCAAACCATCTCATCAATACACCAACTCAAACCATCACATCACATCAATACACCAACTCAAAGTATCACATCATTACACCAAATCTAACCATTACATCAATTCACCAACTCAAACTATCACATCAATTCACCAACTCAAACCATCACATCAATACACCAACTCAAACCATCACATCTATACACCAAATCAAACTATCACATCAATTCACCAACTCAAACCATCACATCTATACACCAAATCAAACTATCACATCAATTCACCAACTCAAACCATCACATCAATACACCAACTCAAACCATCACATCAATACACTAACTTAAACCATCACATCAATACACCAACTCAAACCATCTCATCAATACACCAACTCAAACCATCACATCACATCAATACACCAACTCAAAGTATCACATCATTACACCAAATCTAACCATTACATCAAACCATCACATCTATACACCAAATCAAACTATCACATCAATTCACCAACTCAAACCATCACATCAATACACCAGCTCAAACCATTACATCAATTCACCAACTCAAACTATCACATCTATACACCAAATCAAACTATCACATCAATTCACCAACTCAAACCATCACATCAATACACCAACTCAAACCATCACATCAATACACTAACTTAAACCATCACATCAATTCACCAACTCAAACCATCACATCAATACACCAACTCAAACCATCACTAATACATCAACTCAAACCATCACATCAATACACCAACTCAAACCATCACATCGATTCACTAACTCAAACCATCACATCACATCAATACACCAACTCAAAGTATCACATCATTACACCAAATCTAACCATTACATCAATTCACCAACTCAAACTATCACATCAATTCACCAACTCAAACCATCATATCAATACACCAACTCAAACACAACAACTTACTGTCCTATTCAAACAAACACACTAACTTACACAACCTTACTGCATTCATTGCAGTGTTTGTTACGTAAAAACATGTATACCTGGCTGTAAAAAGTATGCTATTTGCAGCTAGCACTTGCTTGTTACAGCTAGTGTCGGATTTTCTTCCAGCCATCTCATAGGGGTCGGAAATTTTAGTCCAACCCTCCCCGAAAATTTTAAGTGCCCCCCACTCCCCCGGAGAAAAAGGTCTGGAAGAAACAGTGTACGCTGATAGCAACTGGGTTATTCTTGTCTCAACTGGAGATATGCAGCTTGCAGCTTTCTGTTTGCTACTGCTGTGTGTATGCTACTGTATTTAGTAGCAACTAATTACAAACTATTTGATCCGATTAAACTTTTTTTTAAACTGTAGGAGCACTTGACGGAACACGTCACTGTACAGCCAGCAGGCCCGCCGGAGACGGCGCTAAAAAGGCGAGCTCCTCAAACTGGTCTAGAAACGCGAGTTCCTCAAGCAGGGCGGACTCTCAAACTGCAGTGCTGCTACCCCGTGAGCTCAAGGTGACATCATGCTGGCTAGAGACGCAGCGAGTAAATCTAACATGCTCAGACAATGACCATTGGGCTGGAGGATGAGCTGCAAAGTGTGAGTTTTTTCGATGGAAAATTTTAACTTCCGGTTGCCTCATTTGCATAAAAAAGAAAACAAATAAATATTAATTTTAAAAAAAATTAAAGCTCATGAATATTTTTCATTTACTTTCTAAATAATGAACAGGCAAAATATATTTCATTTTTTTAATGCTAATGAAAAATGAAGGAAGGAGTGTCTGGAATAGGCCTTCAGAGAGTGGATTTCTTTTGTTTAAATAATCCCCGAAAACTGTGGGCTGTAACTTCAGTTTAATTTCAATATAAACTGTCTTTAAAGGCCTTGTTCGATCGAGCTAATAATTAGATCCAGTGGCGTCGCTAGGTCGGGTGTCACCCGGCGCGGCACTTCGTGGTGTCACCCCCCCCCCCCTCAAGAAACAAAGTATATATATATATATATATATATATATATATATATATATATATATATATATATATATATATATATATATGTTACGGCCAAAGCCCGCATTGGCCGGCCAATGTGCGCATTGGCCGGCTCTCATGGCGAAAGCCCCGAAGAACTTAGCACTAAGAGGGACGTACTGGCCAAAGTCCGAAGCGCTAAAACTTTACAGCGTATTTTGTACATTGGCCGGCCAATGCACGCACTGGCCGGGATGACCTGGCCAATGTTCCATCTAGACTAAGTTGCGATCGCGTTTTCATTATTCTGGGTGCGGTTTCATTGTGAGTAACTTGTTGTTTAGCTCTTGTGGCATCAAAAAAAAGTAAAAAGTCACAGAAGATGGTCTTGCACTTTTGTGGCACTTGATATGAAATAGTGTAATACGTAATTCCATTGACCTATTTTTAGGCTACTTCAGTGAATATATTCGTGTAATAATATGTTATGCATTGAATGTAATATCTAATTCAGTGGCGAATGCGTGTAATTTGTAGGCTAGTTCCGGGCGTAAAAACTTCCCCACATCTCATGGCACCCCCCCATTTCGTGGTAACACCACCCATTTCGTGGTAACACCCATCTCATGGTAACTTTCCTATATTTCATGGTAACACATCACATCGCATGGTAACACCCCACATTTCATGGTAACACCCCACATTTAATGGTTACACCCCACAGTTAGTGGTTACACCCCACATTTAATGATAACGCACATTCACAACGCATGGTAACACCGCACATCTCATGGTAACACCTCATAGCCACATTTTACGGTAATACCCCCACACTACATGGCAATATCCCATATCCTCTAGTGGAAACACCGCAAATCCCCGTCATGGGTGGGCACTCCCCACCCATCGCGGTTCACCACATATCCATATCGACATACCAACACTCCCTTTAAATTCTAAGAAAGTAGGCTCGAGACATTTTAAAAAGCAGAATGTGTGAAAAAAAAACAACCTCAAGCACCTAGATCTACCTCACTTTTAGTTTCTTTTTTTTTTTCAAATGAATATATAATGTTAAGAGTGTGTAGTCGAATGTCCTGTATCATATGATAGGTTCGCTCTCATACATGCATTATAACCCTAAAAACTCATGTCGTCAACATACTCAATTTTTTTTAATTAAAAAAAATCGTCCATAATGCTTCACTTCCATCTGAGTGTAGGAAATGTCCCTGCATTTTGAAAGTGAGTCAAAAAGCTTCTCTGCCCACGCATCGTGTTGTGACGTCATGGAACACGCAATATTGATTCTCAATCCCACAAAAAATACAGCCTTTAAAATGCACATTGGAAACCGGAAGCAATGGCGATACTAAAAACGAAAGTGTGATACAGGGTGAAAGTTCACCAGTGAATAGGTCTAGGCCCACCCAATTTTTATTCATCACACTCCCTGGGATTGTGGGGAGGGCTAAAACATAATGGCAAAAGCATTGTGTGCGATTTCGCTGGTCGAAACATGGTTGTGCTGTTGTGTAGTAAAGTGTTAGGCTAAACAATTTTATTTCCATAACTTTTCAACGCCGGCTTCAGATCGATCTAGCCTGAAAAATATATCTTATCACATTTTTTGAATCATCAAAATTATGTCAAAATAGATGTCGATAGAGATGATACAGAGATGGTTTGATAACAAATAAAAGTATTGCTACATTAGTGTAACATTAGGGCAGGCCTATCTCTATGCTTTGCGTTAAAAATTCATGTGGTCTAGGTCTAGATCTAAATTTAAATCTGTTCTCTAGACTAGAATCTAGATCTAGACTTACACACGTTCGTTGCACCAAGTGCAAGTCAAGTAGGCCTACACATTTTAATTATATTTATAGTAGGTTAAATTATGGATTTTTTAAAATAAAATATTCTGTTATTTCAAATACACCATTAAGTTCCTTACCCCTTAAGAGAACATTTGACACCACATTTAAATATCTAGCTTACTCGGTTGACGAGAAAAGAGAGAATTTGAAAATTAATCAAAATTGAAAATGAATGACAAAACAGCGTTCTAGGCATAACATGACGTCGTCGACTTGTGTACACGAGCTTTTAATTCCCGCCATGGTAATTGCGTCAGCTTAGGTAATTTACTCACCGGAAAATAACAAAAAGCAACTGGTTGATAATAAAACTAGATCTAGTTATTTTATTATTTATTAAATTCTACTCTACATGTTATTCATACCATTTTATGAAGTAATGAACACCTGCATAAATCAAATGACCATAATAAATATTTTTATTTCAAATTCTAATTTTAAATAATAAATATGCTTAAAATAATATGATAGTAACAGTTATGATCGTTTATAAATACAAATACATTTTACACTCAATTCACATTATATTGAGTCAACAGTGTGGCAGCTGAGGTTCATACATGGTATTTTTTTTTTTACATTACATTTTTTTTCATCTTGAAAACATGACGTATGTGATTTTTTTTTTTTTTAAATCTCCAAACATCGTCACTCGCGTGATTGCTTGCTTACGTTTACTATCCTGTGGATGAAAAATCCCACCACGGTCGCGGGTCACCGTGAGTTCAGCAGGCCTATAGTACACGTCATAGCATGAACACGCGTACACGAGATGGTCGGTGTCTTCACTTCTCTCTCTTTCCCCCCCCTCCCTCTAGCCAATTGAAAAACAGACCTACTTCCCTACTTCTGGTCATTTTTTTTTAATGTTCGGTCATTTTTTTTTAAGTTCACATATCAGGCATGCAAGACAGCCAGCCAGTGGCGTAGCGAGGTCGGGTGTCACCCGGTGCGGCACTTAATGGTGTCAGCCCCCCCCCCCCCCCCCAAAGGCGTAGCGACCCTTCCCGGGGACAAACTTTCTTTCAAATTTTCGATTTGCACCCCCCCTCAAGTTTTCGATTTGCACCCCCCCCCCTCAAACTTTCGATTTGCACCCACCCCCTCAAACTTTCGATTTGCACCCCCCCCCCCCCCCCCTGCAGCCAGCTGTATTAAAAAATATTTTTTAAACTAGATCTACGTCTAGCTTAAAAAAAAAAAATAAACGCTTAAAATGCCCGTAAACTGATTATTTAGCGCCAAAAAAAAAAAGGCCGCTGAACGAGCATTTTTTAAAATACGCAGCAATGAAAAAGGCTTACGGCCAATCAATTAAGTCTAAAAATCGCCCGTAATTAGGCCTAGCGCTGAAAAAGGCCACTGAACGAGCATCACTGATTATATAAACGAATAGGCCACGCGGCGTTGACGAGGTTAACCACCGGTCACGAATGCAGCAACGGTCGGCCCACAGTGAAGAAAAAATCAATATACTAATAAAATTACTAATACAATAATAATGTCCATAATTTTACTTTTTCCGCACATGCTACAATTGAATAATATTTAATAATAATTAAAATACTAAACTTAACAGTTCATTCCGTAAAAAACAAAAACTAGTTGTTTCAGTCTGGCAACTAGCGTAGCAATGACGTCACGATACTAAAAATAGCGGATAGAAATGTCAGGGTGGGTACCTCATTTTGGAATTAGATTTTGGAAAGTAGAATCGATAATACTGTAAATATACATGGTAATTATCTCAATTATATATTAATTTAGTGTTATCGGAGCCGTTTTCCCCGTTATTGGGTCGTTTTTGGCCGCGGTTCAGTTTTTACGGAGAGTGCTCCACTAGAAATCCTCTCATTATTTACAAACACAATTCTCGCGATTTTTTCTGGCATTCTAAGGCATATTATCCATTTTATTAGCATTTTGTGTTAAAATAATGATCAGAGTTGGCGAGATAAACAGTTCTTTAATTTGTCGTGGATAGGACCCCTAAAATAAACGTAGAAACCGTCAGAAAACGATGCGTGACGTTTCAGGGTCAGAGGTCAATCCAGCCATCTAAGTGACGAACCGGCCTAATTTATAGATCTAGGCCTATTACGAGTATTACTATTAATTTAATTAATTGTTGGCCACTTAGATTCTAGATCTAATAATATTTTATAATAAGCAGTAATAATAGTATTATTAATCTAGATCTAGTCTATTTTATTAATCGGCAAATCTGAAACCGTGACGGGTGTTTTTGCGTAGGTTGTTGTGCTGGGTGGAAATGTGTTTCAACCTGTTGCTGATTTAAAAACCGCTATCATTATCAATGTGTTTTCTTTTTTGGCTTTTTTTCAGTGCTCGTGTAGATCTATTTAAAATAATTTTAAATACTAGAAAACTGGCATTGTCAACAGAATAGGCCTACTTTAGATATATATATATATATATATATATATATATATATATATATATATATATATATATATATATATATATATATATATATATATATAGTTCTAGATAATAGTAGATAGATCTAGTAGATAGATATTCTAGAAAATCAGTGGTTTACCAAAGTTTTTATTGATTTTATTTTTAAATAATTTTCATTAGGCCTAAATTTTAAATTAATGATTTTGCTCTGTATTAGAAAAAAGTCTAGGCCTATATTGTCACTAGAATTTACTCTAGATCTAGATCTTATTCTATATGGTTAGTGTCAAAGTGTATCCTCCATAATGGTCAATAATTTACTCATTTTAATGTCATGATTCAAGGCAATCATCCCATAATAAAATTTAAAAAAATTCAAACTGTAGTATTATAATTTCTTTGAAATGTGTGTCTTTAATTTTAGTTTTATTTGTTGTGGGTTTAGACTCTAGACCTGTAAATAAATTACAATACATAGGCCTACACAGATTTTAAGCCTACTAAAATGTTATAGGGGAAAGGCCTAGATCTATATAAGCCTCAACTAGTTTCTAGATTTAACTGTTCAAAAACTAGTGTTGATCTATATTTTCTTTTTTTTTAAGCCTGCTAATTGGCTAGTTAAAGAAAACCATACCTAGATAATTAGTCCACTAATTAAGGGGTATTCTTCATGCCAGTTTGGATAATGCCACAATAAAAAAGGTGTGTTAAGTTACCTGTGTAGTTCAGTATTAAAACTTAGGCCTATTACTTGCCATTGTCTATACTGACACAAACTGAAGAGCTACCATAATCTAAAATAATCTTAGACTTAAGTAATATTAACACTGATTATACTGCGATGCTACTATACTTATAGCCTAAAATACCTGTTTTTTAGAAGTCTATTTTTTAACACCTGTAGGAAGAATACACCATAATTAATCAGTTAATTAATTATTTACTAGGTCTAGATCTAATTAGTACTTTATATAAGCTGCAGTCAAACTAGAACACTGGGCTATATAAAGTATGTTTTAAATATCTGTATATGATAGCAATGCCTTACCTACTCAATTTAATAATTCAATTAAGCACCTAATTTTATAAAATATCATAAAAATATGTTTTGCCTGGCCACTTTGTGTGTAGACTGATTAACTTATGAAGCTTATTTAATCATTTAATGTCTGCGTTGGCACAACAACAAGATCTGAATTTTAATTCTACTTAAGCTTACAATCAGCCATACACCTTAATTATTTTCTGTTAACCAGTCATTGTAATGCTGTATTATTATATATATATATATATATATATATATATATATATATATATATATATATATATATACTTCAAGTCTAGGTCGCATAAAATTGATAGACCCTACAACTAAATAAAAAGAAAATATTAAAGTATAAGTTTTAAGTTATGATTTGGATTATCAACATTATTCTTGGTTTCAAGATGTGTAAAGTGATTCCTCAGTTTTAACTGGCACAAAAAATGTGCAGATGGTAAGTTGTGCAGCCCATAATTTGTAATGTATAGTGAAACTAATAAGTTCTTTAAAACAGTTTTATTGTACCTAATTTTTGCTGATAGCCTTTTAACATACAGGGAGTTTTTTTTATGTTATCTTTTATTAATTTGCATACATTTGAACAAAGCTACTTTAAGATTTATAAATCTAGTATTTAATTTAATTATAATACCTTGGTGATGTCATAAAACATCCTTTTTTTTCAAAGAGTTTCATTGCTATTTTTAAATACCACTTGATACATTCAGCTCTATTGCCACTTGTTTTAAGTGTATTCTAACCATCCTTCAAACATTTGAGCTCATACATCTAGCTCTATTGCCACTTGTTTTAAGTGTGTTCTAAACATCCTGTGTCAGCCTGCATGAGATTTAGAATGATTTTTTTTATCCATCTTTTACTGACATGAGATTTCATATTTTGCAAGTAACAGAATACTTAATGAATATTTTAAAAAAAGAATTAAATACATAAAAAGTGTTTCTATTAACTTCATGTGAAATATTTAAATAAAGAATTTAGTCTAATAATGTATTGTAATATCCATGGTATATAGTTTTGTAAAGCCAAATTTGCTTCACTCTCCAGGTATGCCAGGATCTTGTCCCACTACCCCTATGTCATTTTGCTTGTCGTGTTTGTGGTTGTGGCAACATGTCTGGTTGTTACTGTCACGTGTGGCCAGGCTATCAACTTTGATGACCCATTGGCAGTAAGTGATATAATAACCTAGTTTCTTTTTTTGTACTAATTTTATTTTATTTGAGCCACTATAACCTGTTCTCAAGTGGCTTTTTAAGATACTTAAATCACCTTGAGCAGTAAAGAACAATTGCATTGAAGCATTAGTTCGATATTAAATGTGTTACAGTTTAAAGCAAATCATACAGTGGTTTTTTTTTCACCTTTAGTCTAAATTTTTTAATTTATAAAATTCGACTGTTTATCATCTATTTTATCAGCGCAATAACTGCTAAATCATTTCAAAACTGACCTTGAAGTATTTCCTATTTTAGATTTTAAAAAATCTATACTTGTGTAAATTAACAGAATTTTAAGATTTAAAAATAACTATAGATCTTTTAAATTTTGTAACCAATTATTGAACATTTTCTTTAGGGTTTTGAACCAAGAGGTACTGAGTTAGCTGACCGTCTGATAACATTTCACAATTTAATAAATAATGTTGGCGGCAAAGCTAATCTGCTTCCTTCTGGTTTTCAACTTGGACCTGAAAAGAAAGGTCGAAAAAAAGGAAAAAGCTCTAAGAAAAGTTCAACAAAAAGCCCCCAGTTGTTGATTGATGATTTCAGAAGAAGGAGATCTGACATAGTTGATGAGGGATTCTTAGAAAATGTAACAACAGTAGAAAAAAATATTTTTTGTGGTGTTCCTGGTTGGTAGATATACTTTTTTAAAATTTTAGAATCTTACACGTTGCTTTTCTTGAAGTCAAAATAGTTTGACATTAAATTAAAACAAATATGGTAACTATTCTGTTGAGCTGATGTTCTTTAAATTACGTAACTTAAACCAAATTTGAGAGGGATTTAAAATAGTATGAAGGCAAATATTTAGTATTTAAACATGTATATTTAAGAATACTTTGTTTTCTAATCTAATGGTAACTTTGTATCCCTACAGAAAAAACGTATGCAAGGATCGTTGTGACATCAGCTGATAATCAAAATTTGTTTAATGAGGATGATCTCAGGAGCATTTGCCAGCTGGAACATTCCTACTTCAGGCAGTCAAAAGATTACAAAGACGTTTGTCTCCGCAATGAAGCGGATGGTTCTTGTTGTAGAGCCTGGTCACTGGGCAGTTACATAGCGGTCCTGGTGGACAAACCCTCCTGTGATAACATTACGTCTGACGATGTTTCAAGCATTTATAATCTTCTTGTCAAATGTTCACCATATTATGTAAACCATTCCTTGCGCCCCAACTGTGATGGTGATGGAGAGGAGTGGTATTATAGCTCATCAGAGTACAGCTATGGTCACTGTTCTAAAGTGCCAGCAGAGTGTACCAAATTCAATGCTGCCTACCACATCTTGAACTATCTGACGGATTCAAATTTTTTATATTCTGGAAAATCTTCAGATCCTTTGACGACAACAGAAAAATCAACAAAATTCTTAAAATATTCCACCCTTTTTTTACCAGTGTATGCTGGACCAAACTCTGAGAAGATTTTTCAACATTTGGATAACTTACCTCGCAACTTTCAAGGTATCACAGTAGTGGGTGCTGAATTCGGTCTGAAGTATTTCCTGTTTGAGAAATATCTAATCTCTGATTCAGTCTGGTTGGGCGTGGTGTGCGGGGCCATATTTCTAGCCATGTGGGTGTATACGACATCCCTATTTATCACTGTGATGGCCTTTCTATCTATGTTCTGGGCTGTGGAGGTTGCTTATTTTCTCTACTCATTTGTTTTTAAAATCAAATTCTTCCCATACATGAATATGGTGACATTTATGGTGATGGTTGGCATTGGAGCAGATGATTTGTTTATATACTGCAAGGTTTGGCACTTAGCTAAATCAGAAAAAAACAATGGAGTTCTGGAAAAACTAGTTGCTGATACACTGCGTCACACAGTCCTGTCCATGCTTGTGACCAGCCTGACCACAGCTGCAGCATTCTATGCCAACTACATCAGCGACATCACAGCTATACGCTGCTTCAGTGTGTACGCAGGAACATGCATCATGATCAATTTTATCCTAACCATTACGTGGCTGCCCGCCTCCATCATGCTACAGGAGAGATGGCTGCGCTGCTGTGTTGGTCTGACAGAGAAAAACTGTCTTCTCTGTTACGTCTGTAAGGTCCCATACCAACTTTATTACATCTTGTGTGATTGGTCACGGATATTTTTTGAAAAACTCTTGCCGTGCCTTGTTATCAAATTTCGGTATGTGTGGATAGTTATATTTGGTGGATTATGGATAGGTAGCATTGTTGTAATTTTTTTTTACCCACGTTTAAAATTAGCAAATAACCACAAATTTCAAGTATTTTCATCGGACCATTTGTTGGAGCGTTATGATTTTGAATTAGCTGATTTGTTTGAATTTGAAAAGAGGAAAGACGCTGATGACTATGAATTTCCTATCACTGTAGTCTGGGGGGTACTGGCCAAAGATAATGGAGATCCGCTCGACCCAGATAACAAAGGTACACTCACCTTTGACCCAGGTTTTGACCTAGCCTCATCTAATGCTCAGCGTTGGATTTTAGAGTTCTGTTCCAGGCTGCGAAGGACAGACTTCTACCAGCAGACGCCAGGGTTGTATGTCCCTGACTGCCCCCTGGAGAACTTTGTTTACAACTGGATGACCCTGCCATGTGATAGCTCTAGCAATGAATGCTGCAACCAAACAGTTTTTCCATTTCACAGGTCCAAAATGTTGACTTGCTTACCAATCTACATTCATTACTTGAACCTGACCCCAGGGGTCTCTTACAACAATCAGTCCCCGGGGCCCAGGTTCAACAATGGTAAGATAAGTGCATTCTTTATTCAGTTCCGCAGCAACCACACCTTCAGCTATGCATATGAGGAAGTACACTCTTTTTACATGAAAGTTAACCAGTGGGTCAATGAAGAATTACTTCGAGCTCCAGTGGAAATGCGGAGGGGCTGGTTTGTCAGCAACCTACAGTTTTATGATCTTCACTCGTCTTTAGCTTTGGGGACTCCACTGGCCTTAGGAGTTTCCTTATCGGTTGTGGCATTGGTTTCTTTTTTTACAACCTTAAATGTGCTCATCAGCATCTATGCACTGACAACAGTAGCAGCCACCATATGCGTAACCTTGGCCTCCCTGGTGCTGATGGACTGGGAGCTGGATGTCCTGGAGTCAGTGGTCATCACAGTGGCTGTTGGACTGGCCATTGACCTGACCCTACACTACGGGGTTGCTTTCAGGCTGGCTCCGGACGTGGGACGTGAAATGAGGGTTATTACCTCTTTAGGACGCATGGGCAGCCCGGTTGCTATGGCAGCCTTCACAACCATCCTAGCCGGCTCTCTCATGATGCCATCAACCGTGCTGGCCTACAAAAAATTTGGAACCTTTTTGTTACTTCTTGTCTCTATAGCCTGGCTGTATTCCACGTTTTTCTTTCAAGCTCTTTTAAGAATTATGGGACCCAATGGAGGATGTGGTCAGTTTCACTGGCCAGCTAGTGATTGCTGCACTCCTGACTCTGAACATGTGGACAAAACAATTTATGCCCTCTCAGAGTCTACACTGTCGTCATCCAGCACGAGCACACGTGAACACAATCATGCCCACAATCACTCCTACACACACGAACTGGAGCCTCTGACTTACAGGGAACACAGCCCCAGACAGATGTACTACCAACACTCAGCCCATCTTCACAGCTGTCCTGACACACACCGCCATCAGCGCTTAAACCCAGCTTGCAATCACCACAACCTGCAGCGGACACGCAGAAAGGGAGACTACACTGCTGTCAGAACTAACCTCAATAGTTCTGATGTTCTCTCTGACACACAAACAAAGCAGGACAGTCTAGTTGTCTGCCCTAGTCCCAAGCCAAGCCATGACTCACTGAGTGAGAATGTCCTGAACGTCCCTTCAGAATCTCCAGCGTCCACTCACTCCAACCATGACATCTCATCCGATACATCAGAGTATGACAACAAACTACAAGGCAGCAACAGTGATGTTTTCCTCAGTGATGCCACAACAACAGAGTTATTTCCCCACTCTATTCCACTGCATGTAGCTTGAGCTATTAAGAATAGTTAAATTACTATTAGATTTTTCTTAACAAAAATTTACATTTATGTGCAGTCAGTGAGAATGTTATATTACTTTTAGATTTGAATTTACTAAAGTATTAGCATTTTAAACACGAATGTAAATATTTATATTTTGATCTTAAGTCCTAACCAGATCATCACACACCAAATTTTTACTGGTTTTTCTTTTTTAGTTACTGTTTTTTTTTTATTATGAGAAAATCAGTTTTTTTATCTTGTTTATACCATCATAATAAATAGCAGTTAGATAATAAACCTAAAGGCTTGGCTGTCCTAAATCTACCTACCTCGTAAGCTCTGACCTAGAGACTCAATTGTAATGATTAAATGTGCTTGCTTGTTTATTTGCTTGAATAGATTAGAAATGAAAACTATCTTCACAACTGGGTCCACCAGCCCATCTTTTAAGTTTAATTTGTTGCTATACATTTTCTTGGACATCCATAGTTTATATTCACGTTCTCCATTTTAAATTGTACCTCTGAATTTATTTGTACACATTTTTAAAATGTACTCCTGATATTACTTGTACACAAATAAAATTAAAATGTACTTGTGACATAACTAGTACACATATATTAAGTTAATATCTCTCCAGGTGCTAGTTAGGATCTTTATTCTCTCTTTTTCTCTCTCCCACCCCCACCAATATGATATTCTAACTTACTGCTGATCAGAATGCTGAAACATCTGAATAAAATTGAGTTAGGAACTATGTTTTCATTTTCTCCTTTTTAAATATGATGTACCGTATTTTAAGTCCATTCCTAAACCATTTGAATGTTAACAACTTTGAAACTATACATCGCCTATTACTATTAACAACAGATTCAGTTATTTTCTTTTATTTTTATAATCACATACGTTTGTAAACTAAAGTATATACATCACAATATTAGTTTCATTTTAAAGCTGTTAAAATTTACCATAACAGTTAAGGGGAAGTAATTTCGTTCTTTGTTGCAGCAATAGGTTTGTGTTAGATTTACAAATATTTTTCTTTAAATGTGATTCTCTATTGAATGTCTTCCTTATCAAAATGGCAGAATTTAAATAATTGAAAGTGTTCATTGATTTAGCTACAGCTAAATTCTGAACATAATTTTTTTTATCTATTGTTCACATTTAAAATTGATTTCATGTTTTCTGACTGCTGTTAGCATATAACACCCAACACCCCATCTTTGTGTTTAAATTCTTCCCATAAAGTAGTTGAGTATTGTTATGGTTTATTTTGTAACAGTATACATGTGCATTCTATCTAATGTTATGAACACAAGACTAATCAACAGCTTTGTAAGAGAAAAAGTAATCCATTGATTTTGTCCACATATAACTAGAGGGTGGGGGGGGGGGGGGGGGGGGGTCTGACTAGAGTATGTCTTAAAGATTATCTTGTTTTAAACATGTCTACAGAATATCATTATTAAAGAAACAGTTTTGACAAACAAATTAGATAATTGTAATAAATTGTAAGATATCACCAGATAACCACTTGGAATTGTAGTCTTCTGTATTAGTAAAACAACTATTATATGCAATGTTATTATGATATGTCACATGTAGAACATAATAGGAGAATAATCTGTTTGATTGCCAAGGTAAGAGAAACAATTCTGTCTAGAAAGGGAAAATTGTTGTATTTACATCTGACCTATAGGCCAATAAGAAGAAAATATTTTTTTCCCTGATATACACCAGATACTTTCATCATATAGAAACAAATAAAAGAAATATTTGATGTAATGTATTATAATGCTATCTCGAGATACGAGTTTAATTCCTTCCGTCACATTGTTCGTATGTCAAATAGCTTTTATCTCAAAGCAATTTTCTCCATTGAAATTACTTGAAAGGCTATTGATCTGTTGCAGACCCAAAATTGCTACCCCAGTTGTTTTTGTTTTGTGTTTTTAGTTTTAATAAGAAAAAATGTACTTTTCATGACAAATAATAAAGGATAATGCAAAGAAATAAACTGATTTTATAAAATGTTCTTACCTTGAAAATCAGCTGTCTTGACCTTACTGAAGATGCTGGTGGAGTTGTAGGCCTGTGTAAGGTGTAGGTTGAGGAGCTTCACTTCATTCACTCACATTTAATGCTAAACTCTTTTGGTACTTTTATTCACTTGTTACACTCTTTATCCCTAAACTTAACAAAAATTAAATTGTACTCAACATAAATGTTTTGTTACTTTTGTTAAATATTTGTCACTTCTCTGCTTTTTTTCACGATGCTTTCCTTATTTACCCCACTTTACATGCCAGCCATTAAAATAAACCTGTACAAGGATGTTTGTTTTTTCCTTCCTATCAGAATGTTTTGGAAATTAGTTTGGCAAGTGTTATTAAGAAGCTACGATACACAATCAGTTACAACTTTTTCATGGCGTTTCTTTTCCACGAACTGTTGAACCCTCTAATCCGGTAACTTGTATCGCAAAATTTGCAGTTCGTATCACAAAATTTTTCTATGTTGAGGTACCACTGTATTTTCTTCTCTCTAGTGATGTTTAAATCAATTGTTAACTTCAGATTGAAGAGTTTTTTTAATTTGCATAATACATCACAGTTCACTGATCATACACCACTCATTTTAACAATTTTTAAAATGTCACTAAATTTAAATGCAATTGAGTTTGAATGTCATGGACACAATCTTTTTTTTTTTACCTACAAATTTTGTTCTACTTTATTTGTTAATAAAATATTTTAGACACTGATCTGTTTGTGTATATAGATATTTTTACAAAGCCAGTTTAGTATACCTTAATGTAAAATTTTATTTCCTGCATTTTACAATGTACATTTTATGAAAGCCCATACTGTCACAAAGCTTGCATTGATTTCTTGCCACTGTCAGTGCCAACATTCCACAACTTTTATTACCTTTTGTTGACCCGTATTATTATTTGACCTACACCATCACTTGACCCACACCATCACTTGACCCACACCATCACTTGACCCACACCATCACTTGACCCACACCATTCTTTGACCAACATTATCACTTGACCCACACCATTACTTGACCCACACCATCACTTGACCCTCAGCATTACTTGACCCACACCATTACTTGACCTACACTATCAATTGACCCACAGCATAACTTGACCCACCATAGCTTGACCCACACTATTAATTGACCTGCATTATGACTAGACCCATCATTTGACCCACACCATTCTTTGACCAACATTATCACTTGACCCACACCATCACTTGACCTAGGCCATCACTTGACCCACACCATCACTTGACCCACACCATCACTTGACCTACGCCATCACTTGACCCACACCATCACTTGACCCACACCATTACTTGACCCACACCATCACTTGACCCTCAGCATTACTTGACCTACACCATAACTTGACCCACCATAGCTTGACCCACCATAGCTTGACCCACACTATTAATTGACCTGCATTATGACTAGACCCATCATTTGACCCACACCATTCTTTGACCAACATTATTACTTGACCCACACCATCATTTAACCAACATTATATCACTTGACCAACATCTTCACTTGACCTATATTTTACCTGACCCACACCATTGCTTGACCCACACCATTATTTGACCCACACCATTATTTGACCCACCATAGCTTGACCCACACCATTATTTGACCCACCATAGCTTGACCCACCATAGCCTGACCCCCACCATAACTTGACCCACACCATTACTTGACCTACACCATCAATTGACCCCCACCATAACTTGACCCACACCATTGCTTGACCCACACCATTATTTGACCCACACCATTATTTGACCCACCATAGCTTGACCCACACCATTATTTGACCCACCATAGCTTGACCCACCATAGCCTGACCCCCACCATAACTTGACCCACACCATCACTTGACCCCCACCATCAATTGACCCACACCAGTACATCTTTTGCTCAAGGTTTTTTTTTTACATTTATTTACTGAGCTGTAATTGAACATTATGTTATTTGTGTACGCAAAGCACAATAAACCTACTCAGTCCCCAGAACACAATAAACCTACTCAGTCCCCAGAACACAATAAACCTACTGCAGTCCCCAGAACACAATAAACCTACTCAAGTCCCCAGAACACAATAAACCTACTCAGTCCCCAGAACACAATAAACCTACTCAGTCCCCAGAACACAATAAACCTACTCAGTCCCCAGAACACAATAAACCTACTCAGTCCCTAGAACACAATAAACCTACTCAGTCCCCAGAACACAATAAACCTACTCAGTCCCCAGAACATAATAAACCTACTCAAGTCCCCAGAACACAATAAACCTGCTGAAGTCCCCAGAACACAATAAACCTACTCAGTCCCCAGAACACAATAAACCTACTCAGTCCCCAGAACACAATAAACCTACTCAGTCCCCAGAACACAATAAATCTGCTCAGTTCCCAGAACACAATAAACCTACCCTAGTCCCCAGAACACAACCGATCCAACTTTACCTTACTTAACCCCTAAAAATATGCTTGTTCCTAACTCCCAACCTTCACTGTTTGAATGATTCCTGCTTATGTGATAAATGTTATTTGCTTTTTATCAGCCGACTTTCCTCTCAGCCTGTCCCCATGTTCAAATCACTGGGCCATCATTTCTTGTTTTTGTTATGATCAGAACAGCAAAGTTTTTGAATAACAGTTTACAAAGTTTTGATAAGATGGAATTTGGCTATCGTAGAAAGTTTACTTGGCTGACTCTAAAGATGCTGAATATTCTGACACTCTCAATCATTGTAAGAAACGCAGATATTATTTTGGTCATGTTTTCCTTGTCTCATGTATATACACAACGCTAAATTGTTTTATTCCTTTTTTTAAACGAGCTAATGATATTGTAGTAATATATACAACTGTATTTTAAAAGAAGTTAATAAATAACATAAATATATCAAGCCATTAAGCTCAGTTTTTGTTTCTTTACTTTTATTTGGTTTGAATAAATTTTATAAGATTTATCAGAGTTGATGGGGCACTGATTTGCCCTTCTGTGTACGCAATCACCCTCTGTAATATCGCATTCCTTGGCGACCGCCTAGGGGTCATGTACGTCGCGGGACAAATATTTGTTTTAAAACACTATCAGATGGTCGTTAAGGACCCCCTACCCACCCCCTAATGGTGTCACCCCCCCCCCCCCCCTCAGAGGCGTAGCGACCCTTCCCGGGGACAAACTTTTAAATTTTCGATTTGCACCTTCCCCCTCGAACTTTTGATTTGCACCCCCAACCCCTCAAGTTTTTCTGTATATATTTTACTGTTTTTTGCCTTGGTGTCACCCCCCAAAATGGTGTCACCCGGTGCGGTCCGCACCCCCGCCCCCCCCCCCCTCGGTACGCCTCTGGCGTGAACCACAGCTCACCAGACTTCATAGAGAGGAAGAGAGGGGACTGCAAGGCGCACTTACAGCTTGGTGTTTTCTAACGTCTCCAAGAAGAGAGTTATATATATAGATTCAGAGCCGGCGTTAAGGGGTGGCAAACGGGGCGGTCGCCCTAGGCCCCGCGCTTCAGCACATCATTGTTTTCTGAATTAGTTTGTAAACCTAAATAATTGTTGCTGAATTCAATTGAAAAAACTAAATGGTCGAATGCCGACGTTGATTGTTATAACTGAGACCATGGTTGATGTTAGTGAGTTATCACCCACCTGAACTGAGAAAGGCCGTCATTCGATACAAAAACAGTGTCTCACCTCGCTGTGTGCTGGGTACGGTCGCCTCGCCTTTGACCTGAGATGACTGGAGATAGTTGGACGCGAATTAGCCCCCGACCTGACATCAATTTGAATAAATTTGAATGTAAATTTGGGAAACACGTAAAGAGATACCCTATTGTATGCGGACCGATGAAGACGTCCTTTTAGTGAGCAGACGGGATTCCTGTAGTAGACAGTTAGTAACCTGATGAACGCTAGTCCTGATTTTCTTGTTGTAGTTGTCGTATATGTAGTTGTCTTGGTATATCAAAATTAACATTTAATTTTAGTTGCGTGTGGGGATCCTCATCAGTGAGGCATTAAACAGAGTGATTTATTCATATATATATTTTTTTTTGGAAGAAAGTTAAAAGTGTTGTTAATCGTAAGGATTCATCCTTTCCAAGTCAGAATGATTAATTTACCGAATTCATCCAAATTGTTTTATTCAACCGTCTTCCAGTGGTTTTGACATCATATAGTCAGCGAATTGTCCTCTTCGCACAACTTTTATTGAGAATGGGGCATCGTTTAAGGCAATGAACTTGAAGGGTACTGATTTAGAGAATCTAGTAGTCATTGATATTCCCCTAATAAACGCGGTCTTTCAATTTGTATCTGATACTTTGGTGAACTTTAACGACATTTTTAAAGTGGCCCCGCGTATTCCTAACGCCGGTTTTGTACAAATTGTTTCTTTATGAATGTGTTGCCTCCTTTTGTTTATTTCAAGGGAAATAATTTCAGACCTATTAGTCCGTTAGGCTTAACTCTTCTGCATTTCCGTTTATGAGATGCCAACTCAAGCTGGAATATGTGTGAAGATACGACTTGCCGTTAGTAAGCCCAACAATCTGTTCAGTTATTTATTATCATTCTTCTTTTCGTAAGAAGTAAGAAACTTAATATTTTCAAGTAAAATTATGTTGACATAGCATGGCATAGGCCTATTTTTATTTATAGGACATTTGACTTGTTGATAATATAATTAAAAAAAAAAAAAAAAAATTACACGAGATAAATGGCCCCACTCTACTCACTCTGAACTGAGTTAGATCTAGATCTACATTGTTACAACATTTTACAAGAACTTAGATCTAGAATCTAGTAGATCTAGAGTTATATTTACAACGGGCACTTGTGAAGTGCGGCTAGGTCCTAGGATAGTTTAATGTCTGATATACTGTACTGTTATCTTTTTGTCTTTTTCTCTAAATCGAAACCAAAATCACCACCACAACTTCAAATTTAACCAGGAAAACGAAAATTATCATTGAAAATGGATTTTAATCCAGAATCATTTTAACCGGATTTTAGCTTGATCTAGTTACTGCACATTGATACTAAATAATAGTCTTAGTCACACCCCTAACTAAACCTAAGCTCAAGCTGGACGAAAGTCGCATTTAGAGTTTCTTTCAGGCAACTCTGCGGGGGGAAGGGTTTGGGTTTTTTGTTCAAATTGGCTGTGCTCTGGCAGTGGTGTGGGGTTTGGTGTCCAGAGTTGCCAGCTGCCATCTTAACACCTAGAATCCATTGATTGTGTATCCTGCGGCCTCTGGAGCCATATATTCTGGGCTGCTATAATTGTTGTCCAAATTGAAAATAAAATGCCTGTAAGTTTGGCCCTAAAACCCACATTATTGTTCCTGTTTCAGCTTTCTCTTTTTAAATCTTTAATGCTGTGAAGCTGTACAATCAAGTTTTAAAATATGGATGTACCATCTGAGTACAGAGCTTCAAAACGTAAGCTACATTTAAGGCTAATCAAAGTATTATACACTGCTAAATGACTCATTTATTTGTGAATCAGTGAAGTTATGAAAAATAAAATCTAAAACTTCTATAAACTCTTTAAAAAATGTTGAAACTTTATTTCAGCAAGCCAAAAAAGACGACCAAAGGGAACAAAAGCAGCTGCTACTGCTGCACCGCCACCACAGCCATCTCCTTATTTTAATGACTTTGCAGCACAGAATCAGCAGCAGTATATGTCAAATCTTGGGCAACCCGATATGTTTTATGGCGGACAGGGTATTGTTAATTTTGGATTTTATAATTTTGTTTTTTTATTTATTGTATTGGATGCATGGGTTTCATTTTTCCATAGATAACTTCTTGTTAATATTTGTTCTATGTACTATTTCTTGTTTGTTAGGATATGGGCCATCAGGATATGGAGGTACACAGTTTCCGGGGCAGCAACTGTTAAATGATCCAGTGGCCAATATGGCAATGCAGTACGGCCAGTCTTTAGCTGGACAAGGAAAAGATTTAGTACAAAAAAATGTAGGCTTACTATTATTTTTATTAGAAACTAATATGTTTTATGAATTATTGCAATATTTTTGTGTAGTTTGTTCTTGTGGCATAATTCTATTATATTTCTGAAAACTCATTCATTTCTGTGTGTATTGGTATTTTCTATATTTAAAGTAATTCATATTGATGAACTATACATAATTAAGAGTGTGTTATGCAAATTTTGGGCACCTTCCCTTTGTTCAGAAAAAAAAAATTCTATACAGGGAAGCTTACTTCATGGTAAACTGCCAAAGTAGAAATGTTTCTACAGAATAGTTGAAATTTAAAAGTAGTTTCAAAATAACATTTTTTTTACTGTGCAGTGAGGGTGGCAAAGAAGTATATAACAGAGAGGTGGTGTTACTTTTAAATTTAAAGCTGAAATTTTTTATTTTATCGTTAATTTTTTTGTTTCAGTTAGAAAACTATGTTACTTCTTCCAAACTCAAATACTATTTTGCTGTAGATACAGCGTATGTTGGAAAAAAACTTGGTTTATTATTTTTTCCTTATACCCATTCTGTAAGTAATTTCTTCATTTGAGCATCTACACTAAGGCATCATTTGTACATATACATTTATCAATAGCAATATTATAAAAACTTACAGATTTTTTACCATTTCATCAGTTTTCACAGGTCAATTAGAAAAAGTCTTAATATTTTACTCTCTAAGTCATTAATTTTGTTAAAAGTTAAAAATAAAAGTTAGAATCTGCTTAGACTTTAGTATTTTACATATGAAATTATATAAGTTAGAGCATCAGGTTTAAAATCAATTCATTAAATAATTTATAATGTATCTGTATATTTTTGTTTTGTATACCAAAAGGACTGGTCAATACATTATAATCAGGATGAACCTGTTGCTCCAAGATATGAAATAAATGCTCCTGACCTGTACATCCCAGGTAATTATTATTTAAATTTGAGACCACTAAATTGTAGCTAATGGCTGTAATCTTAAACACTTTCAGAATGCTTTTGTTTATGTTATAAATTAGCTGTTATTAAAATAAAATTTTTACCTGCAGCAAATTACTTACTGTTTAATTACTAGTTTTTTTTCATAAGTGTGTTAAATGAAATGTGTATTTACTAATTATATGTTAACAGGAAAAAAATGATACACTTATTATTCATTTTAACTTCTATATTTAATGTTACAGTGATGGCATTTGTAACCTATATATTGGTTGCTGGTATGGTATTAGGAACACAAGGAAGGTAATATGTTATTGATTGTAAATATTTAGCTAAAAAACTAGTTTTTGCAGTAAAAATTAGGTAAAACTGTTTATTATGAGTGGATTGTGGGTCCCCCTAATCAAAGACATGACATTCAGCATAAAAACTACCTATATAATCTGTCATTCTGTCTTTATTTTCTAAGCTATACTAGAAGTAGGTTGGTGAATAAGGGAGAAATTCTATTAACATAAAAGGATGAAATAAGCAGTCAGGGAAGAAAATAATGATAATTACTTTAAAACAAAAAAATAATATATAATCTTGAATGCTTACTTTAGTTTATGTGATGACTCTGGTCCCCTCAGGCCTATTAGTAAGTATTAGTAAAAAAAAAAAGTATTAGGTTCTTACCCCTTCACCATACTTAGGCTATATTGCTAGTTTTGCCATTGTATGGTGTATTTTGTTCCCATCTATACAAAAATGTACAAATAAGTGCTATTAATTTTGTAATGATGTTTTATGCAGAACAGTGGGTTCTCTTCACCCCCCCCCCCCCCCCCCATGCATTAAAGCACTCAATTTCCGCTACTGCTTACTTTAAAATAACTTTAAAATAGACTAATGCAAACATAGAAAGTATTAAAACATTTTTATCAGTTTTACTACTAATTACAGATTTACACCTGAGCAGCTGGGTGCACAAGCAAGCTCTGCCTTAGTATGGTTAATAATTGAGATGGTTGGATTTACCTTGAGTTTATACATCCTAAACTTAAATACAGACCTAAAGTATCTTGACATTATAGCTTACTGTGGATACAAGTTTGTTGGGTATAGTATTTTATATTTTCTAAACACTGAATGTTGATAGTTGCAATTGTATGTTGTTTATAAATAAAAATCTGAAATCAACAAATTGCTGTAAAAACTGTAATAACTCATTCTCTGAAGATACTAAATAGTAAGATTGTTCCCAAAAATGTATTCTGGTAATCCCAAATTTTTTAAAGATCTGTTCTTTTACTCATTAAGTTCCAAAGTTTATGTCTCTTAAAAAATTATCATAGTTATTGCAACAAATTCATTTTAATATGGAAAGTGTGTATCATTGTTAATACTGGCATACAGCTTGAACTCTAGATTCAGAACATTATTTCTGTCAGTAATATATTTTTAGTCTCACTATCATGACTGCGGGTTTGGTTTAGAACCCCAGACAGCATGTGATTGATTTAACAGCTACCATTATCAAAAACTTGTAAACCAGTATCCTCAGGTTTCAGTAGGAGACAGATAAAAGGAATCACAACAGCCCTTTATCTGTAAAGATTTATTACACCAGCGCAACCCTCTACTCCGATGAACGAGATGAGATTTCCTACATACACACTCCATGACACATGTTCACAACAAGAACACAAAACAAAAACTTACTTCCCCAGTGGACAAAAATCAAACCATAACTTAGTTAATAACAGTACTCTTTTTAGCTACCTGCCACTAAACAGGATCAACATGCATTTCATAACAATCTATCCACTTAAATAATTTTGCCTCTTAAGTCATATCACAAGTAAAAACTGAAAATCAATATATTGCTCAACTACTTTCCTAAGGTGTGAATTCATTTTTTAAAATATCTCATTTATCTACCTTGTGTCACCAGGAGTGAGCAAGCATGTAAAGTAACATTAGTTATATTTGAATTTTTTTCCAGAATGAACTGTAGTTTACTTGCTGGAGTGGCATCAAACACAACAGTGTACTACTTTGTCTTGTTGTGGTTTTGTATTTCACTGGTGTTCTTTCTGGTAAATATTTATTTACTCTTTAACATACTAGCATCAGCTGCCTATTTATAAATTATTGATGTTCCTAATCCTTCTTTGTGAAACAATTACAATTACATCTTGTGTTTAAATTTTTAGATGCGCACTTTGAGGGTTCAAGTGATGCCTCACCAAACTGATGATGGTTTTACAAAGGGGGCTAAACGGAGTCTGTATCTTATTCTATCTGTTTCATTGGCTCAACCACTTTTGATGTGGTGGCTCACAAGTTATGTCATGATCTTCAAATGAAGCTGTTTATTTATAAAGCTGGTTTAGTCAAAAACCTAAAGATAATTACTGGGAATATTTGTAGTAAGTAAACTAGGGACAATTTACAGATTTGCTGAATGTGGCACTTAATTTAGAGATAAATAAATTATGTTCTTTATAATAGTTCAAATATATCTGATCAGAATTGTAAAGAGCTGAGAAAATTGAGATTCTGCTATTCCAATGTTGTTCATCTCAAAAGCAGAATTAATTGTATATTTGGAGTTTACTTTTTAAACAGCAACAAACGAACAAGAAACTGTTACAACCAACACCAGCTCTGCTAATGGCTACACATAAGTTACTGAACCTTAGTTGAAAAACTTTTTAAAGCTGTAAAAATTTGCTGAAAATGTCATTTTTTGCATGCAAAATGATTTATATGCTAATAATGCATTATCTTAACTCACTGTCAGTAAATTTTGTGGCCTTTTTTTAACCATTTAAATTGGTGTACTGTAAAATAAACATTCACTCTATAAACTCAGATTTTTTATTTATTCAATGTTTGACTAATGCAACATTCTGTTTCTCCCCCCCCCCCCCCCCCCCCCCCCCCCCCATATTCAAACAGCAAATATTGTTCAGTCACTGCTGTCTACTGTCACTTTTTTAAAAAATACCAATAAATATCAATAAAATTCAAAACAAGTGCAGTTGCTTCAAGCTTCTTTTGGTCATTTAATTATAACAAAAGAGGTATCACTCAAACATTTCAACTATCATAAATATTAAATGACTTACATAACATTAAAAAGATCAATCTTGCACCACTTAAATTAAAAAGCCCAATATTGGGTAGGTTTTTGCTGCACTGAAAATGTTCCACAGCTTCCTATCAACACTGTGGTATTGAAAAATTGCACCATTATATCTAGAAAAACTCAGTGTCAATTGCAGATTATTTTTCCTTAGAGGCCATGTGCCTCATTAGCTGCCCAGTCAATTTTTCAAGCTTTTTAATATCCTGAGCATGTTCTGTCCTGTACTGAAGACACTGTAAATTTTAAATAATAATGTTTGTCAAGGAGGGAAAATTTAGTTATAAAATGTGATACCCCTCTCCCTCAACAATATACCATCATAATGACAACATATAAGAAGGCACACATTTTAACATGGCTTATCTTTATTATATACTTCTATAAAAGAGCAAATCATATGATGCTTAGTATTTATCAAATAAAATGTTTTAAACAAAGTTAAAGAATTTTGGTTTTTACTAAATTTTACTACTTAAAATGAAATTATTAATTACTACTTCAAGATATCTTAGGTGCAATACTTACCACTTTATCATCTGTAACTTTCAAAGTAAGTTTCCCATCACAATGTCTGTATTTGGTTACAAAGCGACACTAAAATATATAAAACCTATACTGTATTAAGCACAATAAGTTTTAACAAACTCATAACATCAATTAAGCAAACAAAAAATGGCATAAAACAAGTTTGCTGGAAGGAATTGTTGCCTCCTCTTTGGGTGAAATAACTGTTGTCCATTTTGTCATAGTTTTAAACAGCCCTATAACTTATATGCCAAATGAGGGGGGGGGGGGGAAATTAAAAACTCATTGCAAGCTGCAATATTGGATTATTCACATTAAAAGTTGTAAAAATAATTGGCTATGAGGCTTTACACATGTTAAACTGTTTTACTACCTTGATAGTGTAATTGTTAAATAAAAACCCTTATGAGTAGCGTAGGATAAAAACAACTCGACAACTTTTTCCATGGGGGGAGAAGTGGGGTTGCCAATAGAAATCTGAAGTATGTTCACTAGATTAGTGAGAAGTTACATGACTAAATTGTTTAACCCTTAAAAAGAGACTAAGTTAGCTATCTGGACAATGCAGTAGAAATGTACATACACACATTGGTTTAGAATAGCAAGTTCAAAGCATTTATCATTGCTGATTCTAATCTGAATGTCTTGGTCAGAATCACCATCAATATTTCAACTTCAACATGTACAATTTCTTCTGCATTTGTTGTTGACTATGTGCAAGAAGGCAGAGCACATCTGTAGCTGTTGCAACCCGTAAGTGATAGCTCTTAACTAAACTATAAATTAAATTTAAATAATAACGTAATTATTAGTGTTGTATAGCTTATTTTAATTAGTAATTATAATAAAATATTAGGCCTATTTAACTTAAAATTAAAAAATATTTATTATTAATTAGCCTACTAGATCTAGGGCCTACATGATATTTGATATGTAGAAAGTAACTTAAGTTAGAAAGAAAAATCCTAAGAACTAGTAAGATGTCTTAATATTTGACACAAATATATCACAATATACTGTGATTTTGAATATATACAAATATATCACAATATACTTCTATTAAAGCCTTAACAATGAGGCAACTTTTTCGCACATTACTAGCCTCGTCCGATTTTACATAACTAAAACAATAGATTACCGCTTTGTTTAGTTATAGTTTAGTTAAATTTAGGTATAATATAAATTACAGTAAATTGGACTAATATAATTTATTATTAAAGTATAAAAAAATTTTTATATGACAAGACCTAATCTAATAAATAATCGGTAATCTATCGTTTGAGGTATGTAAAATCGCCCCGCGACTAGTAATTTTGAGGATTTGTTTTGAAAAATACAAAAATGTTTCCTTGTGTTTCATTTAGGCCTATGTACCTGTTTTTAAACAATTGAATTAAAACTTTTCAGTAATAAATGAAGACTAGCGATGTTTCCAACAGATGCAACCATGCTCATTTACTATAGCAGCCATCTTGTTAATTTTTTTTTTATTGTAAACTTACAGCGCAAGATTCAGGGGAAGCCACACTAACTTACAGATGGCCGCTTTTTATTATATTATATAGCTAATCCTGCTCGCAAACACTGCTGTTTAAAGTTAATTTCTTGCCTATACTGATATATTTAGCTATTGATTTAGGTGTATTATTCATTTATCTATAGGCATTTGACACAAATATATCACAATATACTGAATATTGATTCTACTTCTATTTAAGCCTTGACAATGTCAATGAGGTAACTTTTTTTGGTAATCTATCGTTTTAGGTACGTAAAATCGCCAGCGACTTGTAATGTGAAAAACAGGTGACTCCTTTAATTTTAATAATTATTTCACATTTTGAGGAGGATTTATGTTTTGAAAAATACAAAAATGTTTCCTTGTTTCATTTATGTACCTTGCTTTTATATTCCTACGCATTGAATTTGAGATATTCATGTTTTAGTGACGTGCTACTTGCGATATTTTTTTCCCTGCGGCCACGTGAACCGGCTTGCGTAACGATCGTATTTTATACGTTTTAATCCTAGTTTAATAACAAATAGATATTTTACACTTTTAAACGTATTGTTGATTGTATTATTAATTAATAGATTGCAAAACCAAATTAAAAACATGTTAATTAAATTAATTAACGACATTAAAAGTTGACCCAATCACTAACAAGACATAACGTAACATTTGCTTAGATATGCTTGTATGTAGACACACAAACTAGATTTAGAAGAAGCAGATGATCGAAATAATTTAAAACAACAGAAAAAAATAGAAATCATACAGATTCTAGGCTTAGCTTGAAATATAGGGCATCTAGAACTAGTTACTAGGCTAGTCTAGCTCAAGTCGTTGGTTACGCAGCGATGTGAAACCACCCAAATCGTTACCCAAGCTGCGGCCACCCCTATTCACCTATCAGGTTGCTTTATTAGCCTTATCTATCGTATGTACAGTGCCCCGCACATATTGTAGAAGCTATTTATAGTCAACCTAGTTATAAAAGCTTTGATTGGTTGGTTTTATTCATCTCATCCGGGACCTAGTGTTTTTCATAGGGGGAACTAGAATCGCCTACGACGTCATACCTCGAAACTTTAAAATTTAAAAACTCGACTTCCAGAAGGAGAAAAACAAAAGAATTTGACCTGGATATATTTAGAAATGGACAGGTTTACAGCAGATATCTGTAGTTTCGTATAAAACATCAAAACAAATATTGTACGAAGCGACAAACAGGCGATGGCCGCACCGGTAGGTTACCAACAAAAAGATAGATTACCAAATAATCTACTAACTTTTAAAGCATCATTTAAATATAAACGCTCTGCAGCTTTAGCAAATTCTTCCCATGATGTGAAGTATGTCATTATTTTGGTAGAATATGCAATTTAAAACTAAGCTCCTGTACCAGATGTTTGTGTTATGATAGTCTTGTCATAATTTGCAACTAAATTTAGACTAGATCTCTGTTCCAACTGCTTCCGGAGAATAGTACCGATGAAAATCTGGGTTTTCCCTATCGGGCGAACAGGGAAACGCAATGTTAGCTGGATCTCATTGCTTAGGCCTCAACTATCGAAGAAAATACCTGTTTTTACTGCTAAAGCTGCGTTTCTATAAATAAAGCGATCAATGCGCCTTGTAGCTTCTGGTAGATCTATAACAATTTATAAAATATCATTTATTATTTAGAAAAATTGAATTAGTTATTTTTTAATTTGGTTCTAAACTATTTAATCGAAAAGTATTTTTTATTTTATAAAAATGTATTATATTAATCAATAGCCTAGATCTAGGTCTATATTTAAAAATGAAACAGTGCTGCAGATGATGTCCACAACATGGCGTCAATGTAGGAAGTGATCTTTCTTTTTTCTTATCCATGAAGTGATTTTTGTGCAATTTTCATAGCGGAATATTGATCGAAATCTATTTTATTCTTTTAAATAAGCGATTTAACGTATGATCTATTTGTATTAACGTCATTTAAATATGTTGTTATTGTGTACAATAACAGCGAACTTTAATCTAGAAGTCTAGCTAGAAAGAAAATAAAGAAATTCTAGAAGTCTAGATCTAGATTCTAGATTTTTATTTTTATCAATTTTATATTATTTTTAATAGGCTCTATTTTATGTTTGAAAAGTTGAAGTAGAGATCTAGAGAGAATCTAGGACTTCTAAGTAGAAGTGAGGGAAAGCCTGAGGCCTATGCTAGAAAATTTCAATTTTAAAATTATCATAGTCTTGTTAGTAAGTTGTTAGTCTTGTACTTGTAGGTCTAGCCCTACGAGTTTAACTGAGTCTGATACTGATAGCGGCCTGGCCCATAGGGCCTGCAGAAGAAGGTACTAAATTTATTGGATAAGCTACTGCTGTAACTATTTATTTGCTATTATTTAAGCCTACTAAATTAATCTTAGACTAATCTAGATTACTAGAAGTAGGAGGCATTTCTAACTTTACTAATTAACTAAATAATAAATATAGTGCCTAGAGCCGACCGCGGCAAATCATACGCCGCTATTTAGTTGTTTTATTTTCTACTTTTCAGTAATTCATAATTTGAATGCTGCCACTGAAAATATTTGCTTTAAAACACTAAAACCCTCCTTTCCCCCAACCCCCTAGCCCCTCCCCCCCCCCCCCCCGTGAAAGCAGCCTCCTCTTAGCTACCTTTCCTAAGTTTAAAATCATTTCAAACTAAAGTATATGCCCCTAATAGCCGCCACTAAACCCAGCTCTACGATTGTGAACATTTAGCGTGAACCACAGCTCACCAGACCATGTGGGGGTGGGTGTGTTAGCGATATGCCTAGAGAGGAAGAGAGGGGGCTGCTAGGCGCGCTTACAGCTTGGTGTTTTCTATCGTCTCCAAGAAGAGAATTATATATATAGATAGGCCTAAATAATAAATATTTTGTAATCTATCGTTTTAGGTACGTAAAATCGGCCGAGGCTAGTTATGTCAGAAAAAGTTGCCTCATTGTTAAGGCTTTAAAAGAAGTATATTGTGATATATTTGTGTCAAATATTATAGATAATTGAATAGTAAACCAAAATCAATGACTAAATATATCAATATAGGCCAGAAATTAACTGTAAACAGCAGTGTTTGTGAGCAATATCTGTTATATTTATAAAATAGAGTGGCTTCCCCTGAATCTCCTGCTACAAGTTTACCAAAGAAAAACTTAAACAAGATATCTTCTGAAGTAAACGAGCTTTGTTGCATCTGGTGAAAACATCGCTAGTCTTTATTTATTGCTGAAAACTTTTAATACAATGGTTTATAAAAACAGGTACATGAATGAAACTTTGAAACATTTTTGTAACTTTCAAAACATAAGTATTCCTTAAATTGGGAAATAATTACTAGAATTTAATGGGGCACCTTCTTTTCACATTACTAGCCTCCGCCGCTTTTACATACCTAAAGCGATAGATTAGCTAAATATTAACAACCAGAACCACATCTGCTTTTGGACAGCCAATTTCAGTGAATTTCTCTGAATCTTATCAATATTTTAATGCAATAATATTATTAAAAAAAATTTTAAAATGCTGAATTTAGGTAGGGTGGACAAACCCGCTCCCCAACAGCTAAGATTCCAGAAAAGTAGTGAGACATTGTTAAATTTTAAATTAAATTATTGTTTAATTTAACCTATATTATTGCAAAGTATAAGATAACAAAACATCAACAAACTGACAAAAGATCTGAAAAAAAAACATTATAAATTTTAAAATTCTGACTTAGGCCTACACATCTTCAAATAAAGTAGTAAAAGTACAGTCCATGGGGCAAGTGAAGTAGAGTTCACCTGTTTTTGTGACCTCAGCATAGGAATGGATAGGGTGCAGCCTTTTATTTCCATAACATGAGTTATTGAGTTAAGTACCCATCAGAGCTGAGTGGACGGTTAAGTTTTTAAGAGAAAAAAAATCTTCAAAAATGTGTGTTTGTTAATTTTGGACTACATTTGTGCATGGAAATACAGATTATTCATTTAATATTTTGCAGTTCAAAATTTTAAGAGATAAGCAGTGTTTGAATTCATCGGTGTAGACCCTTAAATAAACTTAATTGTAATTGAGAAGCAGAGATTGACATTATTTGGTTAGGAGTGACTCTGGTTTGTGACCAAAGGGCAGACTGTTAAAAAACTTGAGTTTTAATCTACAAAATATTATATATTTGGTATCTAGGAATAGCTCATCCCAACAAACTGGGATAGAGTGCATATTATATCATTATATCTTTGTTTACCCTTCTCAGTATCCAGTTCATAACCCTATAGCTAAGTTAACCTATCCTGTCAGTATTGATCTCTAAATGAACAGGGGGTAATGTCTTACTGTAGTTTGTTTTTAACCAGGGGTGGGGTGGTGATGTCCTGCAAACTGATACCCTACCTATACACATAGAAATTGGATTTTAAAGTTGTTCTTAGTAATCAGTAAATACCTTGACAGTGTTAGGTGGAAGCATTATTTTGCAGTTGAACACATAGGCCTATTTTGAATTAAATTCCAAGGCAATGTATAACAGGTTAAATATCTTTTACTTTTACTGAACAAAATTAAAACCATTTGGTTGTGGTTAGTTAAATTTTTAAAATGCATATGCATATTTTACAGTGGTAAATGTGTTTTAATAATAACTGATTCTGTAAAAATAATATAAATGATAAAACAAAAAACTGAGGCTTAATGAACACAGGAAGCTAAAACAAAAAAAAAACAAGCTTGGTAAACTTATATTTTGTCATAGGTTGACATTTTTATTTTTCTACATTTTCATTGATCATGAAGTGAGTGACTGATTTTTCAAAACTAAGTTGTTTCAGTTCCTAAATTAGGCCTTAAATTTGATGCTTTACTAAGAAGTATTTTAATTTAAATTACAGTGAAACTTTTTGTAGATATTACATATTAATTATTTCAGTCATGATGGCTAATTAGTACTAATTATTAAGACCTGATAAAAATAATTAGCCACAACTAGCCTCATAGTTGGCATAAATTAAAAAAATCCAGAGGCTGACAGGCTTAAATTTTTAACGAGAAAAACAAAAACAAAATGTTTAAATCTGATATTTAATTTTTTAAATGTGAGAGGGCTGTACTAATCTTTTCTATATAATGAAATGATTCTGTGTTACTCTTCAGGCAGTCACAAGAGACCTTTTCACTGATAAATATTAAAACAACATTTTGGTGTTGTTTGATTAGAGCTTGTCATTAGAATCATTACAATATGTACTAAAGCACAAAAGTAGTAGGAAATGTGTTAACTATTCTTACAACCTTCATCATACCATAAGTCATTTGTAAGGTCTCGTAACACCTTAATTTAATAAATAAACAGTAGAACACCTGTTACAACCAGCCATCACTTGGGAGGTATTTAATGGGAAATTAACTGGTCTATGATTCAGATAACAAGGAAGTCTTTAATCACTCTAACACTAAGAAGTGGTGGAACAGAAACTCTTCAGCCTTCACAAAACACACTTGCTTTGGACCAGTGAGACTGTATCAACTAAACAAAAATGAGGTAGGTTTTAATGTTCACTTTCAAATTATAAAGCTTGCGTGTACGTCCTAGCAAATATTTTTTAAAAGCTGATATTAACTGGGGTGGGGGTGGGGACTTATAGTAAAACTAGTTTTGTTATGGCAAAGTGTTTGGATTAATCTAGCTTTTAAAGTATTCCACATTGTATGTGTTTTTGCCATAAATATTTTCTTGCTTGTTGGGATGATAATAACTATGACCCTTTTTGTGTGCATAATACAGTTATAAATATCTGCCTGTAACATTATCCCGCACCCTTGTTGGCAAAAATATCTTAAATGTTTAAAAGAATTTAAATATCCTATCAACATGTATGTTTTTATACGTTACCTTATTGTTAGATTTTTTAAAAAGTTCTTCCTCATTTTTATAGATTTTATGTATCTACCTCACTTGGTATGCCATTCATTGCCAATAGGTCTGCTTCTCACCACACAATCTAGTTACCACTTAAAACTAGTAAATGAGATAGATTTGGCTCAGAATTTGAAAATGATATTTCTGTGAAGTTCAAATTTTTGGATCCAAGCCTATATTAATTTTAACAGAACATCAGCTCTAAGGGCTTCTTTTTAAATGAGTACCACAATTCAATTTGTAATCCTTGCAATGTTTAGACTAAACAATAAAAGCACCCCCTGGAGCTTGACTATATATAAAGAAGATAAGTAGAGTTAATTTGTTACTCTGACCTTGGCTTATAGAGTGGTCAGCACTTATCCCAGCCACTTTATTCTGAGTCAGGTAGCCATCTGAGACTCAGGGAAGCCAGTGAAAAGAACTCAATAATTTTGGGTTGTTAAACATTCATTGTCATATTTTTATTTTGGGTGTTGTCATTTTTTTAGACCACCTTGTACACAAAATTTACATGAAGCATAGACATCCATACTCAGAGATCTTGTTATAATAAGTTTGTGTCTGACAAGTATAAAAAAAGGAGATGAAATAAGTATTAGTGTAAAAATAAGAAGCTGTTTGCATGCCGTTATCTCCCCTGTTGTATGCCATGCTTATTCTGTTGTCAACAGGTTTTATAAAAGTTTGTAACAAGTCCTCTGACTTTCAGCCTAACTGATCATGTGACACACTGTATTTTCCCCTTCCCTACCCATCCCTTGTGTTTACCATGAACAATCCCAGGTTAGAAAGATTAACTGAGCTGACTTGTGTGTCTTGAGAAAACGAATGTGTGTCTGAATGTTTTCCATGCAAGAAGCTGAGACAAATGTGCACTGAACATTATCTCCCCTAGCTTCTAGCTCAGATGTTGTCAGAGGTAGCAGCTCTTTTATGATTGTCTTCTGAATAATGCATTTGTTTTTACCACCTTGCAGCAGTGATTTCACTAATCTCTGACATCAAGTTTATTTTTATTGATTCTTTACATAATGCATTAGGAACATAACTATGCTTAGCAGTCACACAATCTTTGTGTTTTGTTTTGTGACATGGTTTAAAAAAAAAATGTTTGTATACATGAACATATGTAGATCAATGTCATACATAGAAACAGTAGCAGTGAAGCATTATATGTTTGTCATATAGCCCAGTTGGGGACAGGAAATCCTCCTTCACTCATGTTTGTCTTCCTGTAACCAAGTAGCATCTAGAGTGCATGAGCGGGCTTCATTTCTCATGTGGACCACATATACCAATTTATGTCTACCAATGGACCACATATACCAGTTTATGTCTACCATTGGACCACATATACCAGTTTATGTCTACCATTGGACCACATATACCAGTTTATGTCTACCATTGGACCACAAATACCAACCTGTCTACCATTGGACCACAAATACCAGCCTATGTCTACCATTGGACCACAAATACCAGCCTATGTCTACCAATGGACCACAAATACCAAAATATTTCTACCAATGGACCACAAATACCAAAATATGTCTACCAATGGACCACAAATACCAAAATATTTCTACCAATGGACCACAAATACCAAAATATTTCTACCGTTGGACCACAAATACCAACCTATGTCTACCAATGGACCACAATACCAAACTATGTCTACCATTGGACCACAAATACCAAATTATGTCTACCATTGGACCACAAATACCAACCTATGTCTACCATTGGACCACAATACCAGCCTATGTCTACCATTGGACCACAAATACCAACCTATGTCTACCATTGGACCACAAATACCAAAATATTTCTACCATTGGACCACAAATACCAACCTATGTCTACCATTGGACCACAAATACCAGCCTATGTCTACCATTGGACCACAAATACCAACCTATGTCTACCATTGGACCACAAATACCAACCTATGTCTACCATTGGACCACAAATACCAAAATATTTCTACCATTGGACCACAAATACCAAATTATGTCTACCATTGGACCACAAATACCAAACTATGTCTACCATTGGACCACAAATACCAAATTATGTCTACCATTGGACCACAAATACCAAATTATGTCTACCATTGGACCACAAATACCAAATTATGTCTACCATTGGACCACAAATACCAAATTAATGTCTCTCATTGAACAAATATTGATGCAGGATATTCCAGGGATGAGTAACTGGTTAATTATATCATAGCCGCAGCGCGTGTCATTGTGCTCAACAAGACGGACCAAGTTAGTCATAACAAGGAGTTCAAAGGTCACCGATTTCTCACAACTAATAACAAAGACTGCGCGTGGTGCTAAATTGTACTGGAAGAAGTTTCCAACTCTAATCACGTGCAGCTTATTCTATCGATTAGTGCCACATAGGCACATGGTTGGCAAAAATTTGGCTTTCGCCGCCTTAGGCCAACTTACTGACTGACTAGCATAATGATTCTATGCCCAGGAATATATGCCACCTAAAGGGAAATGTTACGCCACCTCTCCAGTGAAGGTAGGGGAGTATGACACACGCCAGACGAAAAAGTGGTGCGCAGATAATGTGTACTCTAGCAAATGAGGTCACCCGTCGCCGGGGTCAACTTGTTCTCGCCAGTATTGATCAGTCATATTTCTTCATTGATAAAATCGCCTGCTAATCCAGCAGGAAAGATCTCTTTCATTTTCTCTGAGTGTATGTGAGGGGGGGGGGGGGTGTGATTTGCTTGCTGTCACTTTGGCTAATGCTGATTGCAGCTATTAGACATATGCATACTTTTTTCCCTCAAGAATCTAAAGCGTTTTAAAGTTTTTAAATACTCTTCAACTTAGTTCTCAATGTCTGTTTTTCTATGGATCCGTTTTTACATACTTCTAATACAGCTATTCGTCCAATTTTCTTGATACATTCGTCTCCGATGAAAGCTAAAGAATATTTTTTATCTGACTAGATATTAAATCAATCATTGAATATTAATTTCAAGATTAGGCTACTATATTAAGTAAGAAAAGGGGAAATATTTAGTAGCGAAACACGATCAGTCAAATGAGCTGTATACGCCGAGGTTTTCAGGCATCAGAGACAACTCCAGTCAAGGGCAGATAATTGTTTTCTGGAGTTACTAATCGTGTAATATATGGAATATTTTTAGTTGGAGGGGTATCGGCTTAATTTAATTGAACCGAATTAAAATTATAATAAGGTATTTGTTGGTATTAAAAATTACACATCGGCTTACTCTTGTATTTGAAAATAGTGCACTGAAAATAAGAAAATAAAAAGTCTATTATAAAGTGTGTGAGATATTTCTTGGGCGACCAAACATTGCACTAAAAAGAGAAAGTTTCTTTTCCTATTTTCAGTGCATTTTAAAGGTTATAATTGTAAAAGTCTTTATACTTGTTTTTATTAAATAGTAGAATTAAAAATTAAGTTTTGGTTGTAAGATGGGGGTAGTGTCTAACAAGACACGTTTCGATGTTTAGGAGGAATCTGTTCTTTATCGGAATGTTGGTAGTAGCGCAAACTTCTGGTACATTGTTGTGGTCCCACGGAAAATACAAACAGCATCCCATTTGTCAGTAGTTTTAGTTCCCTGTCCTGGAGGTTAAGGATGGGGTGGGGTATTATGATTGTAGTTATCTGTAAGCACACACACGTGGAGAGATCTGATTTGTTTTTCATCCTCTAAACGAGTGTCATTACGTAACCAAACATCGGCGCTGGTTGTAATGAAATCCACTCACGCGACGAGGAAGTGTAAAGAGATGTTCGTGACTCAGGGAGGGGGCTTATACGACCCCTCGGCTTGTTGCTCGTGTGCTACGTTTGTTTACTGCCCTCTTTAGTCCACTGACGAGGGGGTGCCAAGTTTGTACTCGATGTAGGTATGACTGTACCGGTGTATTGGGAAGCTCGGACCAGAACGCTCTTTACACCCTGCGTTATTGACTAGATACCAATAAAAAAAATTGGATCAATGGTAGGAACAAACCTCAGTGGCCAAGTACTGCTTTTTTTAGCATTTCAGACCCATGTTCGTTGGTGTCTACTTGAAGTTGAAAAATATGTTTTTCTAGATAGTTACATAGTGACAGCCCCGTTTAGATAATATAATCGTATATTAAGTTATTGCTTATGTTGAGTAATTCACGCACCTGCAGTGGATTGGTGTGTAGTCTCTGATAAGTTATAGATAGGCCTAATGGGGTCGCGACATTACCACACAGATGCACAGTCAGGACATTACTACACAGATATACATAACACAGTCGGGACATTACTACACACATACACAGTCGGGACATTGCTACACAGATATACATAACACAGTCGGGAGATTACCACACAGGTACATATCGGGACATTGCTACACAGATATACATAACACAGTCAGGACATTACTACACAGATATACATAACACAGTCGGGACATTACTACACACATACACAGTCGGGACATTGCTACACAGGTACACAGTCAGGACATTACTACACAGATATGCATAACACATTCGGGACATTACTACACAGATATACATAACACAGTCGCGATCTTACTTCACAAATTCACACAACAAAGTGGCGACATGACTAAAAAAAACATACATTGACACAGCCAGAAGTGTCTGACGGAATGTTTGAGCTTTATTCCTTACGATTTGCGTGCACACGCTGGCAGCAACACAATACTCCTGGCTTGCACGCCTGTACATTATACCTGCGCTTGTCGTAGTTACCGATATTCTGTGTATTGTACAACTAATAGCCAAGTTTCGTGACTAACAATATTAATGATGTATTTGTTGGGTGTCTCAGTATGACGTTCTGAAGGAAACGTCAGCTACAACCCCACTCGATCAGGCCCCGAAGTTCATGTTTTAGGTAGTTCGTGCTGCCAATTGCATCTCCCGCCCCATACCCCCCCCCCCTCTTTCCCGTGGGTTATGATACATACATTTACAGAATAATTGTACACTCCTGTCACAGGTAACTAAGCATTTCAAATGTTTTAACACTACACGTTCCATGATGCATGCAATATGTTCTGTAAGGGAGCTGGTTGTTGGATTGGTCTTGCCATTAAACCCTCCCAAGCTCGACTAGAAACTCAGAATTTCATGTTAGACACTCACTTTAATTTTGTTTACAAAAATGTAGAAATTTAATTGTAAGGACCAGCATACATCAAGTAGATAATTGGTTTGGTTATAAAAACAAAAAAATCAATTAGATAATACTATCAAGTATTTACTTAAGTCTATAGCCAATAGGTTGATATTTGTCTCATCAAAACCTGTGTTTACACCTTTGTGCTGGGATTGACATTATGTTTACCATGAAGCTTATTACATTTTCTGGCCTGTTTATTAAACTTAAGATATGACATGTTCCATTTGTTAACCTGGGACTGTTTAGATCATGTTTTAAAAAAGCTTTTGTCTAATCTCTCATCCTGACACTAGACTGTAAAATTGTCAACAAAAAAATTGTATTTTGTACTTCCTAGTGTCTGCCCCTTGTAATATGTGAAGATTTATCTATAAATAAACTGTACATAAACAATTTTCTTCCTCACCCCTCCTTCCAGCATGTTGCTTACTGTTTGCCACATGCTAATTAATCCTTGTCACTTATGTTTTTTTATTTTTTACTGGGTTTAATCCTAAATGGTGGGGGTAACTTAAATAATTAACAACACTTGTTATCCAATTAGTAAAGTAAACATGTATCTGAGTGAATTAACTGTTCAACTTATTACGTCTGTTAGTTTGATTACAATCAGTTTGGTACTAGGAAGTTATTTATTATTTTATGCTATTGCATTGTTTTAGGCATTACTATTGTTGTTTTAAAACTAAGTATTGAAGTAATTGTGTCCACAGTGAGGTACCAATCATCTCTGCCCGTGCCTCCGTGATGATCTATGATGACAATAATAAAAAATGGGTGCCAAGTGGCACTTCTCAAGGACTTTCAAAGGTGCAGATTTATCAACACACCAGCAACAACACGTTCAGGGTGGTTGGAAGGAAGCTACAAGACCATGAGGTGGGTTCAAGTTAAAGGGGTGAGTCTAAGCTACAGGACATGGGGTGGGTCTAAGCTACAGGACATGGGGTTGGTCTACGCTACATGACATGGGGTGGGTCTAAGCTACAGGACATGGGGTGGGTCTACGCTACATGACATGGGGTGGGTCTAAGCTACAAGACCATGAGGTGGGTTCAAGTTAAAGGGGTGGGTCTAGGCTACAAGACCATGAGGTGGGTTCAAGTTAAAGGGGTGGGTCTAAGCTACAAGACCATGAGGTGGGTTCAAGTTAAAGGGGTGGGTCTAGGCTACAAGACCATGAGGTGGGTTCAAGTTAAAGGGGTGGGTCTAAGCTACAAGACCATGAGGTGGGTTCAAGTTAAAGGGGTGGGTCTAAGCTACAAGACCATGAGGTGGGTTCAAGTTAAAGGGGTGGGTCTAAGCTACAAGACCATGAGGTGGGTTCAAGTTAAAGGGGTGGGTCTAAGCTACAAGACTATGAGGTGGGTTCAAGTTAAAGGGGTGGGTCTAAGCTACAAGACCATGAGGTGGGTTCAAGTTAAAGGGGTGGGTCTAAGCTACAAGACCATGAGGTGGGTTCAAGTTAAAGGGGTGGGTCTAAGCTACAAGACTATGAGGTGGGTTCAAGTTAAAGGGGTGGGTCTAAGCTACAAGACCATGAGGTGGGTTCAAGTTAAAGGGGTGGGTCTAAGCTACAAGACCATGAGGTGGGTTCAAGTTAAAGGGGTGGGTCTAAGCTACAAGACCATGAGGTGGGTTCAAGTTAAAGGGGTGGGTCTAAGCTACAAGACCATGAGGTGGGTTCAAGTTAAAGGGGTGGGTCTAAGCTACAGGACATGGGGTGGGTCTAAGCTACAGGACATGGGGTGGGTCTAAGCTACAGGACATGGGGTGGGTCTAAGCTACAGGACATGGGGTGGGTCTAAGCTACAGGACATGGGGTGGGTCTAAGCTACAAGACCATGAGGTGGGTTCAAGTTAAAGGGGTGGGTTTAAGCTACAAGACCATGAGGTGGGTTCAAGTTAAAGGGGTGGGTCTAAGCTACAGGACATGGGGTGGTTCTAAGCTACAGGACATGGGGTGGGTCTAAGCTACAGGACATGGGGTGGGTCTAAGCTACAAGACCATGAGGTGGGTTCAAGTTAAAGGCATGGGGTGGGTGTAAGCTACAGGACATGGGGTGGGTCTAAGCTACAGGACATGGGGTGGGTCTAAGCTAAAGGACATGGGGTGGGTCTAAGCTACAGGACATGGGGTGGGTCTAAGCTACAGGAAATGGGGTGGGTGTAAGCTACAGGAAATGGGGTGGGTGTAAGCTACAGGAAATGGGGTGGGTGTAAGCTATAGGACATGGGGTGGGTCTAAGCTACAGGAAATGGGGTGGGTCTAAGCTACAGGACATGGGGTGGGTCTAAGCTACAGGACATGGGGTGGGTCTAAGCTACAAGACCATGAGGTGGGTTCAAGTTAAAGGGGTGGGTTTAAGCTACAAGACCATGAGGTGGGTTCAAGTTAAAGGGGTGGGTCTAAGCTACAGGACATGGGGTGGGTCTAAGCTACAGGACATGGGGTGGGTCTAAGCTACAGGACATGGGGTGGGTCTAAGCTACAAGACCATGAGGTGGGTTCAAGTTAAAGGCATGGGGTGGGTGTAAGCTACAGGACATGGGGTGGGTCTAAGCTACAGGACATGGGGTGGGTCTAAGCTAAAGGACATGGGGTGGGTCTAAGCTACAGGACATGGGGTGGGTCTAAGCTACAGGAAATGGGGTGGGTGTAAGCTACAGGAAATGGGGTGGGTGTAAGCTATAGGACATGGGGTGGGTCTAAGCTACAAGACATGGGGTGGGTCTAAGCTACAGGAAATGGGGTGGGTGTAAGCTATAGGAAATGGGGTGGGTGTAAGCTACAAGACCATGAGGTGGGTTCAAGTTAAAGGGGTGGGTTTAAGCTACAAGACCATGAGGTGGGTTCAAGTTAAAGGGGTGGGTCTAAGCTACAGGACATGGGGTGGGTCTAAGCTACAGGACATGGGGTGGGTCTAAGCTACAGGAAATGGGGTGGGTGTAAGCTACAAGACCATGAGGTTTTGCAGGTTGAGATACATTGATAACACTTGTGAGACCCTTGTACATCCAACACCTGGTCTCAATCGTGTAGCATTTGAAATGATAGTTTAAAATAGGAAAGTATAAAGGAAGTAAATCATACCCCCCCCCCACACCCACAAGGCCTTTGGTTATGAATTCCATTTTATTTACATAACATATTTTAGCAAAACTTTTATCTCATGATGGTAGATTACTTAAAATCTCTGTCACATTGGTAGAATTGAAAAATGTAGTGTTAAAATTACACTACAAGAGGGAAATTATAATGTGTGGACTCCCCTTATTATAATAATAGTCCAGACAGCGAGGCATTAAAATTTTTGTTTCCCTACTGTTTACAACACTAAGTAACAGTTTGGTACATATGTAACATTGTTTTTCTAAAAGGCTTTTAATACAGCGGCTTTTTTTAGTGTCCTTTTACTTAATTAAGAGCCTCTTTATTTAGACCGCTATGATTCTGACATAGAATTACATTGTCTAGCTTTACAGGAATTAAAAATAAAATATAATCAACATGCTAATCCATAAAGTTATAAGTTTAAAGTTTTTTTAATTGCTTAAATTTACCCCAAGTAAGCCATTTGTTAGTTATCTTTAAGGTGGTAATCAACTGTGCAGTAATGTTTATCTTTATGGTGGTAATCAACTGTGCAATAATGTTTGTCTTTAAGGTGGTAATCAACTGTGCAATAATGTTTGTCTTTAAGGTGGTAATCAACTGTGCAATTATGTTTTGTCTTTAAGGTGGTAATCAACTGTGCAATTATGTTTTGTCTTTAAGGTGGTAATCAACTGTGCAATAATGTTTATCATTAAGGTGGTAATCAACTGTGCAATTATGTTTTGTCTTTAAGGTGGTAATCAACTGTGCAATAATGTTTGTCTTTAAGGTGGTAATCAACTATGCAATAATGTTTATCTTTAAGGTGGTAATCAACTGTGCAATAATGTTTATCATTAAGGTGGTAATCAACTGTGCAACAATGTTTATCTTTAAGGTGGTAATCAACTGTGCAATAATGAAAGGACTCAAGTACAACCAAGCCACCCCCACATTCCACCAGTGGCGAGACAGCCGTCAAGTCTATGGCCTCAACTTTGCATCTCGGGAAGATGCTGAAAACTTTTCCCAGGCAATGTTGACTGCATTAGAAACATTAAATTGTAAGTCCCATCTCTGCAGTATTGCTTATCATTCTCAACTAATTTTTATCTGTCCACATTTTGCTAAACCAATAAACACTTCAATTTTCAGTACTTTATCGTCAAGCTGCTCCCATGGTAGCACCCCCACAACCACCCCAACAAACCAACATTTATGCTCAAGCTATCAATTCCATCAATGTGCCACCAGAACCAGAAGACAAGTAAGTTGATCACCTTTAAATAAAGATAAACCCCGCATGAATCACCCATATCTATCAGTGGATGTTAAAGCACAAGGGTTATTGAATGACCTCTCATCATCTTCTCATGCTGCCTCATTCTAATCTTATGCAGATAGATGAACAATAGTTTTTTATTTGTCTTTGAATCATGTGTTTTGAATTCATTTTGGCGTCTAAAAAATCAACTTTATCTGCTAAAAGAAGACAAGGATATAAAAGGTAACAGTGATCATCAGTAACGTTATCATTATGTATAAATAACTCACAAATATTTAACTCATTTGTATTTTTCTACTTGAATACTAGAATTGAAAAATAGTTTAATAGTTGTTATAAAATATACTATCATGTAGTTTAATTAATTTATAATTATAGTTCATAACTATTATCCAATGGGTTGGGTAGTGGTGTAAATCTCACACAGCTCTATTCCCCCTAAACCATTTCAATATTCCGTTACAAATCACATTACCCAACATGTACTGTGTAGAAAGCACTAAGTTCCATGTTGATTCACTCTGAACCCACAGTTTACCCAGACTACATGTTAACTTTATCATTTGTTCTTGATTTATAGCATTTTTGAAATTTGTGTTCTTATTTGTAACATTGGATGGGAATTTCCCCCAACATAGTTCAGTTATGTGAGCTAACATGTTATGCAACCTATGACAAGTTGACTCACAATTCAGTCTGCTTTTCTCTCTGGATATGCTTCCATAGACTTTGTTCATTTAATTAAAAACATCCGCAAGGTGGGAACTGTTTGATTTCTTGACTAGGTAGGCTGCTGTCCCCAGCTAATGACTCGATACCAAACTGCACTCTCTCACCCAACCATGCCGTTCCCTTACAATACATTGCCCTACATGACCAGAGCAATGGGGCAAATGAAATTATTTGTGTTAGCTTAAAGAAGAGGAGCTTCATTGACTGTACCTTACCACAAGTACCTATCATGGGTCAAATCATTTCAAGGACCCATTATACATCAGTATTCAAACTTTAGTCTTATGGGTTTGTAGCTGAGCCTTCTTTGCTTGACCACACCGTCCCATGTTATTACATAAATAATACAGACACAATGTGTCTACCATTATGAGACAATTCTACAGCCTAGATGTAGGATTAAAACACCAGTTCCTAGCAGTGCTAAACAATTTGTATTCAATGTATTCTCTACCACCAAAACTCTGAGTGTGTTCAAGCAGAAATACTTTGATTATTTCAGTTTAAAACGCTAAGGTTTCCTATCCATTGACCCTTATCTTTATTTGATATGGAGGCCTCGAGAGATCTCAATACATTATTGATATGGTAGCTGAAACAAAAATATCTGTTTTTGTTTAAAACTAGGGGCATTTTTCTAAACTATGTTGTGTGGGAGGGGGGGGATGTTTCATGGCACCCTTTTATTTTTTCTTCAACATTTTCAAATTAAAAAATTGTGCAAGGCTTATCGTTGAACTAGACCAGTGGGTAGCCTAAAGTTTTATTTAGTTACTACAACGTCCTGTAGCCAATATTTACACCAGGGGATAGAGACCTATATAAGACGTCCAGCTTAGTGTAGCAAATGTTGATGTACAGCCAAATTTGAATTGACCTTTTGATTTGGTCACCACTGGCCGTGTTTGCCCTAGCCTCGCTGGTCTGACAAGCTGAGTCAACATTTTCAATGAGCTCACCAGCTGTCCTTTGTTGGAAGTTGGTTCCCGGACACATGCATACAATAGTCGTTCTGTATCTTTACCTATTCTATGCGCGTGATTCAACCCAACCTATACGGGCATGTTGAGATGAGTAAACATCGCCCATACAGGGGATGTTCTGCTGTACAGGGCGAGGGCAGTGCTGAAATGGATTTCGATGAAGCTGAAGCAGAGTTTTTTCAAGTTTGGAAAATGTGCGGATCTAGTATTTACCAGTAATATTTGTGTGAATTTAGTATTTATATGTACCAGTATTTCAGTAATATTTATGTGAATCTTGTCCAAGTGTTCGATCTCTGTGTTACTTGTTACTCGTATCTTGACGGTTTCACGGGTCTTATGGTGTTGTATAGGGACGGTTTCACGGGTCTGATGGTGTTGTAGAGAGACCGTTTCACGGGTCTGATGATGTTGTAGAGAGACCGTTTCACGGGTCTGATGGTGTTGTATAGGGACGGTTTCACGGGTCTGATGGTGTTGTAGAGAGACCGTTTTACGGGTCTGATGGTGTTGTAGAGAGACCGTTTCACGGGTCTGATGGTGTTGTAGAGAGACCGTTTCACGGGTCTGATGGTGTTGTAGAGAGACCGTTTCACGGGTCTGATGGTGTTGTATAGGGACGGTTTCACGGGTCTGATGGTGTTGTAGAGAGACCGTTTTACGGGTCTGATGGTGTTGTAGAGAGACCGTTTTACGGGTCTGATGGTGTTGTAGAGAGACCGTTTCACGGGTCTGATGGTGTTGTAGAGAGACCGTTTCACGGGTCTGATGGTGTTGTATAGGGACGGTTTCACGGGTCTGATGGTGTTGTAGAGAGACCGTTTTACGGGTCTGATGGTGTTGTAGAGAGACCGTTTCACGGGTCTGATGGTGTTGTAGAGAGACCGTTTCACGGGTCTTATGGTGTTGTATAGGGACGGTTTCACGGGTCTGATGGTGTTGTAGAGAGACCGTTTTACGGGTCTGATGGTGTTGTAGAGAGACCGTTTCACGGGTCTGATGGTGTTGTAGAGAGACCGTTTCACGGGTCTGATGGTGTTGTAGAGAGACCGTTTCACGGGTCTGATGGTGTTGTAGAGAGACCGTTTCACGGGTCTGATGGTGTTGTAGAGAGACCGTTTCACGGGTCTGATGGTGTTGTAGAGAGACCGTTTCACGGGTCTGATGGTGTTGTAGAGAGACCGTTTCACGGGTCTGGTGGTGTTGTAGAGAGACCGTTTCACGGGTCTGGTGGTGTTGTAGAGAGACCGTTTTACGGGTCTGATGGTGTTGTAGAGAGACCGTTTCACGGGTCTGATGGTGTTGTAGAGAGACCGTTTCACGGGTCTTATGGTGTTGTATAGGGACGGTTTCACGGGTCTGATGGTGTTGTAGAGAGACCGTTTCACGGGTCTGGTGGTGTTGTAGAGAGACCGTTTTACGGGTCTGATGGTGTTGTAGAGAGACCGTTTCACGGGTCTGATGGTGTTGTAGAGAGACCGTTTCACGGGTCTTATGGTGTTGTATAGGGACGGTTTCACGGGTCTGATGGTGTTGTAGAGAGACCGTTTCACGGGTCTGATGGTGTTGTAGAGAGACCGTTTTACGGGTCTGATGGTGTTGTAGAGAGACCGTTTCACGGGTCTGAGGGTGTTGTAGAGAGACCGTTTCACGGGTCTTATGGTGTTGTATAGGGACGGTTTCACGGGTCTGATGGTGTTGTAGAGAGACCGTTTCACGGGTCTGATGGTGTTGTAGAGAGACCGTTTCACGGGTCTGATGGTGTTGTAGAGAGACCGTTTCACGGGTCTGATGGTGTTGTAGAGAGACCGTTTCACGGGTCTGGTGGTGTTGTAGAGAGACCGTTTCACGGGTCTGATGGTGTTGTATAGGGACGGTTTCACGGGTCTGATGGTGTTGTAGAGAGACCGTTTCACGGGTCTGATGGTGTTGTAGAGAGACCGTTTCACGGGTCTGGTGGTGTTGTAGAGAGACCGTTTCACGGGTCTGGTGGTGTTGTAGAGAGACCGTTTCACGGGTCTGATGGTGTTGTAAGGGAACGAGAGTTTAGGCTGGCCCTAGTGTGAAATATGTGCTGGAGCGAAAAATAACGTGTCTATGGTTAATGAAATCATCGTTGTATTGGAGAGGGTAGGCGCATTATCTATAAAAGCTATCCGACTTGCTATTCGTGTAGCTAACGGTCCGGTACTAACATACAGTTAGCAACGGCAAAAGCTGGCCGTGCTTGTGGTTCGGCGACTTTTGACCTCTGTCCAATAAATCGCCTACGGCCCATGCAAGTGACAGTAATGACGCGCTTTTCGGTTAGAGGCGTCGATATGTGTTGTTGAGGGCATGACCGAATATGCAGAGAAGGGGATGAACTAGGGAAGGAACGGCCGTGAACCCTTAAAACTAAAGGGGCGTAAGTGACCTAGAGACTCAGAGCCCGGTCAAAACCCTTCGTAGTCTGACAGTAACTTTTCGTCAACCCACGTATTAGATGAGTTATATTTTTAAAGTTACTCTGTTCTTAATACGCTCGGATGGGACTTGGAGGTATCACCTTTCCCCTCCTCTCCTATCACTATCAGACTAAGGCGCCTGTGTACATTTGTAATATTCATAACATTTTTGACTAAAATCAAGGGAGATAACAAATGAAAATGTATTGTAAACTCAGACAACTAACGATATTTTTAAAAACTTTTAACCGTAATTGCTTATTTACAGTATTGTAGTGTTGTTAATTTTGTTGGTTATACACGTACCAAAAAAATATAAACAGCTTTCTTCAATACAACTAGTGTTTATATTTATTTCTTTTACTTTCATGAATATTACCTCAACACCTTGCAATTCACTATGAAAATCTGGAGTCATTGTTATGATAAATAAGTTGTGATTTTATTTTTGTACCCATAATGCATAGTGCTGAAATAGTATATTTGCATTCTACACCTACCAAAATCTCAACACCTTGTCATTGGTGTAGATCAGGGGTCTCCAAACTACGGCCCGCGGGCCGGATGCGGCCCGCGAAGTCCTCTCATCCGGCCCGCGGAGATCTTTTTGTCCAAGGAAAAATCGTTTGTCAGTGATTGCTGAGGAACTTTGCCCAGAAAAAAATCAAAGACATGCCTGGAAGAAACTGGCCCCCGAACTGAAATTTGATAGTTAATGCGGCCCTCGGACTGAAAAGTTTGGAGACCCCTGGTGTAGATGATGTAAAACAAATATCACAATTCACAGAGAAAAGCGGGCTGCTTTACTCAGATTTGACCACAAGTTTCACATTTACTCAATTTATTTTACTAACAGGATCACCAGAGAGGAGCCCCCAACACATCAAAGACAGATGTCAGGAGGTGGGGGTATGTCAATCTTTTAATACAGTAAACAGTATTGTTATTAAGTTATGCATAGATTTTTTAAACAATTTAACTTGCATGAGATGTTTTGTTAGAGGCATATTAAATGAATTCTATTTAATTTTACTGAGGCATTCAAATAACTGATGTTTAATTTTGTTACATTATTATGTCCTGGTAATGTTATTGTAACCTATTTACAATGTGGTCAACAGGTACTGGTAACTTCTCTTCAGTCACAAGAGACTCGTACCCAATAAACCAGGAGCCCCCAAGTATTCCTGCTCAAACGCCACCACTTCCTCCAACCTCAGCGCCCCCTGCACCTCCTGCACCACCAGCCCCTCCTGCAGCACCACCAGCTCCTCCTGCACCACCTGCTCCACCCGCCCCACCTGGGGGACCAGCGCCATCTGGAGGCCCACCTGCACCACCACCACCTCCTATACCTGCAGCAGGTTTCCAGGCTGGAAATGGAGGTGCTAATCAAGGTGGATTAGCTGCAGCTCTTCAAGGGGCTAAACTCAGAAAAATTAATAAGGTAGTAGGTAGTATTCACTTTATTCCATGTTAAATACCAGAGCTGCTTCTTTATTCTTGATTGTCATATTTTCCAGCATTCAAAATGTTACACTTAATACTCCATTTGGCCCATTGATTCTGACCCCAGCCTGCTTGTCTTTCTGGATTGCTCCCATAGCCTTTGTCTACCCACGGACAATCTGAAAGACAGCAGTTGTTTGAGTTTGGAGTTTTCTCCCCTAGATGGGTTGCTGTTCCTAGAAAACAGGCCACATCTCCCCAGTGTCCAAACCCTGGACTTTTGGAGTTTGCAATCATACTCTCTCTCACTTAACCAGTCTGTCCCAATATAATAAACTGACATTATACAATTTTACACTGTTGTATGATGCAAATTACTTCGATAAAAAATAATTCATGTCAACACCATTCCAATACCTAGATTCCTACCTAAACAAAAATTCATGTAAAATTGTAAATTGTGAGCAACCAAAATGTTCACATTTTTTTAGTTGTAATAGCTATCTGTGGAAAAGATTATATCCAAAACATTGTTTTAATGTATAAATTTTTACTCAGGAAGCAGTTAATGGTATTACATAATCAATTTTTCTAACATGTAATTTAAATGCTGAACGTGTATTGTTACATTTGTGTTATTTCTTAAATACCTGTAGGTAGTGCAAGCCACAAAATGGTGCAGTATTTGAGCAATAATCAATGGTAAAATTTTTTCCATAGCCTGAGGAGAAAGAAGTTGTAGGCACTGTTGCAGACAGAGGCAGTAATAGCTCAGTGGGCAGTGCTAGCAACCGAAGTGGAGCCATTGCAAGCAGTAGTAGTGGCGGCGGGCATATTGATATGATGTCAGAGATGCAACTAAAGCTCAAGGCAAGAAAAGCTAAATCAGAAACAACTGGACAAGTACAGGTAATATTTAATAAATATTCTATTTCTAGTATGGATTTGATTGGCACCTGAGCCAGTAAAGGTAGCTGGGCATACTAACTGAGCTATCCCTTATCAAGCTAAGCTCACAGAGCTTAGAAAGTGTAATTTACTTAATATTAATCATTTACATGCTATTCATTATTTCCATATGTAATCTTTTAAAACTTTTATGTCATGGTTGAGTTGTCAATTTCAACAATTATTTTTTTTTGTATTCATGATTACCAGTATACATATAAAAAACTTATTAATTGTATTATAAGGGAGAAAATATTGATGGTGCTGCAACTCTTCCTCACCCAAGTTCATCACCTGATGTACGAAGACCATGGGAGAAAAGTGCCACAAATGGGGGAACAGTTCGACCAGGGCAGGTTAATGGGTCAGAATCTCCTAAACCTACGAGAAAGTAAGTGTAATGTACATTTTTTTTTAATGTAGGCTAGTATTCAGTTTAAAAAATTAGACATGATAAGGATAATTATTAAGGAACTGTTAAAAGTTTGATAATTCCAAGTCATGTGTGATTTAGTTAAAATTAAAGTGTATATGGACATGAGTGAGTTGGAGTTAGGGGATGGACGTATGATGTGCAGAGTGAGAAAGGTGTTGGATGAGAATGTTAAGAGACTGATTTTTTTGTAAAAAAGTTTTCTGTTAGTGGTAGTCTGTTAAATTATATCTTTTAGTTAAAACCTGTAGTGGAGAAGTTATGCTGTTAGAGATAGAAGTATTTTTGCGAGTGTTAATTAGATGCTGTTTGTGTGAAAAATAAACATGTTAATTCCTCAACTTTTAGTGGCCTTGTTATGGAAGTAAAATATTCCTAGGCATAGAAACAAAAAGTATCCATTGTTAAATCAATATTAAATTTCTCAGACGTAATCCATCACTTACTGGTCAAGAAGCCATAAATCTTGGAAATGATGGGGTACCACTCTCTGGAGAAATGGAAATACTTAAGCAAGAAATTCTGGCAGAGATGCGACGGGAGTTATACAAAATGAAAAATGAAATTATAGAAGGTTTGTTGTTTACTGCTTTTCAGGTTTGAAAAAATAAATTGTAACACTACAAATTAGTACAAAGTAGTGTTAAAATTACTGTAACTTAATGGGACTATGTGATAGAGCTATATAGATTTTGTTTGCCAGACACAAGTAGTTGTGCAATCCCTACATCATGTAAATACAGTAATACTGACTTTTTGTTATTGGGTGTGTCTGGGAAAATATTTCTTTAATGGGTCTGGCAATTCTTTGGATTCACAACATTGTGGATGATATAGTATGTTGAATTACAATCTGTCAGATATTTAATAGATCTGTCTGTCTTAACACAATGTTAATATATTACTGTGTTCACAGCTCTTCGTCAAGAAATAGGACACAGATAACGTGGATCACATCAACACAACGAGTCTTGTTACATTACTCTGCCACAACAGAGACTAATCAAATAGCCTTGTTCTAATCAATGTTGTCTAGCATTGGCATTTCTATAGGCTTGGACTTTCTTTTAATGACCACAACATGGAATATGAGCACACTGTGCTCTTCATGTCAGGAAAATATTATTATTAAATAACGTTTAAATCCAGATTTGTTTAGAAAATATTTTTTACCCCACAAAAAGAAAATAGAAAATAAAATACTCAACTTTGTACATAAAATAACATTTCATAACAATTTGTACCATTTTAAAAAAAGAAACACTTGAAAAATACTGGATTATTTACTTGAATACAAGAAATATCAGGGTTTAAAAAAAAACAGTTACAAATGAATTTACAAATGTAGGTGACTCTAGTTTTTAAGTGTAGGTATTTTTAAACATTTATTTTGCTCTTAATACGTTTTTAGGGAAATAGCTAAAACAACTTGAGGTTATATTAATACCACCAAAAGTTCCTTTATTTTATTTTTTAAATATTGTAAACTACACTGAGAAAGAGAAAAGAAAATGCTCTATATTTAAATTTTAAAAGCCAAATACAGATGTGGCCTTTTTTAATAGTATATATTTATCTTTCCTGGGTTTTTTGCTAGCTGATAAAGTGTTCTTAATTCCAATAGCAAAATATCAAAAAGAGTCTGGTGTTCATTGGTATGGCTATCATGTTGCTTGCAATTAGGTTATAGTTATAGTGTATAGACAAAATTTTCTTTTTGATGGTTTCACACAACTGATCTACTTTATAATCAAATTGTGTTAATTAAGCACTTCTTTCTAATTTTGTTTAACAATTGTTTTCCCCCTCCCCATCATAAATGTCTCCTTACACTTGATAAGTAAACACAGAGGTGCACTTTTTGCAAGTTTTAAAATTACCTTATGCTTAAGGTATTCTATTTTTAATCATTTTTTTTGTATGCCATTTTCTATAATTCAAAAATGTTTTTTCCCTTTTAATTATTGTGCTATGACTTGACTATAACATTGTGGTTGAATAAAATGAATTCTTTTTTATGTACTTATAAATGGACTTACATTAAATGAAAAATTATAGCTATAAATATTAAAATTCAACTCTCCCAAATCATATACTCTGGAAAAAATGTAATTCACATTTATACTATGGGATCAATATTTATTTCGCCATGCCTCTTTCACTTAAGTTCTTTTTAAAATGAATATTATATTGGTAACTAAGCACTTTATGAATGATTGGATTGTCATTTCATGCATCACTGTTTTGATCATTGTGCTAGTATCATTTCTAATTTTGATATGGCTGAAACTCGCCTGGTAATTTGTTAAAATCTTGGTTAATTTTTTAACTTTTTTTTTTAAATTCTTTTTGCAACCTATAATATGAACCATACAATGTACTTCTTCATTGTGTTTTTTCAGTGAAATTTTTTATTAGGTTAACTAACAGCAGCAATGTGCTCTCAATCAAATCACCATGACAAATCATGGCTTGTATATAATTGTACATGTTTTTAGTACTTTCTTAAGAAGTATTACTTACTGCATTTTTAGTGAGAATCAACATATGGTAGTAAATTTTTTGTTTAAATTACTGCACCTAAAATATATGTAAATTATATGGAACAAAAAGTACTTTATTGTTGATAGTTTAGTATTAGATCAGTAGAGACACTTCACACTGCTCTACTTACATTATATTTTATACAAAAGTTGTATTTAAAAAATGTAATAGCCTATTGTTTTTTTTTTAATGGGGGGGGGGTGTGATTGTTTTTAAAAATTAATTAATGAAGCATGTAACTTTACTTAGTTTATAAGCGTCAGAGATGCCAACATTTATTTGTGCATTTAAATAGTAACAATGATCCTTTGTTAGCTAATGAAAAAAAATTTTACAGTAGAAAAAGTTGTACATGTATTATACATTTTTCTGCTCAATGTTAAATGAGACAAAGGTCAATATTGACAGCTAATGTATTTGATACATAACTAACTCTTAGATGGTAAAAGCGTAATACCCAAATGACAAGGATGCAGTTTATGCGATGCATGCAAGTTTGTCTTTCAGATCCCAGCAAGTAGTGGGGTAGTATTATTTTTCACCATTATGCTAAAAAATTGTTTTTACATTAGGTTCACAAACTGTAAATTAAGTTTTAAAAGTTAATTGCAAAATTCTAACTGCAATTTAAATTGTTTTAAAAACTGTAACCTTGGATTGAAAAAATACAAAATGATAGCTAAATGAAACATTGATGTCTTACTACACTTAAATACTGCTTTCATTTGTGTTAACTAGTTATTCATTACCTTTGTTGAAACAAACTCTACTAGTGTAATCATATACCAAACTTACTGTCTACTTTTTCTTACATGATTTCCAAGTACTATTCTCTACAAAATTTAATTTAACATAAAATAATAGACAATTACTGACCATGTAGATCAATAGAAACATATTTTATGAAATGTTTCCAGAATTTTATTTACACTCTGCCAAAGAGGTATTCAATTGCATGCTATTTAACTTTGTTTTGTTGCTGTATAATTGTAATGTGACACTTTATGGTATTAATTGTGCTGTGGATCAACTCTATCATTTGCTTTTTCTTGATTGATTTTGATACAATCTTATTTACTTATACTTATAGTCTAGTAGTTGTATAATACATTTATAATTTGCCAGTAAAATTAAAAATATTTGACATTTTTGTTTGTCATCCTGCAGATATTTCATTACATGTAATAAAAAATTGTCTTTAAATTTAATCATTGTGTCTTACTCCAGAATTTTTATTTATTTAATTACACAGCTTTTCAATCAGGGTATAAAAACTCAGTATAATTATTAAAGCAATAATGCATACAATTTTAATAGCTGCGCAGATTTTGACTTTCCAAACTTTTTGGCCTGCTAGGTAAAGATTATAATAGTGAATTTGTATTATTTTCTAGATTACTCTTTATTTGCATGTATATAATGTAAAATTACTATTTTTATTTTTGTCTTGCTCATAGCGGATAACCGTATACTTCTTGTGATGACCAATTTTATTTTATGTTGTACTATTTATACTATTTTGCTTCTTTTGTTGCTTACATTCTGTTTGTACATTCAGCAGCTATTTAAATCTTTCAGACAATAAACTAATCTCTTAGTCTAATCAAAGGCTGACTGTTGAGAGCAAGATAACAAATAAATGGTTCATTTAATAAAGGGAATTTGTCTTTTTATTTGTAATGGTTGCTTTTAGATCTCAGGTTATGTGTAGCAATGGTTTTATTTAATCGTTTTTGAAGACCGTTAAGCTTTTATAGTTATAGTACACTTAAAGCATAATAATTGAATTAACAAAATACATTAGTGTAATTTACAGTACACAAGTGTAAGAAAAACAGAAAATTCACTAGTAAACAATTGGGACTTTATTGCAAAAATGTAATAAACAATGAAATGACAACATTCAAAATTATTGTAGGCCTATCTGAATACATAAGATAATTTAGTTTTCTTAAAGGTTACAAGGAAAACAGTAACATGAAGACAGTTTGCCCATAGTATAGCATGGTCTAGTCTATTCTGACAGAAAATTCCATATTGATACATTGCTTCAGCAATAATAACAGCTGGATCTAACTAGTAAACTACCATTACAACAGCTTGGGCTGATTAGCCTATTAAACTACAGTAACTGATGTTTGTTGCTATTGTTACCACAGTAGCATCCAAGGTGTAGACTATAGTAGTCAGTGTTAAAAATGACTATGATGGGTATACAACTATAGTTTTACTATAGATTGTCGAATGGTCACATTCTATTATTAAACATTAAAACAATTTTCTAGGTCAACAGGGTTTCTTTCAAGACATTTTTTTCCTGGGGGGGGGGGGTGTTAGTTACAACAACAATGTGAATGTCAATGGGCATGGGACGAAGGTAAAATTTAGTTTGGCTACTTGAACTTGAGTTAGATTTAGAATCTAGATCTAGGATAGCTAGATCTATGACTAATGAAATGATGATCCTAGGTCCAAGAGCAAGAATATTTTTAATATTTTAATTTTTATTATTTAAGAATAAGCTGAAATAAACAGTGGACCTAACCCTTAAATTAAGGCCTCCAGCAAGAATCTAGATCTAGCCTGCTGTTAGTTTTTGTTATTATTAGTGGTCTTAACAGATTAGGCCTAACAGAAGTTTAGATCTAGAATCTAGAATCTATGATCTACGTGGTAGATCTATGCCTCAACTAGATCTAGATCTAGATCTCTACACAGCAGAGAAGCTAAATCTAGGCCTAACACACTACACAAGAAAAGCATCGCCACCTGTCGGTGTGAAAATTTAGGTAAAATGCCCGGATTGAAGAATTCTACTAGTTTTAAAAGAGCAAATTTAAAAATGAAATGCTACAAAGCACAACTTTTCTCCACTTGTACACTATTTATTATACTTTCTTCTTGTAATAGAAACAAGTTTCATGGTGTAATGTGTATGAGAACTTGATGAAAACACAATTTAATAATCCAGTTTGCCATTCAATAATCAAGGTCACAGCTGTGTAGTTTGTCTGCGCACGACCGAGGCGCAAATGGACGACATATTTTTAGGTCATTTAGACATGGACCAATCAGCGTCGCGATATGTAGGAGGTAGAGTTGTTGTTCCCTTCATGGTTTTCGTAGCTCAAACCTATCTTGATACAAATTTCATGTACGTTTTTATTCCATCGTTACGTATGTTTTTCACGTCGGTCATCGGAAATTGAAAGGCCAAGCTTTGATAAATCATGGTAAGTTAATGATTAGATTTTACAGTGTTCGTTACAATTATTGAAACAATCTTCGTCATTCAAGAGGTATCCAAACTTGTCTCGCTCATCTGTTCTCACACTCATCTGCTAAACTTCAAAAGTTGAGCTTAGCTTTTGAGGAAAAAGTAAGTAGAAATCTAGATTCTAGGTCTAGAGTCTAGATCTACACTAGTCTAGACTCTAGTTTGATAAGTTGAATCAATATGAATCAGAATAGTTAATTGACAATCACATGAAGCTACGTATTTCGAGATTAAGGTTATTGAACATAAAGAAAGAATGTTAGACAGACTGAGACAGTCACAGTGACTTTCTTAACTTGATAGAATTTTCGATCTGTGTCTCTAGATATCTAGATCTAGATTAGATCTAGATTTAGATTAGATCTCAATATCTAGAGTCTAGATCTAGTAGATCTAGAGTAATCTAGACTCTAGATCTAAATATCTAGATTAGGTCTAGCTCTCTAGATTAAGTTCTAGATCTAATTCCTCTAAAAATCTGTAGCTAGATGAGTAGATCTAGATTCTAGGTCTAGGTCTGACTAATAGTACTAATAGTCACTAATTCTAGATTATACTTGACTAGACTCTAGAGTGACTGTACTTGATTCTCTGTCATATCTATATGTATGTCTAGATCTAAATTTGAATCTAGATTTTTTTCTAGAATCTAAAATACTAAAATATTCTAAAATTCAACAAAGGCCTACAAAACAGATTTTTTTTTAGTTTGAGAAAATAGTCTGACTCATCAACTTGCAACACAGTGTAACAACTTCAAATAAAAATAATTCCATCATTATTTTTTGCACTAAATCTATTCTTTTAACTTCTATAAGAAATATTAGATGATTGAGGTTACTGACTCTGATAATAGACTCCTCCAAACGTAGGTGTGTTAGGTTGTTATAGTATTGTAATCTTGTCTAGTTTAATTGTTAGAAATTAGGCTTATGGATGGTAGGACTTGAGTTATGGTTAGCTAGTCATATGTGTATGTAGTTTAAGTAGTTAACTACCAGAAACCCTTTTTTATTAAGACTCTATTCTCGTACCATTTTTAGACACTGAGAACTCCACCAAACAATTAACATTTAGGTCTATACTATTATAACCTAGCTATAAAATAATAGGTCTGTAAATAGTAATATTCTGTACACCTAGATTGCTAGAATCATAATCTATTTGGTGAAATAGTGCAGCATTACAGTTTAAAGTTTAAGTGCAGTTCACTATTAGTTTCTTCAGGCCCTAGGCCATATCATTATAAAATTTGTATGATAAACATACGCAAGAAAATTTCCTCATACACTGTTAACATCATCACTCATCATCAAAAAATGTGTATGCTTGTCATAAATACATTGCTAGACAATAATTTTTTTTTATTAATTAGGCCTAACTAATTTTTTTTTACTTAGGCTCAGCCAGGTTTTGGACCACCTTCTTTACCTGTAGGGACAGAAGTTAGTGCCAAATACAGAGGTGCCTTTTGTGAAGCAAAAGTTAAAAATGTTGTAAGGGTTGTGAAATGCAAGGTAATGGGTTTGCTCTTAAATCTATAAGGATTATTTAATATTTTTTGGATAATTATTTTGTGTAACTATTGAGAAACTTATTCTCTATATATTATCTAGTAATTGCTGTTAAACTAACCTAATAATTCAATGTGAGGTAACCATATTTTCTTTTCGCAAATAGGTTATGGTAAAAGATTATCAGTCAAGTATATTTGTCAATGATGATGAAATTAAAGGAACAATTAAAGTGAGTATGCTTACATAATTTTTGTTGGAAATACAGGTTATTATTTATTAACAACAGTTAGTCATCATGTGTACACATACTAATTTTTCCAGCTTGGGGCAGTGGTTGAAGTAAAACATCCTGAAACAGGTCAACCAGTAGAGGCTACTATCAATAAACTTATAGACCATAGCACTTATACTGTTGGTAAGTCTATATTGTTTTTTTATGTTATAGCTTTAAATAATTAGACGTAAAACAATTTTTTTCTAAAAAATTGCACTAATTATAAGAATTAAATAATGTTTCTTTTTTTTTTTAAGTTTTTGATGATGGGGATGAAAGAACCTTGAGAAGAACTCAACTTTGTCTTAAAGGAGATAAACATTTCATTGAGAGTGAAGTAAGAATTTTTGTCACTTCAGTGACCTGCTTCTGATTGTTAGTTTTTTAATAATTGCAATTCCATAAATGGTCTGAGTAGCATGTTCAATATCATTAATATATGTCCAAATCGATTAAATTCGGTAGAAAGTAGAATTAAAACTATTTTTTTTTCTCATCTAAGACTTTGGATAACCTACCACTATCACACCCTGAGCACTTTGGTACTCCAGTTTTGCAAAACAAAAAATCAAAAAGGAAACACGAGTAAGTTGTCATTGAAATGTAATATTAAATAGCTATATATTCATTTCTCAAAAATACTAAGTTAAAATACTTTTTTAAAAATCAGTGGTGCTAGTGATGGGGAAGAAGAATCAGATGAAGAAGAGTCACCAAGACGTGCTACATATAGAGGCAGACACCAAGAATTAGTTGGTAAACTAATGCTGGTTGATCTCCCACATCGCAAGGGCTCGCTGATTCCTGCACTGGTTGTCTTACCAGATGCAAATAGCCTAAATGAAGTGAAAAACAGAGATCAAATTCTAGTTCGTTCTTTCAAAGATTCCAAATTGTAAGTAAAATTGTTCTTGTGATAATGTTTTTAAAGTAGAAAACCCTCTTATTAAGAAATAAACTAGATGCAAATAGCCTAAATGAGGTGAAAAACAGAGATCAAATTCTAGTTCGTTCTTTCAAAGATTCCAAATTGTAAGTAAAATTGTTCTTGTGATAATGTTTTTAAAGTAGAAAACCCTCTTATTAAGAAATAAACTATTTTTAATGATTTCAGCATGGTGGTTACACGTAAAGACCTTAAAGACTTTTCTAGGGTTGTTGCCATTAAAAATGAGGACAAAACAATGAGAACTGGTAAATATAAATTATTCTGTTGCAAATGTTGGAGCATTCTTAAATTAGAAGCAGTTAAACTAAAGGTAATTTTTTAAAATTTGCAGCTATTGAGAAAGCACTCCTGTATTTTGATACTAAAGAGTTGCCAGTAGGGTGGGATAAAGAGGAAATGCTTGGATCTGATTGTGATGATAATGAAGATGGTGAAGAAGAAAATGAATATGTAAGTACTAGTTACCTTGTCATAGTTTACATGCTGTACTCAATTTTCTTCATATTGGCTTTATTTTGGTACAAACTTGATGAGCTTGCTGTCAAAAAGGCATCATTTTAAAAAAAAAACTTTAATTAGTTAAACTAGTGTTTGGTTTTTTTTGTTTATTTATATAAATTGGAAGCAGATCCTGTCATGCATGAATTATCCTTATCCTCTCATTTACTCAAATTATTGCTTAAAATAATCTTATAGGCATCAGAGGATGAACCTTTTGAAGAAAAGGATAGATTTGTGGCACAATTGTACAAATTTATGGATGATAGAGGTACACCAATTAATAAGGGGCCTTGCATTGGTAATAAGGACTTGAACCTTTATAAACTATTTAAGATAGTTCAGAATCTTGGAGGCTATAATAAGGTAAGGCCCTTTATTTTAACTAAATAATCAATTTAAGTTAATTTAAGTGTCTCAATAGTAAAGATGTTTTTATTAAATTATGTAAGTGATAACAGCAAATCTTATCATTTTTAGGTTACTAAAGAGATGAAATGGTCAGTTGTCTACAGCAAAATGGGTTTGCCTTCTCTTCATCAGAATCCTGCTCATCAAATCAAAACAGCTTACAAAAAGTAATAAATAGTTGATGCATCAATTGTGTGTATTTTACAAAACTTAACATCGGTCTTGAATTATACTTATATTTTATTTATTCTATTAGGTATCTAGATGCTTATGAAACCTTTTATCGTAAACTGGGTAGTACAATGGGTACTTTAAGTCGACCAGGTCGTGCAAGGCAAAACTCCAGTAGAAGTATTTTGAACTTCCGTGGTAGAGAGAGAAGCCCACGATCTCCTAAACCACCAGAAAAGGTGTGTTTTTTATACTTGTTTTAGTTTTAACATTATCACATTGTATACTTAGCCTTATTATGTATTGTATGAAACTTGGTTTATACTGTTTATCTATTGTTAAAGGTTAAAGAAGATACTGAAAGTCCTAAGCGCAAAATAGAAGTTTCTCCTGACAAACCTGAAGAAGCTGATGCAGCTACTAACATGGGTGAGGATGGTGATGTAATGACCAGGAGAACTCCTCGTAGAGATGCTAGAACATTGACAGTTAAGGAAGAAAAAGATAAAAAAGAGGACGTGCAAAAAGGGAAAAAAGAAGACAAAAAAGATGAAGTTAATAAAGCCAAAAAAGAAGATAGTGTTGCCCCTAAAGGAAAGAAAGAAAGTGTTTCCTCTGCGACAAAGACTGATGTCGTTAAAGTTAAGGAAGAGTCAGTTAAAAAAGAAGATAGAAAATCTTCTAGAAAAAAAGAGGTGGATGAAAAGGAGGTAGAAAAAGATGAGAAAAAGACTGATAAAGGTAAACTAATGAAAGAAGAAGAGAAGAAAGAGATGAAAGTGGAGTCTCCAGTGCCTCAGGACAAAGAATCACCAAAAAAAAGGGTATGTTTATATTTTAATTTTAACTGTAGGTTGTGCATTTCTAAATATGTATATAATTGACAATTTTGTTGTTTGTTTTGTCTTGATACATACAGGAGATGAGTTTTTCTTTTTGAATATTAAGATTGTTCTATTCTTTCAGGTCACAAGGCGTAAGTTAATGGTCACAGATTTAAAAGAATCTGAATTAAAAGAAGAGGAAGATAAGAAAGAAGCTACAAAGAAACCACTCATAAAAGAAAACAAAGTCATTGAGAAACCAGGTGATAAAAAGGAAATCCCAAAAACTCTAGAAAGGCGAGACTTTAAGTCATTGGAAAAAAAAGATACTGGTGCTAAGTCAGTGGAGAAAAAAGATACAAAGTCTGGTGAAAAGAAACCCAAGTTAAATGATGATAAAAAACAGAAAAAAGAGAAAAGAAAGGATGAAAAAATGGATGATGCATTGGATATAAGGTAGGTGTTTTTCTCTTTCAGATATTCATTTTGTCACTTGTTTTAGTTCTAGTCCGTACAATTTCAGCAGCCTTTGTCACTTTGTGTTTAAGCTCCAACAATATGGTTTCACAAGCTGGGCAGAGTGATGAAGAGGATGAATCAGATGTTGAAAAGCCTGTTACAGATCCAAAATTGGATTTCCCTATAGGCTCACGGTTGAAAGTAAAGTATGGAAGAGGAAAAAACAAAAAGATTTACATTGCAAAGGTTAGTATTCCCAAAATTTAACCAAAATGTACTTTTTACAAGCTTTTATTTAACTCACTTCCTCGTCAGTCTGTCTGTCTAGACGGAAATGCAGGAGTGAAAATTCGGACAGTTCTACTTGACCGATACGATTCACAGTTGGCACGTGGGTCAAGACATGAAGACAATGCAATCTGAAACTAAATTTGACTTAATTGGATGCCTAATTAATTTTTTATGAATTAATAAAAATTTGGACCGAATTAGTAGGCATGTCTAGCCAACCACACCACACGCGTCATCACCTCAATAGCTGCGCCATCACGTAATGGCTGCGTTAAAAAACCATTGCGCGCCTACTGAACGTGATGTTCAGTAGGCGCGCAATGGTTTTTAGTCATGTAACTCTATTGTAAATAAAACATGTAAAGTACTGAAACAAAAAATTCATAAAAAACGTTTTAATAACAAGCTTTTATGTAATGATGCACTAAAAAGTAGAAAATAAATTATAGACTACTATTTAAATAACTATAAAGAAAAGCGTGGGTCACTTTAGTATCTATTGGATACCTTTACTAATGTTTAGGAAGACACCCACGCTTTTCTTTATAGTTATTTAAATAGTAGTCTATAATTTATTTTCTACTTTTTAGTGCATCATTACATAAAAGCTTGTTATTAAAACGTTTTTTATGAATTTTTTTTACATTTTTTCTTTGTGTTTTTGCTTATGAATTTTTTTAAAATTGGCACATTTAATTTTAAAGGTGGTTGATTTTGGCAAAGATGGATTACACAAGACATATTTGGTGCACTATGCAGGATGGAATACTAGGTATGATTATTCTTTTATGTGCAGTTGGTAAATATAAGATAATGGCTATCTCATCTAGATATTAACCTGTGAGTTAATCAGATGATAAAAACAATTGGAAATTGAAAAGCACCATATTTTTTCAACACAGGTACGATGAATGGATCCGTGCAGATCGCGTGGTCTCAATTTTGGATAAACCCTCAGATGGGGAAAATAAAGTTAAAACACCTCCATCTAGGCCTCCAGTGAGTTGATTATTTGTTGTGGTGCAGACCTTTTTTTAAAATCTAGTGGAATTTATTGCAACAACACTTCCATTTAAATATGAGTATATTGTATCAAATGTATATGAGCCTGCTTGTCTAATTACTAACTATGCTAGAAGTTTTTTCTGAAGTTCTGTCTTGTTCAGACAGTTAAAAGAATACCATCTTTATTTCAGTTTTCTGCTACAATGAAAAAGATTGGAAATGGAACCAAACCTACAGGCTTGAAAAAAAGTGGCCAGATATTCAGAACTCCAAAAATGATTCGTGCAAAAACTAGAGCAACACGCTCATCCAGTTCTGATACCTCTGTTGTCAGTAAAGGTTCTGGTAAGTCTGTTTTTCTCAGCTGCTTTTGTCTATTTTTCTGTTATTTACAAACTTCACTTTCTACTGAAAAAAGGCTTACCTTTTTATTTTACTTTTCACTGTCTATAGACAAAAGGCTGACCAGGCGGCGTTCTATATTAGCAGATTCAACTGGTTCTAAATCTCCTGGTATGTAGGAATTAGGATGCCATAAAAACCCATTTTAAGGCATACAAGTAGAAAATTGCAGATGTACTCACACAACTAAATTATGTGATATGCATTGTTAATATTTTTCAGATAGTCACATGAGTAGTGATGCAGAGGATAACACGGGCTCAGAAAGAGCAGATGATGAGGATGAAAATACAAAGTCTGACAAAGAGGAGGAGGATGATATTTTAAATGTGGAGGAAGATGAAGAGGCAGAGAGAGAGAAATGTGATCTTGACACAAGTCTAGAAGAAGGAGAAATTCCCGTGAAGACCATTGTAGCTCCTGAAACAGGATCAGAAAGAATTGAAAATGAAGAGTCTGAGGTTAAAATTAAACAAAAAGATCAGTGTGATGTGGATCAGCCTGGAGAAGATGTCTCTCATTTGGCTGAAAATACATCAGAAGGAAAGAAGGATTCTAAAGAGAAACTAGAACATGCTAAGGAAACTCCTGCAAAGACTGTAACCGAAGTTGTCAAAAAATTTGTTTCAGAAGTTAAACATGAAAGAGCATCTGTGGTGGTATCTGAGGTTAATAATGCTGTTGATGAGATTAGATCTGCTGTTTACCAAGGTGAGTTAGAGCCTGAAGAAAAGACAGATGTCAAACCGGAACCTAATAGTGTGGATACACCTACTCCATCATCTGATTCTACACCTGAAATATCAGAAAAACCAGAAGAGCTGGATAAAGAAAAATGTCTAAATGAAATAACAAACCTGAAGTCCCCAGGGCCTAGCATAGTGGAGCTGTGTGCTTCACCTGCTGATGAAGAGCAAGCACTTAAAAGTAAGACTGAACCTCCTGTAGAACAGGACAATAAGGAGTGTGAGAAACCCAAGGCAGGCAGGGGAAGAAAAAAGGAAATCCCATCTAAAGAAGTAAAACGACCATTTAAAACACTTGACATGAGTGGAACAAACTTAGCTGGAGATGCTCCTAGCCTAGCTCCAGTGAGTTTAGAACCTGTACCGGCTGCATGTGGAGCTACCACTGGCAAGACAGAGCCTTCACCATATGATTTTGATGTAGAAGTAGAAACATCATGGCAGCGAGAAATCACTAAGAAGTGGGAACCCAGTCAAAAAGGAGCTCCTAATGTTAAGGATCCAAAAGATTCATTGTCAGCTGCTGATGAAGGAGAGGAAAAAGACAAGAAGAAAGTAAAGAAAAAAACTAAAAGGAAATCTCAGAGTTCTGAACAAGTGGTAGATAAAGAGGGGGAAGAACCAGTGACAACTACTCCTTTAGCTCCTAGTGTTAAAGATGAGGCCCAACCATCACCAGTTTCTGTTGATGTTGCAATTGATAAAGTAGCTCCTAAAAAGAAAGGTAGAAAGAAGAAAGAGCTTGTTACAGAAACTAAGAAAGAAGTGATTGAGCAATATGAGAGCACTGTAAATAGTGTTGTTGAAGCTGTCAAACATTCACTGCAGGAAACAGAGTCTGACCATGAACAAAGGCCTATGGTGAAAAGACGAAGAATGAAGCGTGCTTCAGAGAGTGATAAAAAAGACACTTCTGTTCGTCAGTTAAAAGTAGGAAGAAAAATTGCAGGCAGAGATTTGTTGGAAGGGTTTTTACAAGTGAATTCTGAAGATGATAAAAAAGATTGCCCTTCGAATTCTCACAATGAAGCTTTATCTCAGTCTTTACCTATTCTTGATTCTGCTTGTGGCTCCTCGTTGGTGGAAGATAATGAAAACAGCTTACCACAAAAAGAAAGGCGAAAAGAAGCAAGTTTTTCAGAAAGTCAAGGATTTGAACCTCAGCCAGAACAGCCTGATGCGAATGCTCCATTTGACAACACACCACCCACCACCCCTGAGCATGATGAAGAAGCTCATGGTGCAATCCACCATCAACCAAATGTATATAATAATGACGATCTGGCATTAAAATCAGATATTAAAGACTCTGCTAAAGCAGTTTGTCCCTCTTCTTCTGCATCATCTATATCATTGCCAATTCCTATAAGCAACCATGTGACAGCAAAATCTGCCAGTGAATCTCCATCTGATAATGATGTGACAAGTACAACCTCCACGGACAACTTTGACACAACTCCCACTGCCCAACAGTCAGAAAGTAGTGGAACAGATCAAGATGTTCCATCTAACAAAAAAAGAAAGACTGCTGAAGATATATTGAATGGTATTTTGGGACCAAAGAAAAAGAAAAGGATACATGGAACTAGAAGTAGAACAGCACAAAAATCCCCAAAATGTAAGCTCAGTTTTTGTCACATTTGTGTATTACTTAATAGTAGTTGAAAACAAACACTATAAGCTATACTAGACTTTAATTTCTTTTTTCCAAATAGATCTTGGCAACTCAGATTCTCAGAACTCAGCTTCAAATACTCCCAACCACTGCCCAGAGTCTCCACCTACTAAATTTCCAGATTTGTCCAAATCTCCAAGACCTTCAAAGTATAATTTTAGTGCTGGTAAGCAAATATTAATTCACTGGATATGTTATTTTATATTGTGTAAGGCCAAAATAATATTTTTAAATTTTTTTTTTTTAAAGATTTAGGTGAATATTTAGAAGGAGAGGCAAGATGCAATTTTCTTATCAGTAAAATGAAGGAAATCAAGTCAATTTATATGAATCTTAAGTCAGAAGTGGCTAGCATTGACAGAAGAAGAAAAAGAGCCAGAAGAAAAGAAAGAGAGTGTAAGTGAATTTTCTTTCAAAATGGCAGCTTTGATGTTAAAGCTAAGTATTAATTAATATATTTGGATATACCAGTCATTAAACTTCAACTCGACTAATCAGCTTATGTTTCTATTTTGTTCAGCTTCCCAAGTGTCACCAAATGACAGAGACACATCAACATAGTACTGACTTCTTTGTACAGCTTTTAATCGCATATTTATATTGCTGCCATTTTTATACAAGTTTGTTAGATTTTATCTAAAGCTTGTTATTTAATGAGCCATGAAGGTAATATATTGTGTACATTTATAAATATTGTCAAAATGTAAAGCAAAAATAAAGCAAATAATAAACAGAGATAAAAGATCAGTTTACCTTTGATAATTTATCTCTGTCTTATGTTGCCTTATTCTATATTTATACAACAATCGTTGTTTTAAAGCAAAAGCTTATCCCACTGGAAGTTCATAAATTGTATTAATAAAGGGTTATTTTTGGTACATAATTCTACCCATTTGTAAATTTACTTTACACATGCCTTCATTTTAGAAGGTATGGTAGAATTTTGTTCCTGGTCCTGTCACATACTTTAAAAATTGTATTTATTTATTTGTTAATAAGATAATGTTAATAGTTTATTGTATGAATATAACTTCTCTTTGATTACATCATGTAGTTCATGTCTTAGTTTTTAGATTTGTTTCTTTCAGTACTTAAATCTAAATTATGCCTGTTAAACTTCATTCCTTCAAACCAGCAATTCTCATTGAATTTTTTTTTAGACCTGACGCCACAATTGTACTACTGTAAAATTCTTCTTTAAATTACTTTTTAGCTAACTTGTTGGACCTGTGAATGTACATTTTAACTTACACATTTTAAATGGAATGGTAAAGCTGCAATCTAGACAATGTTATGATGATTCTTTCAGCTTGCTGAGTTGGATCAAGTGCTTCATATGCAATATGAATATTTGACTATTCTCTGATGCCATTAATTCATATTATTGCTCAAAATCGTTTCCAGTTGTCGTATATTCCTTTATTCGTTCAAGTCTCTATCCTTGAATAAAATCTTTTAAAGTTCTAAGCATTGATTATGTAAATACCTAATTAGATTTTGGGGGAGTAAAATGATTTTTATTAGACACCACCTGTCTTCTGGCCACTTGTTGATGACTGTTAATGTAATAGAATCTACTATATTTCAGCTTGCTGAAGGCATTTTGTTTATGTACTACTTGGTAAACCATCTTATTTAATGGATTCAATCTCTAATTTTCATTTTGTTCATTTTTTTCTTGGTTCAAATGGGTTATTGGCCTTATTCATTTTGGTGCCAATTTTTACTTTTATAAAAATGGTGCAATATGTTTCAAAAACAATCTGACTTTAAAATAAAATGGTTTACAGTACATAAAGGTAACAGTTAAAAATGTAATTTCTATTTTTGTAAAGGAATAATGTATGTTCATTTTGGTAATGACCTGTGCCAACATGTGTTGACTTCCACCCTCTATCCTAGTTGGAGGGTCAAAGTGCAATTCTCAATTCTTTCATGTTTGGTTGGAGCCAATGAAGTTTGCGCTTTAAATTAGATTTTTAGTATCAGTCCCTCATATCAAAGTGCACCAACTATTGGTGAACATAGTAGTAGGCTTGTCTGAACATATGGGATTGTGATGTTTACAAACAACTGGTTGGGTTTGAAGTGATATATATGTGATGTCTACGTCAGATATTCTTATTAGGAGAAAGTAATACATGCTATTCATTCCGATTGTCCTATTTATGTACAGAAATAAAATGATTTGCATTTTTATTTCATTGTTATGTTTTTCTTTCCATTTTATCGAATGAAGTATTGTAAACATTTTATGTTTGTTTGTTTAATAAGTTAAGTAGTTATATTTGTTAATTCTCTTAATGTGGATAATAAAAAGACTGAAATAATTGTGCAGTTTAAATATCTGTCACTGTCAGTTGTATCAGGCTAATCAACATTATATCATTCATTTTGTTTTACATTCATTGCGACTTTTTTCATTGTAAGTGCAAGATTATATCAAATGTTTGTTACTGTCCATCAAATCAAAAACCTACTTTGAGCAGTTACTTGAGTGTTAAAGCTGAACATTTTTTAAGAAAGAAAAACACCACTTTGTTCGATAAAAACTAAGGTGAATAGATGAATGGTCAGTGTTGATTGATTGTAACTACAATGGAATAAAGTGCCATCATAAACTTCAAATATTACAATCACAACTAATTATTTACTACAGCCTCCAGTTGTGGTCTGGTCTACAAATAGTTGGTCAGATTGTTTGGTGATATTATAATTTATGTATTATTTTTAAAGTTAACAAGGTATTTTACCTTTAGCATGTTTTCAGTTGCATAGTTTTCTCTCCTTACCGCAACCTGTTTTCAGTTTCGTGACTATCAAAAAAGAGCCTACTACGGGAATTCTTCTGTTACTTTATTAAACTTAAGGGAAAGAGGTTACCGATAGGCTTACACCGAAAGTGAGACCGGGATCTTATTATTGTATTTAGGTCTAGTTATTTTTAACCTAGGATTTCCGTCCTTATTTTATTACGTCATCAAATGCTGTCCAATCAAACGTTCTAAAAAACAGGATAAAAACGTGGATCACAGTTCAACAATAACAGTGTTGGTAAGACTTAGCCAAGTAGTATATAAAGTCAACGGAGAATTATTTATTTATTCTACTGGAATACAGCTTATTTTTTAATAAATTGTTCGGAGCAAACATTAAGATGTTATTCCTTATTTCATTTTCTGTAAGTACAAAAGCGTATTTTTTAATAATACATATTTGGCTTTGTTTTATGCGTTATCTTATATATCATACTTATAGCCAACCATTGATAAATAATTATGATAAAGCCTATATCTACAGTTGATTTTCAGCACATTTGCTCTAAGACTAAAATTGACTTTAAAAAAACGTTTCCAACAAACTTCGTAATTTGTTGAAAAAAAAAAGAATTAAACTAAATATAAACAAAAGGTTTTTAAAAGTATGAATAAATCAGACATAATTTTTAAAACGTGATATTGTGTTGAATTTAGACCTACTGGATAGAAATTGTATGTATATCAATCTATATGTTTTAATTATCTTGTTAAGACACTTAATGATTAATTAGTAAAACTTTTAGTTGGCTGCCGTATTTTTTCCCCAATTACTTTTAATGTAGAACGTGTAGCCTATTCATAAATAACTGGGGAAATGTGCATTTCACTGTAAACATGTTTACCGTTTTCAAATATGTTAGACCTATTCATCTTTTTCAAAAAATAAACAAACGCTGGTCGGGTAAAGTTTGTGCAAGCACAAATACCAAAATAAACGCTATTAATTTGGTTGTCCCCGCTCTCCCCCCCCCCCCCCCCCCCCCTTCTCGTTACCTTGAAGTTGTTGGCAATTGTTGGGCTGTCCCATAAAAAATGACGGCGGTCGTAGTTGCTATTATTAGCAACATCCGCGATAGCTAGGGATTGGTTAATTAGTTGACAGTATAAAAAAAACAAAAGGAAGTAAACAAGAAGGGATGTAGAAGTGGGTGGTTCTGACCTTTCTACCCCCCCCCCCCCCCAATCTCTACACTGTCTATTATAACCTTGGAAATAAGAAGTAATAAATCCTTATCTTAATAAAGTTGAAACATTTGTGCCTGGAACCTTTGATACTTAAAGACATACTTAAAACATATATGCTTGGAGCTTTACTTTAATACTTACATGACATGTTTAAAACATATATGCTTGGAGCTTTACTTTAATACTTACATGACATGTTTTAAACTGACCATTTCTTGTTCTCAGCTCTGCCTTCTCCTGCAACAAAGCCACGTGACCTGTAGTGTTGACACGCAGGCCACTGATGTTTCAACTTCTGGAAACCAAACCAACAATTCATCGTCGTCAGCACAGCAGGAGATCGAAGAATTTATTTCTTACTTAAACAAACTCAGTTCCGACGTAGGTAGCACGGAGACAGTCAACTTGTCAACTACAAATCCTAGCACGGTGACCAGTCAAGATACGACTACGCTCCAAGGGCTAATGGATGCCATTAAAAAACTCAACAGTTCAGCCACGGGCGTTACCGCTAGCTCGGGAGTTCAAGAAACAATATACAATACACGAACCGACCCAGCAACCGAACAAAAAGCGAGCGCATTGTCTGCTTTTTACACCGAATCTGAACAAGAAACAGAACGTCTGCCCACCCCGGACCCTGCCACGATGCAGGATTTGATGCATTTTATAGAGAAACTAAACCAGCTTAGTGAAAACAGCGTGGCATCGATTCCACAACCTACCCCCGCCCCCGACAACTCGATCCAACAAGACATGGAAACCTTCATGAACAAACTAGACGCCCTGAGCCATGCATCCCATTTAGCTTCAGGCTCAGAGAGAACTAGGGCTCCACAGCAAGCAACCGACACAGAAACCACGACCATATCTCAGTTACCACTGGCGAACGCCACTTCATCCCAGCTGTCTTCAGATGAAGCGAAGCCAACAGACTCTCAAGTTAAACTGTACTGGGCTGGCTTGGATCTGCAAATGCTCTTATTTATCAGCATCACTTCTGCTTTTCTTTTACTCATCATTATCGTCGTCGTCATTCTTGCATGCATGAGGTGCCAAAAGAAGAAAAAAGATTTGAGTTTAAACAAGGAGTTTAACCGATGGGACCCTCAGCTGTTGCGTCCCAGTCAGCCTTCAATAGATGCCTTCATCTTTGGCTCGCCAATACCTACAGTCGCCGAGATGATCAAATTTTGAACACGGCAGTCGTTTCTATAAATAGTTTCGGCCCTACTGTTATGTCATGGTTGTGAACAATTTTTGTGCCAAGTCTTTGAAGCGTCTTTAGTTACGAAGCCAGATTATCAAATTCAATGTTACCAAAATAACACATCAATGTTACCAAAATAACACATCATTGCGCGGCTTTAGTGCGAACTGTTACTATGGTGCTATGTATATTTGTAATTTTATTTCAGGAGAAAAAAAAACAGTCCCAGTCTTCCACTGAAAAGTGCTCTTTATATTTGATATTTTATACACCATATTTTTTAATTCGTTGTGCCTTTAAACTTATGTAGTGCCTTGTTGATATTGACTTAACTTTATAGAATTTAATATACTCAGCTGACGGGTGTTTGTCTTCAGCCAGTCTTCCGTGGAAACATTGTGTGTGATATCCAGCTTTTCCTGGTAGGCCAGTGTATGCGGGTATTTCAGCTATCATATCGGTGCTACTGTAGTAGTTAGTCGAGGTGCATTCACGATAGGTTTTATAAACACATCGCTCCATGTTTTTAATTGATTTAATTGTCATTATTTAACAGTCGCAAGCCAGTAATTATATGAGGTTTTTATTAAGAAAAAAGAAGGCATCATTCATGTTAAGGTCGAATTAAATAACTTCAACACCGATAGGGTATGTTGTATTTTTGTCCTTTTATTCTCATGTACTGTAATACACTTCTCAGTCGTCAACAACCTTCAAACCCGCCTCCCCACATAAAAAGTCCCCTCACAATCATCCACACACCTTTATACCCGGACCTTAGGATAACAATAAACACATGGGGTTAACTCACACCCACACTATCCCCTGTTCTAGACTAAGCTATTTTAATCTAACTTACAAATGACCCGTAACAATTCGTATATGGTTGTGTCTTGTATACTACAAAGATTAGGCATCATTCTGCATGACTGTGTTGTTAATGCCTGACACACTTATTGTTTCACTTCATAAATGTTTATTTATTATGTTTTTTAGCTGACTATTTGTCTTATATGGACTACATTTCTGCATTACTTTCTTTTAGAAAGACATTCGTTGTCTTTTTTTTACTTTCTCGTATATACGAAGTATAGAGAAAGTCTTGTAATCGTGCAAAAAAAAAAAATCGAGATTTTTACAAATCTCGACGTTTTACACCTCACTGATACGGAAAAACATAATTTTGCAATCTTGTCCGTATGTCTGTGTGTCTGTGTGTGTGTGTGTGTGTGTGTGTGTGTGTGTGTGTCCGTGTGTAAACACGATAACTTGAGTACCGTTACAGCTAGGTTGATGAAATTTCATATATAAGTATTTTATCAAAATCGTAGATCCGTATCAACTTTTGAGCGATTTCCGATAACCGGAAGTGGTATTTTTCCTACTTTGAATTTTTGAAAAGCCTATAACTTGAGTACTATTTCAGATAGATAAATGAAATTTCACATGTAAGTAAAAGATCTAATTCTCTACATTCTGTCAAATTTTGAGTAATTTCCGTTGACCAGAAGTAGTAATTTACGCTACTTCCGATTTCTCAAAAAACTAATGTAAATTTTTAAAGTACTAATAATATTGCGCACTATAATACACATTTTTTTTTATACCGCGTTCACTTGGTGTGCAATTAATTTGTCTACGAGATTTAATTCTATTTTTAAAACTTTAAGTATTTAAAATGGATTAAAAATCATGCCTTTAGCCCGAGTTCCCATCCCCTGTTATTTTATATAAGAATATTCGAGAAAGTTTAGGGGAGATCACTCCCGGTTTATTTTATGAGTCGTTCAGTATTAATAAAAAATGTAACTTTGTAATTAAAAATACTTATAAGTTAGTTCCAGCATGAATGTCGCATGTTATTTGATGGATTGTAGCGATGTGTGTTAGTGACTGGGAACATGGTCGATAGTCTCCTCATTTTTCAGACTGTGACAAATGTTTCAAACAAAAGAGATGTGGTGTTTTTGTACAAGTGTGGATTAGTTCACAAAGGTGGACAATGTATTGTCGAGTTTTTTTTATTGTAACCAGATAACACGAATTATGTAATTTTATTAATATTGTGTTAAAGATTATATTAATACCCTTTTCAATGATATTTGTCAGTAATAATTAATATAAAGCATATTTTGTCAATGATTATTATAAAATTAACACCAGTTGGCCCGATATCCTTTTTAAAAGGTTCAATTTTAAAAGATTTAAACTTTGAGCCCGAACGTCCAGGCTCAGTTTAAAAATAAATTCAAGATATCGCTGCAAAATACGTTCCAACCCCTTTTAATTGTTAACACAGTCGGAAGGAGAATGGCAATTTTAGTTGAGTTAGCTCCAAAAAAAAAATCCTCAGCCTAAGATGAAGTAGATGTTTCGTTTAAAATAATAATAATTTTTTAAGCATTATCTTTGGTACGGTAATTAAAAAATAAATTCAACTTAAGTAACATGTTTGATTCATTTGATTATCTTTGAATTTTTTGTGTTTTTGTATTTGGATAAACATTCGTGTTTTGATATATGTGTTGCTTATATAAAGCAAATAAGTTAATAATTGATATGGGTACATGAAACTGACCTGACACTAGATAAGAATCGCAAATACAGAAAGTTGAAATAAAAGAATACGGTAATCGTGCTAATTGTTCACCATTGTTCACTAAGGGATGGGCCATTGTTTCACGCTATGAGACAAACAATCGAGAGGTTGACACCGTGTGACGTCAGCTGGTGAGTAAAGATCCTGGACCAGATATAAACTGTGTTTGATGCTAACCAGTGGCGTTGCGAGGTCGGGTGTCACCCGGTGCGGCAATTTTCGATTTGCACCCCCCCCCCTCAAACTTTCGATTTGCATCCCCCCCCCCAATTTTTCTCTATATATTTAGCTATTTTTTGCCTTGGTGTCACCCCCCCCTAAATGGTGTCACCCAGTGCGGTCCGCACCCCCCCCCCTCGCTACGCCTCTCATGCTAACAAACTACTAAGCTATCCACCTAGGCCAGTGGTTCCTAAATTTGTTGGTGGTACTGAACCCCACCAGTTTCATATGCGTATTCACGAAACCCTTCTATAGTTCTTACGTCCGCACTGACAAAAAAGATCACAAAACATATGAGTCTTATGTGTTTCTTGGCCTCCGTCGAACCCATAAGATGGACTCCCCCAACCCCTGGGGTTCGATCGAACCCAGGTTAAGAACCACTTACTTAGACACGTCATGTGGATAGCCTACTACTAGCAGTCCACGTATTCGCTTGAATTCGGTATTCATTTAACCAAGGGCATTCGATGAGCAGGTATGTAATGCAAATGTTACCCACAGAAAACAAAGGTATTTGCTACACATCGACATGAATGTTATAAAAAGCAAAACCAGTGTTTCTTTCTGGCATCTATCCGACCTGGGACGGGGGGGGGGGGGGGGTGCCTCGGAGCAAGTCCACCCATCCCCAAATAGAAATATATAGGCCTCCAATGTTTATAGAAAATCTATGACTGGCCTATTTAACCAGTCTCCGCCCGTCATAAGTTTCAGGTAACCCCTCACTATCAAGTAAATGACAATACCGATGGCCAAATTTAAACAGGAAACTAATTATTCGAAAAAAATCATCAGCGGATATGTGTGGGTCTCATACTTAACATATCAATTTCCATTATATTGCTGTTCACCTTTCATTGTATGTTGCGGCTCTTTATTTTATTGTAATTAAAACGTGTTTGCAAACGTTCTTCCGTTAATCTGCTTGAATAATTTCTTCAACATACCGACTAAAAGTCAGCAGTAAATGATTGAATATTAACTGACGTAAGACTCGTTCAAACATTTTTCTGTAATTCACCAAGAGGAGATTATATCTGACATGATGATAGCCAATGAATGTCGATTGTCATTTTGAAACATTGATACGCAGTAGTCGCCCCTACTTACGTCTTGAATCACCAGATGCCGCAGGTAACATTAGAGCAGTTTGGCTACATCTTAGTGACATCTTAATCTTGATAAAGCTGGCCTGTCAGCATACAGAACCTCGGGGCGGATGACGTTCGGACTCAAAATCAACTATTTTCTATCTAACCACGTACGTTTAAAGATGAACGATAAAAACAAGGATATTAATGATGTAGTTACGTAAACAAGACAGGTAGGAGTGGGCATGCATGAATTAACTCTCAAACTTAATGCGTGCTGTCAACTGGGAATAATGTGTGCCATTTTCTACCAATAATGTTTGTAGTAAACCTACTTATAGAAGATTTACAATAAATTAGAAAGAAAACAACGAAAACAAACATCGTAATAGAATTGTTATGACTTTTATGAAGTTAACCCAACACTTCGTTTTATTTCATAATTTCATTACAATGTTATATAATTTTTTTATCCCTGCTTTAAAAAATATTATAACTTTGTTAGGGGTAAATGACAATTAGGCTAAAGTGAAGATCAATCAAAAGCAAATTAGATTATTAAAAAGCTACAGAATTTCTTGAAAGTTACCAGCTTGATAAGCCACTACTCTCTCCTTAATTATAATTTAAGAAGCCCCGTTTTTCTATGTTGAAACTTTAGTCAACATGGCGGCATGGTCGTGTAAAGCGCTCGTCGGATAGTCTAATCCAAAAGTACCGAGTTCAGATCTCGATCCGGATTTGAGTCTGTAGACTACTCTAATGGGTACCTGACTCACGTTTAAGAAAAATAAAGACGGCTGGGCATAGTGATATGATACTTCATAAGATAGGAATTTTTTACTTAATGTTATAAATTAATTCATACCACTTTTAAACTTATTAAAGGCTTCGCCCAGAGTTTCTTCCAGGCATCTCTTCGGGGGGGGGGGGGGGGGGGCTTTGCCCCCCCCCCCCCCCCGAAAATTTGTTACCGCCTCCCCCCCCCCCCGAACGAAATGAAATTTATATAATTTATATAGAAAATATATGCTTTTAACAGTGTCCGCCCCCCCCCCCCCGAAGAAAGTCTACCGCCCCCCCCCCCCCCCGGTTAAAAAAGTCTGGAAGAAACACTGGCTTCGCCAACACTATAGCTATAAGTCTGGAATGTGCTCAAATAAAGTTATCAGAAAGACTCTTCTGGAGGTTTTAGCAAATAGGCATGTGACAACAGGTTTCTACGTTTTTAAATAAATTAATAGTATCCCTGATTTCCAAAGACTGGAGGTACAAATTGGTGTCCAAGAGCAGCTAACTCGGCCTCTGCTAGACCAAGGCACTCTTGCAGATAAAAGTTTTCATACTCGAGCTCTAGAGCTCTTTTATAAAAGTTTTTCTCCTTTTCTTTTTTCGATTCTCGTGACTTGCGGGCCGAGTCGTTGTTCTTCCTTCTCTTCTGCCAGTAATCCGTGTTTTTCACGTCGTTTGGTGTGCTGGTTTTACTTCGCTTCCTGCAATTAAAAAAAAAATAGAGAGAGTTTTGACCTCTAGGTCTTATAGAATTTAGATCTAGATCTAGGCCCCAACTTTTAATTTAAAAACTTCAAAAATGTATACACAGTACACAGTTTTATTTAGTTTATATCTAGAAACTGTAATAGTAATAATGTAATGTAAATGTATTCATAATTTTTGAAATTGTAAATTCTCGCTTTTAATCCAGCTCCCCATCCCCTCCCTATCCTTAACCATATCCATATCCCTAACATTAACTCTATCTCTAACCCTATCCAAAATCGTAACCCTATCCCTATCATAAACCACATCCCTATCCACATCTTCATCACTAACCCTAACTACAAACTTAATCCTAACCATATTCATGAAACCCCCTAACCTAACCCTGTCCATATCTATCTTTAAACGTCCGTGGGTCTGGGTGAATAGATATGGGGTAATGTCCTATTGTAGTTTTTTGAGCGGGGGGAGGGGGTAATGTACGGGAGGTAACTGACCCCGGGCGTAATGACTGGGAGGTTGCTCCCATTCTATACTACCTTATTATGGCTCTGGGCTTGAAACCAGCGACGGTGACACCGCTGCATATCATGTGATCAACATCAACCAATGAGGTAGGACTGTCCTCTTCCTTGCTAGGTTCTCCGGCTCCCCCCAGCCTGTACCGTAGGGCTGTGAGCGAGGAGCAGGCTGGGCCGGCTTTCTTCCTCCTCTCCTCCAGTAGTTCCAGCTGGTGCTGCAGACTCTCTACCGTTTCGTTTGTTTTAGGTTTAAACTTCGCTGGGGTCTTTTTATTGTTGGCCAAGTCTTCCTTGTTCGGCTCAATCTGAACTTCCGGCATCTTTACAGCTGCGCTGTCGGAACTAGTCTTGCTTCTTTTGGTAGGTTTTGGTTCATATGACTGTGTAACGCGAGACGAGCAATTTTGGCTACTATGGGGAGACAAAACCATGGTCTCGCTAGATTTTAAGCCAATGTCTTGAAATGGTTGCGTTTTTTCAATGCCTAAAAACGATTCGTGCAATAGCTGGTTTCCGCTGCTTGTAACCTCTCGAGAATTTCCCGGGTGGTCCGAGATGAACGAATTGCTGGGCCCCATGAAAGAATTTGATGTCATCTCATGAATATGGGCATTTTGCGAGGTAAGGAAGTTTGTTTCTGCGCGGTACGGAGTTTCCGTCAACTCGCTACTGAAACCTGTCAGACCACCGTGTACGTTTTCATGGGTTGACTGCGCATCTGAGCGCCGGTCACAAGTACTGAAGTATGCGAAGCTTCCCTGGCACTGCCGGCTTTCATCCCAGTAGGATCCATCTTGTAGCAAACAATCGTCTTGTCCTAGTATTGACTGCCGAGTCAGGACGTCTTTCCTTTGTACAGGTTTGGACGTTTCGTCACTTCTTAAAGCTTCAAAGCTGACGTCATTCTTAGAGAAATCATGTTCATAATTAGACCTAAATGGATGTGGGACAAAGTCGTAAACATTCTTGGGGTTGTCTGGCTTATTTTTCGTGTAATGGTTTCCATCGTCAGCTTCCTGTAAGAATGTTGGATTACACACGTCTTGTTGAAAACAGTTGGATGCCAAAACTCTTTTATTCCACCCACCGCCACCCATCTCATCGTGTGCTGTATACGATGGGTATGGACCATCTCTGTGTGTCAGTGAGCTGTTTGAGGCGCCGTCGTTGGTGAACTCAGAAGCTGCCGACTCAAACATGTGGTCAGGGTAGCTCGAGCTAGATGTGACATTTCCACAATTCATGTTGCATGCTGGGATTTTACAGGCTTTTGTTGGGAAGTGAGAAGCCACGGTGTCGGCGAAAGAGGAAACAAGCGGCGGCTGGTCAAAGACGCCACTTGGAGTGTAGAAAGACGACACGCAGTTCAAGTCTTCCAGCACTGTGCATGATGTGGAAATAACGGCAGAAATACTGAGGATGTTCTGGCTGTCGTTAGTGACGGCTCTGCTGTATGAGACAGGGAGATGATCGCTGGCTTGATCCATCCAATTTAAATACGTCAGCAAATTAAAATTCAAACCTGTAATTCGTTTGAACAAATTAAAAAGATAAAATATACTAGATGTAAATTAGTCATATATTTGGACTTGTTACAATGTTTAATCAAATAAACTCTTTTCCGATCTGCGAGTCTTTTGTTTTTCTTAAGGGTCGACCGTAAATAACGTTACATTTATGGGGGGGGGGGTCATTGAGACTTGACTTTAGGGGAACCTGGCCTTTTGTGGTGACGTATTATAATAGGAAGCGGTGTAAAAATTGGCTTAAAGTAAAACACGGCTAGGGGTTATTGCGTATAAATACAAATTGCACTTTCAAAGTTTCATGTGAAACAGCTCCCAACATTCACGTAGGCCTATATATTAGTAAAATGCTCACGCACGCGATACCGCGAAATGCTTACAAACACTATAACCATAGGCCTGAGTTTCTTCCAGGTATCTTTTGGGGGGGGGGGGGGGATGCCGGAGCATGCCCACCCCTTCCCGGACGAAGTGGGGAAAAATATAAGTAGCGGCCGCCACCCGGAACAGTGTCACCCACTGGCTGAAAAATCTCTGAAAGAAACCCTGAGGCCTTTATTTTATTTGAAGATGTAGGCATAAATTTTCAATAAATACCCCCTTAATACTATGTAGCTCTCCTGTGGATAAAAATCACTATTTCAATTCAAAAATGGCTTCTTCCACTGAGGAACAAAGCGATATTGTCATATCAGCTACGGATCCCGAATCCTCGCAACAAAATGCTACTTGTATAATGGTGTGTTTCAAATCAGGTTCCTTCATAAAATTAAAAAAAATCAATTTAATGATATGTAGATTCAAAATAATACTAACCTAGGCCTTAGCATCTTTTAAAGTGGTGGAAGGAGGGTTGTTTGTTGGGATTGTTTCAGTTTGCCAGGAACCAGTGAAGTGGCATAAACAAAAATAAGTTGTAGATCTAGATCTAGATTCTATGTCTTACTTCATAAAGGCTTATGATTTTGATCTAGTTTTAATAAGTTATTCCAATCTCTGGGTTTTGCAAGATCTGACACTGGTCAATGAAACACAACACTTAAGTTAACTTAAGTAAGACTTCATCAAAATGATTAAAAATTAAATCTGATTTAGAGGCTAATCATTTGGACGATATTTCGAGTCGACCCTTTGAATCCCTGATAAACCGTCCCCCCATCCTGGCCTCAACCAACCGGCGAGCTTGTTGCATTGAGTTAAATATAAACTCAAAACAATATAGACAATCTCCTTTCCATCGGTCAGGCCACATAACATGCACACCTTGTGTGTCGTGCCTTAAACTTAACCAATACAAACTCACTTCATTATCATTAGCGATCATTAATTAGTTAATTAACTAAACTAATTTATTTAACACTGAGATTATACATGTACTGAATGTTAGTTATATATTTACACTATTAAAGAAACAGCTTCATTGTTTCAACCCTCTCCCCTTCTTGAACTCAAAGTTAAACTTTTAACACTCTAAAGAAATGCAGTATGCTGTGAGGGGGTGGGGGTAGGGTATATACTAATTGGAAAGTCTACCCCTTCCCCCCCTCCAGAAAGAAAAAAGTCTGAAAGAAACATTGCTAGAAATATAGGTCTGTTGTTTAAATGTCCTCCACCTCTCGCATAGTTGAATATAAAGTTACACTTTTAACCCCGTTAGGATGTGTGAACTATTGATGACCTCATTATTTAAAAAAAAAACTATTCTGGTGTTTTATTCACACCCCTACTTGCAGCATTTAACTTTGGAGCCATACTACACATCTACACGGAGAAAAAATGGCTTTTTCTGCCCTTTTTAGCTCCAAAAGCGCGTCACATGACGTCATCTGCCAACTTAAACGCTGAGAAAGTACACCTTTGATGTATTGATGGCTGACACTTTGAAATCCTTTAGGGACAGCTCGAAATTGTTTACCAAATTTTAAATTTAATTGTTTTACTCTTTAAGATTAGAAAAATGCTTTCAGTGTTTGGAAGGCCATCTCACACAGTCAAGGCACAATGACTCATTCTCTCATTATGCTCTATTCATATTTTAAAATCATAATTCTAGGTCATGATATCATCAGAGCTGCTATTTTAAGATCTTTTGACCACTGGCAGTTTTCCTTGTAGGCCCAGTTGATTTAATATTTTAAAAGTTAAAAAAAAATAAAAGTACGCACAAAACTATATTTATTTAGCATTGCTAAATCACATTCAGTGGAAGCATAACATTGTTTTCTGAAACATAGTGTTTGATCTAATACTAATCAAATCCAACTTACGTTGGAGAAAGTAAATGGTGCTGACAACACCATCCCTCCATATGCTGAAGTCAAGAAACATATGACCTCTTCTTCATCTGCCCAATGGATTACTAGGTTTAAATAGGAATCTTTAATCAAATCCATTATTTAACTTAAAAATTGACATTTTTCTATTTCCTATGAGCAAGTATATTGGGTCTACTACAAAATATGGATTGTAGAGCAGGCAGCTGCTAACCCTAAAGTCTCAAGTTCAGATCTCAGGCTTGATATCCACAATTCCACCCAGCTCTTATGGGTACCTGACTCATGTTAGGAAAAGTAAGGGTGGCTGGTCACAGGAAGAACTAGATCTTGAGTCTTTTTACACCCAGTTTCAGGCACAACCCTTCCAGACTTTATATTTCAAAGTCTAATAAACCTTAGGAAACTTTAACTACTTTTGCATTTAGTTGATAATGTGCTTCTATATATCACAAAATTCTGAAATAACCAGAATAATCTAACAATAGTATGTGTTATATTTTTACACAAATATATTGCTTACTTTTATTGAACTCTGAAACATAATCCTTACACTTTATTTAGGCTGATGAACAGAACCATTTGGAATCTGAATCGCAAGCAGAAGTAGATGTATCCCATGGTACATCACACAGCACAGGCTTTACCATGACAGCCTGTGACATCTCTTTGCCAAGAGATATGGCCTCAGAGTTTTCCCATCATGCTGTGGAGGAAGGTGTCCCATCAGCTGGCTCAGCATTTCATGTGGTCAGCCATTCTGACGGGCACAAGGACCTGGTTGCTGGCACACCTGAGCATTCCACAAGCTCCAGGGAAAATTCTTCTTTACCTCCATTTTCAACTAAAAACACAGGTATTGCAGAAGGTGAGAGCCAGGTCAAACATTTTTCAGCCCATATTGTTGAGCAACATGGGCAACAGAATGAACAGGTGAATAGCACTGAGCAACATGACCAGGTCACCGAACAATCTGAACTTAAAGAAGAAAATGAGCTGCTTTTATTGTCTAAGGAGAAATCTGAGGTAGATAACGAAGACATTGATGACGCAGTTGAGAAAGCACTTCTTGCAGATGAACCAGGTATTAATCCAGAAACAAAGCAGACTTCTGAAAATATGGATGTATGTGAAATATCAAGTGACTCTAAACAAGGTCCTAACTTTGAGTTTATAAAGCCTGAGGCATTCCACACCATAGAATCATTGCACAAACACACTGTTGTCTCAGGAAACAGTACCGACAATGATGTTGAAAGTGAGTTAAGAAAAAAATCTAAAGTACCCTCACATCTCCCTGAGAAAGTTTTTGATATTGATGAAGAGACTAGAATGGGTTTGGATCAGACTCCGGTTGATAGTAATGTTCTGGGGTCCTCTTTCACATACCCATCTCTGCCCCCTAAGAAATTGTTTCACTTAGACGACACCAAAGATTCTGACCCGTCAGACATTGAGACCAAACTCTCCACCATGACAGACACAGAAGACATTCGTCTAATTAACACCATTAGTGTTGATGATGCTACTAAAGACTCAGCAGCCTCAGATTCTAATGCAGAAGCTCCAACTCCTAGAAAACAAAGAAGAGCCAGTAAGGAAGGCGCTAGTGTAACCCAGGTGGAGGGACTAGAGATTGGAGAGTAAGTCTGAAGTTAAAGACTTTAAGATAGATATTTGTTATCTCATTACACATGCTTATGATTTGGTTACTGGCCATATTATTTGTGTGTAACATTTCTCTACCCTAAACCTCCACATTTTTATGTACTTATGGATTTGACTATAATAAATAAAAAAAAATGTTGAGCTGCTTGATATAAAAAAAAATTATTTTAACGATTGGATTTGACTATAATAAATTTTTAAAATGTTCTGCTGTTTGATATAAAAAATATATTTTAGTGATTTCACTTGCAGCTTTTAAACGTTATGCTAAGCACATTAGCACTCTAAACTGTATTTGAATATTTAAAATATCTGCATCAAACATTGTGGTTTTAAGAATTGATATTGTGTGTTTTTCTTAACTTCTAGGCGAGTATTCAGTGCAGAAAATCTGTTTGAGTACCAGTGGCCATTAGATGGTGGAGAATGGCATCTGTTGCAAGAGCAAGTCAGTGAATACCTCAAGGTGAAGTCCTTTAAAAGAAAATACCCAGGTGAGTGTGAAAGGTGCTATCATTTTTACCTTTATCAGAAGCATTAAGTTTAGAAAGCCATGGTGATACCACTTTTAAAATATTTTTGTTAGATTTGTATAGACGTACTTGTGACAAAGAAGAGAAAGATTTTTTGAGAGAGAAAGGAGTTGTTACAGAGACCCAGTCTGATCTTGGTAAGTTCATGTTTTAAATCATAAGATGTTGATTTAATCCAGTTTAAACTATAATTTATCAGATTTTTTTAAAGATATTAGATTTAATTTTCAATTATTATTTTTTAAATCCATTTTTTTTTTGTTTCTCAATAAAATTCAATAATTTGGCTACATTATTATGTAACGATTATCAATGGAATCATTTACAATAAGAAAAATTTGGTAGTGGTTCTTACCTTGGTTATTTTAAAACTAACTCTTAGCCACAACTGAAAAATCAAAAAGTCGATTCTATTTATATGTGACTGGAAACCACCAGTTTGCTGGCCTCAGTCGTGTGACTAGTTAATTGCAAAATGGTGGAGGTGGGTACCATGATTTGTCCAGACTGAAATATGACAGGAGCTCTGTGTGGCGCCTCCATCTTTCATTTTCAACCAGCAGGTGATGCAGCTATTGTCTCAGCAGCCTCCTAATTTGCTAGTTTTCTTTTCTCAGTGTGTGTGCCAAGTAGGGACTCAGTGAAAGATGAGACAGGAGATTAAACAGCTCTTGGCTGATTCTTACTCAAACAGAAACATTATTATATTTACAATTTTTATACACACATTTTCATACTCATTAATGTTTATAGTTGTTACTTATATTTTATCATATTTAATGTATATAGATGTTACTTGTATCTTTTCATATTTCTGTTTTCTTAGGTCACCATTTTAAAAAAAAGCCTTCAATACATTACTCATAAACAGAACAATGTATTAAATATTATATAAAACTCATAGCATTTATTTTCCACAATGAAATCTATTTTTAAAAATGATTTTCTTCATAAATTTAAGAAAATAAAATCATCCTTAGTCAAACTGATACTTGAGACATTACTGTCACCTTAGTGCTGGTCCTGGAAACATAGGGGTTATCTCCCCAGGCCAACTTTTCATGGGGTGTTAACATGGGAGATAATTAGCCATCACACTTCACATCCATGGGTGGTCTCAAGGGACAGTGTTGTTTGCCATAATTATGCTGTCACTTGCACAGCAGGACACTGGAATAAAAACTCTCACCCAACTCATGGATGTTTACCTGGTTATCTTTGGGCATAATAAATGGGTGCTTAAAATGTAATAGTTTTGTCTTTTACAGTTGCTCATTTTAACACTCATATTTTTTATAATTGATTATTTTAATAGCATTTTAACACTGAGTAATGTCTTTTTATACTTTTTATTAGGTTTGACGGCTTTAAGAAGTGAAGAAGTTTATGACTTGATGATGAAAGATTATAATGTTCAATATAAGGTATATTTTTAAACATTGTTCTCAGACAATGTGCTATAAAGGTTTTGATTATCATAACTCTATAAAACTGTTATGGGGAAAGAATGTATCTTGTTGTATTTGTTCACTTACTATCAAGATAAATAATTTACTAACTTTTTTGTTTTATTTTGTGTAGGAATATATTGCCCACTTACAGGAGAAACAAAAGAAAGTCATCAGAGAGAAACACAAGGAATATAGTGCAGTAAGGACAATCACATTATTATACTTGGATTAAGTTGGTCTCTTACTGTCAATTGTTAATATCTGTTGAACTACAAGTTTGTGGGAAATGACATTGTAGTTTATTTTGACTAAGTTGGTAATTTATTTTTCTCAGGCCAAGTTAGACAAATCAAAGATTGAAGCTTATTCAAAGAAAGCTGCACGGTCAGCTGCTGAGTTCAACGCCAGTTTAATGAGGGACAAGAAAGAGGAGAGGAAAGCATACTTTGACCTGCAGACTTTTGTGAGTACTTTATTCTAGCCTGCTAGACTTTACTCTAAACACAAAAAAAGGGAGTCTACTATGCAACAAAAACACAATACCTATAAACTAGTTTAAATATAGTTCAAGTTGGTTGTTCATTTTTTACTATCTCGTATATACGAAGTATAGAGAAAGTATTGTAATCGTGCACAAAAATCAATTGAAATTTTAAGAATTTTCACCGTATTACACCTCAGTCCTTCATAACATCCGAAGTATAGAGGACTTATTTTAATCGGGCAAAAATAATCAATCCAGATTTATCAAAATTAAGAGGTTTAATGCGTAATCCAGTCTGAAAAACTGGGCTTTGCAATTCTGTCCGTATGTCTGTGTGTCTGTCTGTCTGTCCCTGTGTAAACACGATAACTTGAGTACCGTTACAGCTAGGTTGATGAAATTTCATATATAAGTTTTTAATCACAATCGTAGATCCGTATCAACTTTTGAGCGATTTCCGATAACTGGAAGTGGTATTTTTTCTACTTTGAATTTTTCAAAAGCCTATAACTTGAGTACTATTTCAGATAGATAAATGAAATTTCACATGTAAGTTAAAGATCAAATTCTCTACCTTCTGTTAAATTTTGAGTAATTTCCGTTGACCGGAAGTAGTAATTTACGCTACTTCCGATTTCTCAAAAAACTAATGTAAATTTTTAAAGTACTAATAATATTGTGCACTATTATGCACTTTTTTATTAGGCATTCACTTGGTGTGCAATTCTTTTGTCTACAAGATTTTATTCTATTTTTTAAACTTTAAGTATTTAAAATGGATTAAAAATCATGTCTATAGCCCGAGTTCCCATCCCCTGTTGTTTTATATAAGAAGTTTTATATAAGAATATTGAGAAAGTTTAGGGGAGATCACTCCCGGTTTATTTTTAAAAGTAAGTTACCATTCTTTACAATATTCATATCTCCAGCAGGTATGAAATTAAGCAGCAATACACAAAGCAGTGAAGTATTCTTTTTTTAAAGCATGATTGTAATAAAAACATGCCGTAAACATTTTTCCATTGCAGACCATCCACTTCCCAAAGAACAAGTTCAAAACCCTCCCCCCTCAGTACACAAAAGTTGGAGCATATCCAGTTTCATTAGTTGCTGGTCAGTATCAAGAGTATTATAAAAAGTAAGTCAACTGGACATGACGTAATCCATTTCGTTGGTCATTTTTTTAATAATGGGAACAAGTACACAATAATTTGTTTAGACATTAAAATTCTTCATTTGCTTCTATAACGCCTTATAGAAGTTTGTGTAGTTGGGTTAATTGAATATACTGCACTAATTTAGTTTTATATTGGGCAACACTTCTATTACTGTCATCACTGTTGAGTAATGGTCTGTTGTGTTACAGAACTATACACACAATTGTTGTCTCTCCAGCTATTTTCTGTGATGGTTTTTTCTAACTTGATGATGCCATACCTCCAATAGATTCAAGCCAGAAGAACTCAAGTATTTACCTGTGAAAACAGTTTTACAAGACCCACCTAGGCTAACCAAGTACATCCGACCTCCTCCATCAGGTGTTAAAGTTGTCAGCACAGAGAAGCAGGTACAGCCTCTACTGGAGTTTACTTTGGTCACATGAAGCTAGTCCTGCCATTAGGATATATCTATACCAATATCTTGTTTGGACTAGCACTAAATAGTCCATTCTACCTTCATCACACTACACCAATGTCAAGCCTTGAGTATAAGGCTATTATCTTTGTTTGCATTCTGTTTGACACATGAACTGTACAACTTTTGTGACATTCATTACAAACTAAAGAAGCAAAGACTGAAACAAGTTAATAAAAAGTCTAGTGACAATTTAAGCGCAATTTCTTTATGTTATCCATAACAATTTTAAATCGAGATAAATCATATATTCAGCAAATAAATAATGCAACACAAATAGTTTTAATAATTCAAAACAAAATAGAAAAAATATTTATTAACGAGATTTTAAAAAATTTGCGGATGTGTAGGGGGTATTTGGTTGTCCCGCTCTCTATATTGCTATATAGTACTGTAGTGTATTATGTATAATGTAATTTTTTTAAAATTTTTGTGACCGAACGAAAGGATATTTTTGAAAACTTTCTTCGGCAATATTGTTAATGTTAATATGGTAAATGTTTCAAGTCGCTAAGTGGTCTGGTTGCCGAGATATGGGCCAAAAACTCCATTTTTTCGAGGTTTTTTTGGCTTTTCCAGGAAATCCAGGAAGGAATTCCGGGAATTTTTTTGGCCCACAATCATCCTCGGAACTTGCTTAACATATTTGCTTTTGGAACTAGTCCTCGATATTGCTTCGTTGAGGAGGAGATACGTCTTAAAGCTGCGGTGAAAAGTTTGGTCACTGACCACAAAAAGTGCCCAAAGTTTATCTCTGCTCTGCAGCAGGGTATTTGACTATTTTGGCCAGGATTTAATAACTAATTAAGAACACTTTAGAATTTCTATTAATGTTATTCAGTGTTTTAGCCCTGTTGGTAATTAACTTTGTACCTTGATTAGAAAATAGCCCCTGGCTCTGATGGTGAGGGCAGCAGTAGCAGTGAGGACGAGGAGGATGGCCTGGAGAGCCTAGAGCTGCTGGACAGTGAAGCTCTAGAGACCAGGACACCTGTGCTAGATGATGGGGCCATCAAGTTTGAGAAGAGAACCAAGTCCTCGCTGAAGAAGAAAGCAGCAAAGTTGGGAGTGTCGCCCGACAAGCTGAAAAAACTTGGGATAAAAAAATTAAAGGACGTAGAAATGGACGACAGAGCTAGTCAAGATGGTGATGATAAAGATAGTCCTGGGGGCAGTAAGATGCCTGCGAAAGTAAGTCCTGCAGCTCGTGCTTGTACTAGTTCAGCAACTTTATTTGAATAGTAATGTTATATCTATTTTATTATTTTTTTAAATTATTTAGAATAAAACAATCTAATTCAAATTCACTAAAATTTCACACATTGTGTTAATTAATTTATGTAGGCCCTATGTTCTTTATTCAGTTTGTGTAGAACTTCCTTCTTTGGTTATGGTGTGGTGGATGATTTGTTTGATTTTTTCTTTACCTCCAGATTCATGGACTGGAGAAGTGTAGAATTTGTAAGAAAAGATCTACCAAGGAAGAGAGGAAGGCTGGGAAACTGGTCAAGTGTGCTGAGTGTGGGAAAATAGGTACAGAGTTGATGATCTTTTCAATCTTCTCACCAGTTCTCTTTGTTTTACTTAACACTCACTTAATGGTTAGATGTTCAACAGTCCACGACTTGTGTCCCCAGGTCACATGAGTTGTCTTGACCTGACAGAAGAGTTGGTGGCTGTGATAAAGACATACCCCTGGCAGTGTATGGAGTGTAAGACTTGCATTGAATGTCTGGACCCATATGATGAGGTGAGTCATAGTTGCTTACATGGCTCAGTGTATGGAGTGTAAGACTTGCATCAAATGTCTGGACCCTTATGATGAGGTGAGTCATAGTTGCTTACATGGCTCAGTGTATGGAGTGTAAGACTTGCATCAAATGTCTGGACCCTTATGATGAGGTGAGTCACAGTTGCTTACATGGCTCAGTGTATGGAGTGTAAGACTTGCATCAAATGTCTGGACCCTTATGATGAGGTGAGTCACAGTTGCTTACATGGCTCAGTGTATGGAGTGTAAGACTTGCATCAAATGTCTGGACCCTTATGATGAGGTGAGTCATAGTTGCTTACATGGCTCAGTGTATGGAGTGTAAGACTTGCATCAAATGTCTGGACCCTTATGATGAGGTGAGTCATAGTTGCTTACATGGCTCAGTGTATGGAGTGTAAGACTTGCATCAAATGTCTGGACCCTTATGATGAGGTGAGTCATAGTTGCTTACATGGCTCAGTGTATGGAGTGTAAGACTTGCATCAAATGTCTGGACCCTTATGATGAGGTGAGTCACAGTTGCTTACATGGCTCAGTGTGTATGTCTCTGATTGCTGTGTTTGAACTATAAGACTTCAAACCTTTCTATTGTTGTCCTATGTGCTCCACTATTCCTGTGATTTTGTCCTATGTGCTCTACTATTCTTGAAGTGAACTGTGATTTTGTCCTATGTGCTCCACCATTCTTGAAGTGAACTGTGATTTTGTCCTATGTGCTCCACCATTCTTGAAGTGAACTGTGATTTTGTCCTATGTGCTCTACTATTCTTGAAGTGAACTGTGATTTTGTCCTATGTGCTCCACTATTCCTAAAGTAAACTCTCATGTTGATGCAGGATAAAATGATGTTCTGTGACCGCTGTGATCGAGGCTACCACACTTTCTGTATTGGTCTGTCTGCTCTACCCACTGGTCACTGGGAGTGTAAGAGCTGTGAGGGCTTTCCTAAAATAACTCCTAAACATCAGTGAGTCAAATTATTTGCTTTTGAAAACAGTAGTTTATTGTAGTATAAATAGTAGTATAATTAATTTTTTTTTGTGAAAGTAAAATTAGATTTTGCTTTCCGAATTTCTTGGGGTAAAATTTTTTTGTTAAAAGAAACAAAACAAGCTGTCAGATCAGTTTCTAAAACAAAATAGGTTTTAAATCTTTGACATATGTACCTCATTGCTGACAATGTTTGCTTTTTAAGATGAATTTTATCCGATTTATTATAGGCATACATATTTATAGATTAATAGTTTATAATTATTAGACGTGTGTGTATTAAATGCAAGAACTTTTCCCTAGGCACCATAGGATTGCTTTAGATTTTCCTCAAGCTGTCCCTTACCTGAAGCCAGAGCTGGAGATTAAGCTGGAGGATGAAGTGGCGCCACCTGTGTTTGAGGAGAAGATGGAGAAGATGGACACCTCCCTGTGTCAGGTGGTGGAGCCCCCTCTCAAGGTGGGCAGGAAGGGAGATTTGATCTCTGAGACACCCATCAAGGTGGGTAGGAAGGGAGATTTGATCACTGAGACACCCATCAAGGTGGGCAGGAAGGGAGATTTGATCACTGAGACACCCATCAAGGTGGAAAAAAGGGGCAGGAAAAGAAAGTTGGTAGATGGACCACCATCAGAGCCTAAACCAACTCCTGAGAGGATTAAAGGAGAAAGACAGAGTCGGAGGTTGAAACTAAAGGAAGAGGAGGAGGAAGAGAAGAAGAGGAAAGAACTTGAGAGCAAGAGTGAGAAGAAAGTCAAGAAGAGGAAAAAGATGAAACCCGGGGAGGAAGTGGTTGTTTTATCAGATGTCATAAGCAGTCAGCACCAAGACGACATTGATGACAGCATTGACATGGTTGAGCTGACCAGCTGTGATGTGACACCAGCTGTGACAGATGAGTCTGACATGTTAGCTGACACCGTAGCGACCAACCAATGCTCCCTTGTGTCCCTGTGTGAGCCAGCTGTTGAAGGTAACTCTGATGTTGTGCAGGAGTTACTGCCCACACCTGCTGAGGGGGACATCTTGTCTGTACCAGCAGCCAGTGACTCCCCCAGCCCAGCTGTACCTGCGGAGGACCTACTGCCACTGACAGGTGTACCTGATGACCCCAGCAACATCCCTCTGGTGACAAGCTTGGGTGGAGAGTTATTGCCACCCAGTGGCTCTGTTGATGTTCCCATGGTGGAGCATACCGTGGAGGGTGGTCTAGCCGAGGATGTGGGTGGGTTAACCAGCCCACTGACCACAGTCCCCCTGCCCACCTCAGCTGACCCACAAGCCAACCCCCAGCTGCAGCAGGTGATCCCCCTGTGTCCAGCACCTGCCCAAGTTCCAGCCCCACAGACCCCCACACAACCAAGTGAAGACTTGACTGTACCTGGTGCAGATGTCAGTGTCACAAATGTGACTGTACAAAATGTGACAAGTGTGGCAGTGCCTAGTGAAGAGCTCCCTGCAGGAAGTGACCCCTGTTTGGAGGGTCAACAGCCAGGAACCCTGCCAGATACAGCCCTGTGTGAGACAGCTGCCGCTGATGTAAACACTAGCTAGTCCTTTAGTCAACACCTGCTCTGTTGACTGATGTAAACACTAGCTAGTCCTTTAGTCAACACCTGCTCTGTTGACAGATGTAAACACTAGCTAGTCCTTTAGTCAACACCTGCTCTGTTGACTGATGTAAACACTAGCTAGTCCTTTAGTCAACATCTGCTCTGTTGACTGATGGAAACACTAGCTAGTCCTTTAGTCAACACCTGCCCTGTTGACAGATGTAAACACTAGCTAGTCCTTTAGTCAACATCTGCTCTGTTGACTGATGTAAACACTAGATAGTCCTTTAGTCAACATCTGCTATGTTGACTGATGTAAACACTAGATAGTCCTTTAGTCAACATCTGCTATGTTGACTGATGTAAACACTAGATAGTCCTTTAGTCAACATCTGCTCTGTTGACTGATGTAAACACTAGCTAGTCCTTTAGTCAACATTTGCTCTGTTGACTGATGGAAACACTAGCTAGTCCTTTAGTCAACATCTGCTCTGTTGACTGATGCAAACACTAGCTAGTCCTTTAGTCAACATCTGCTCTGTTGACTGATGCAAACACTAGCTAGTCCTTTAGTCAACATCTGCTCTGTTGACTGATGCAAACACTAGCTAGTCCTTTAGTCAACATCTGCTCTGTTGACTGATGCAAACACTAGCTAGTCCTTTAGTCAACATCTGCTCTGTTGAATCTCCTCTGAAATGTGCAACATTTTTATTATGTACAATAATGTACAATCATGTACAAAGTTGTCCGATGGTAATTATCTAACTGCTATAATATGAATAGTTTTTTTATAATTTGTTTTATACTCTTGTGGCCAATGTGATGTGACTAATATCTATTGTATGATTATTGTTGATACAATAACACTTCAGAAGACTGTCTACATTATTAAAAACTTGTATAACTAGGCTGTTAAGTCAAGAAAACATGCATCAATTAATTTTGCTGTAGAATAAAAAATAATTGATTATATTATTTGATGTGCAGAAATTTTTTTTATTTCTTTGCACTATCTTAATAATGGATGCTTGTTTTTCTGTGTGTACAATAATACTGTCATTTATTTAAATTTAAATTAAATGTTCATCTGAATAAAATTGTATGCTTTTTCAAAACTAACTTTTTTGTTGACATCTTTCTACAAGTATGATGTCTAATAAAATTTTACTTGTGTATGTCAAATGCTGATTGTGTGTGTGTGTGTGTGTGTGTGCTTGTCTTTGGTGTGTGTATAGACAACATGGGTGGCTGTGCATTAGGAGAAAAAAAACGAAATAGAGTAGCCTCCCTTGTTAAATTTTTTTTTTTCCCCTCCATAATATAAGTGTCTTGTAGTTTTTAGTTATTAGACACCATTATCATACAAATTTTGCTTTATGAATGAAACTTATTCAATGGTTTTAATCTAAATTGATACAGAAACAGACCTCTGTTGCCATTTAAAAAAAACTTCTTACATTGTAAATAAAAATGGCATCCCTCCTCCCCGCCATATGCACTGGGGAATACGAAAACGGATGCTTAAATTTTGAGAATCAAATTATTGTTGAGAAACTCGCTTGTTACATTACCATAAGAAACCAATACTAAGCCTAATATTACGTTCATGGGGAGGAGGATGTAAGCTAATTATGCCGACAATTCATCCAAGTTTGCTGAAGTAATGTTTACAAAAAATCTAAGGTAGTTCTAGACCACCTATTCCGCTTTATAACGCATTTTAAAATGATTACACACATTCGTATTGTATAATATGTGAACCCTCCATATCCCATCCCTTCTCATGTATGGAAGGGGAGGTGGGGGTCTTTATTTACTGTTGCCACAGTTATTTGAACGACCACGTGACTTCTGCCACAGGTTTTTTGTAAGGAACAATTTTATAGTTGTTGCGCATGCCTTACGGGTTAATCATTTTTTAAAAGCGTTTTTTTTTTTTTTTTTGTTAATCTATAATCTAGTGTAAACTAGTTTTAAAACCGTATTTTACGCATGAAGATTGTGAACTAAGAGTTAAAACTTTGCGCGTCACGTTTTTAAAAAAAAGTTAGTCCCTAATTCTGCACTGTTGCGCACCGTTGCATTGGGATCTGCTTAACAACGCATTATGGTCACATAGCACTTAGCAGGAAGGTCTACAGTTTTGCCCTGTTGTACTAAAATTCATTGCTGGAGTAGAAAAGTCGATTTTTTTCTGCTGTTCCTCCAGAAATTGAAGAGTAGGTAGCAAAGCTGTAAACCTTTGCTCAAAGGGACAATACAGTGCTGACATGAACCAGATTCTCTAGGTGATTACAATCCTTAGTACAAAGCCTCCGCCAGCGTTATTTCTAGCTGACTCTCGCTAACTCAAGCTCCGATCAAGTGTATTTAAGTAGATTCTACTGACTAGGCTGCACATCTTTAGACCAACACCATCAGGCGTGTGGGCTGTTCACCTTGACGTCACCATAGGGAAATCAACTTGTGAGAGAATGCCGCATTCAGAGGAGCAGAGCTCAACGGACGGGAAAAAGTTGAGGAAGAAAAGGAGCAGATCCAGCAGTCCCAGAAGAGGGTAAGAGACTGTATGCCAGCGTCCCTGGGTCCTCGCTGGTTGTTTGCCAGCGTCCCTGGGTCCTCGCTGGTTGTTTGCCTGGGTCCTCGCTGGTTGTTTGCCAGCGTCCCTGGGTCCTCGCTGGTTGTTTGCCAGCGTCCCTGGGTCCTCGCAGGTTGTTTGTTTTGTTTGCCTATCAACTATTAGCAGAGGTACCAGCATGTTTGGAACATGGGGTGGCCACTGTGTTGTGTTTCTAGAAGACCACTTGCATGTGTATTGACACTTTGAACAAAAAAATGTGTTCAACGAATATTTTCTCAAATATGCCTACTTTATTGAGGACACCAATTTGCCTGTATGGCTTATCGCGAATGCCTACTGTATAGCTTATATTTCTACAACCATTTCTATGACACTTGGTATGACTAATCCTGACACTTATCCCAACTCTGAGCCCAACAATGACATGACAGGTACCGTAGAGTAAACCTATTGACTGAATTATCTGACAACCCACATTGACCACGGCCATGTTTGTTCCCCTTGCAGGTCCTCATGTTACGAGAACACAGACCAAGGAGTTCGGATCGACGTGTACCTGGCCGTCACATTGTTTGCCATCGCTGTGGTGTTCATCAAGATCTTGCCCAAGTATTGAGCTCCCACTGACCAGTCAGCTTCTTCAATGTAACCTCCCTGTCCAGAGCTTAGACCCCAGTTGGACCGGCGGTGTTGTCGCTCAGCCATCTTTGCTGGCTCAAAAATGACTCAACGGCTTTAGCTGTAAAGGAATGTATATCACTTTAGTCCTGTGTACCTGTATCCGCAGCATGCGACTTTTAAAATATGGATCTCTTCCAGCCCACATTTGAATTGTTTTGTTTAAGGCCACTGCCTTGCCAACTGGCGACCTCTCTCTCGCTCAACGATTCGTCTGCTGCAAAGTCTAGAACAAGTTGCTGAATCCCTATGTTGTCTATACAAATAATATTATTGCTTCGTAGACTGAGTATAAATCAACTGTCAATAAAACAGCTAATATGGTTACACACATTTTATGTTTATTTTATAGATCTTGTCTTATATGTTGTATCTGGGTTATAGATGGTAAATCATAATAAATGGGATTGAAATAAGACAAGTCTATGGTATTAGGTGAAGTGACAAGTCAGTCAAATGGTATTAGGTCAAGTGACAAGTCAGACTAATGTTATTAGGTCAAGTGACTAGTCAGTCAAATGGTATTAGGTCAAGTGACAAGTCAGTCAAATGGTATTAGGTAAGTGACAAGTCAGTCAAATGGTATTAGGTCAAGTGACAAGACAGTAAAATGGTATTAGGTCAAGTGACAAGTCAGCCTAATGGTATTAGGTCAAGTGAAAAGTCAGTCAAATGGTATAAGGTCAATGATTAGTCAGTCAAATGGTATTAGGTCAAGTGACAAGTCAGAGAAATGGTATTAGGCCAAGTGACTAGTCAGTCAAATGGTATTAGGTCAAGTGACAAGTCAGTCAAATGGTATAAGGTCAAGTGACAAGTCAGAGAAATGGTATTAGGTGAAGTGACAAGTCAGTCAAATGGTATTAGGCCAAGTGACAAGTCAGCCTAATGGTATTAGGTCAAGTGACTAGTCAGTCAAATGGTATTAGGTCAAGTGACAAGTCAGCCTAATGGTATTAGGTCAAGTGACAAGTCAGTCAAATGGTATTAGGTGAAGTGACAAATCAGTCAAATGGTATTAGGTGAAGTGACAAATCAGTCAAATGGTATTAGGTGAAGTGACAAGTCAGACTAATGGTATTAGGTCAAGTGACAAGTCAGTCAAATGGTATTAGGTGAAGTGACAAGTCAGTCAAATGGTATTAGGTCAAGTGACAAGTCAGCCTAATGGTATTAGGTCAAGTGAGTCTAGTCACACATCGTCACAAAAGGCCACCCCCCCCCCCTCTAAAATGAGTCACACCTTTGCCTACAACCGCCCTCCCCCTCAAAGCTGCAGGTTAATTTCTGTTAAAACAGCGATTTCTTTCCAAAATATTGACGTCGCAACATCTGACCTCCCTCCCCCCATCCCTCATCACGTGTCACAAAATTACGAAATCTCTCTCCCTACCTAGGAGTCAGTCCAGTCTATTTTCTCCAGGGGCACTTCAAATTTTCGGAGTGTGGGGTGGGGGGACTAAAATTTCCTGGGGGGGGGGCGGACATGCGACTATATATATATATATATATATATATATATATATATATATATATATATATATATATATATATATATATATATATATATATATATATATATATATATATTTCCTTTCGTTCAGGGGGGGAGGGGGGTGGCGGTAGACTTTCTTCGGGGGGGGGGGGGGGGGGGGGGCTAGGAGTTTGACTTCTTTTATGGACGACCCTATACTAACCCATGATTATGATTTCGTTAAACTGTGATTTTATGACTACAACTGTCTTGAAATAATATATTGAAAGGACGCGACCGTGCGCTCGCTAAAATCTGAAGGCTCAAGCTTAGTCTAACTTTAGTTTGGTTTCCAGGGGAAGGGTGGTAATAATAAAAGATAATAAATGTTGATTTTTCAGATTTTAGCATTTGTCAGACTTTTCTGTCTCTTGTTTATGCTTGCCGTCCGAAAAACTTTAAGCTGCTCATAGCAAACATGAAACAACACGAGCGCACTGCAACAATTGGTTTTTACCAGATAACTTTTCTTTTGAGAGGGGAGGGGGAGGGGTCTAACCCGCCTAACACCTCGACCCTGCCTTCGTCACTGATGTGAAAATTGTTTTTATTGTTCAAGTTAAAAAGGCCACTGACATACTGTAGCATAATAACTCATTTATTGATAATACTTAAGAACTGTATTGTATTAAGGGGAGTATTGGCTACACCATTCAAACAAAAGTGCAGACCCTAGCTAGAACAGGCCTATTTTAGTCTTAATCATGAAAAGTAAGTGAATATTAATGACGTAGTAAAACTAAAAATTGAATGAAACAAATCTCGACTTTTTTTCCTGCAATAATCTCGAAACAAACAAATTTAATGTATGTGCACATAGATAGCCATGTCATCATTTTTGCGCACAGCGCAACGAGAATTACAAACATGAATTCCAATATTTTTATAATGAAAACAAACTTGTTGGCTGGTTTTAACTTGACTCTGCCTAAGCTTTGCTGTGGTACAAAGGTACAGTTCCGATAACTTTTTAAATTTATCACTTTTACTCTGGATCTACTATCCGTTACTAAAACGCGCATCAGAGTTGGGTTATCTTTACTGCTCCTTAAATCATAGATCTATTCTATATCAGTAGAATCTAGATCTATATAGATTATCTAGATCTAGATCTAAATCTAACTAGATCTAGATCTAGATCTAGTTCTAGATTTAAATCTAGATCTATAATTAGGTCTAGATCTAGATATATAATCTAATAAATAGTAATATTAGTTCTATCTAGATAATCCAAAATCTAAATGTGGTATTGAATAATTAAATAGCTTACTGACTGGCATCATATAATTTGTTTCGTGCATCCTGCTGACAAGGATGCTAAGTTCTACTTTTCCCGAGTCGTATCTCAAGAGTGATATTTTATTTTAATAAGATATTATCTATGAAGATAGGCTACCTTGACATTAAGGGACACATACCTATGTGAAATATGTGTTTGTGCTGGTTGACTTCTTGTTTTGAATAAGATTAGGTCTAGCATAAACATATTTTTAATAACGCTGGAGGACGTATCATTTATTAAAACTTTTCTTCTTCTAATCCTATCAGGCATCTCTCCCGTGATGCCCACAGCTCTTCCAGACTTTTTTCTACGGGGGGGGGGGGGGGGGGGGTACTTGAAATTTTCGAGAGGGGGGGCGGTAGACTTTCTTCCAGGAGGGGGGGGCGGACACTGTTAAAAGTATATATTTTCTATATAAATTATATAAGTTTCATTTCGTTCGGGGAGGGGGGGCGGTAGAATTTTTTCGAAGTGATTTCTGGAAGAAGCTCTGCTCTCCACCCCCCCCCCCCCTCCACTAGACGAAACAGAATAAAATATAAAAAAAATATACTGTGTATAGAAAACTATAGCGTATCCTACAGCGATACGGAAATATGCGATTGGATATGATGGCGCTCTACTAGAACAGTATCACACATTACAATATTTCAGCCACAAAAACACAAATCATCACTAATAGCTAATTAAACCAAATGCTCTTAAATAGCCACGAGTTTGATTAGTCCACTCCAATCTTGTTGCTGGTCTAATATATTAGTTTTAGTGTGATGCATGGAAAATACTTGAACATTGCACATTTTATACTTTATAGTTAGGCTTATATTACATTTCTCGCATTTATATTACAATGTCCTCACACAGAACACAGCAGCAGACGTCGGGCATGCGTAGAAAGCGGCAGCACTCACGTGGCAGTTCCTTGACGGACGTGCGTCAAGTCTCTAGCACGCAGCTGGCAATCGTTCAGCTGGAGGATGAGCTTGCGTTCCGTGAGCGTCAGCCGGAAAGAGCACACGCCTCTAAAGTGAGAAGAAACAACGAAACGTCAAGCAGGGGCTTCTCGGCACCCGAGTCACGTGACGCTGCCGTCGGCCATGACACCCCTCCACCCCATGACTCGGAGAGCACCATCGATGAAGACCACGATTATTTTCGACCGCCGGCGAACGATGATCTACCATCAACATCTAAAGACATGAACGTGAACGCCAGAGGTCAGCCTGCAACACGACGAAGCGCACCGGTGAAGATGTTGCACGGGAAACGCAGCAGTGTTCGGAGATGCGACAACAACGCCTTCATATCGATACCAGTGGACGACCTCTTGAGACATAGGGTCAGTAGGTCACACAGTTATCTATTAGCTCTAGATATATTTGGTTATTTGAATGACTGTTTTGTTGAAATAAACATAATGTCTTTTAAGGTGCAAATATGCCATAGCAGTTCAAAGAAAGCGCGCTATCAAGCCTCCAGGAGTCCTTCTGATGACGACGCGGCCAGAAACAAGACACAAAACAGATCCAGTCATCAAAAAAAGTATTCAAAAAAAGTAATCTTTTTTTTAATTAAAATATTAAATCATATTATAATTGTGGACTATTGGTAAATACACATTCTCTCTATATATTGATATCCCCTAGGCCAATATATTAATGAGAGCCCTGTAAAAAAATACCTCATCTATAGACAATAAATTATACTACCTGACACCAGTGGCGGAACTAGAAAAAAAAGGCTCCCCCGCAAAAAAATTGTTTGGGCCCCCCATATATATATATATCTATATATATATCTATATATATATCTATATATATATCTATATATATATATCTATATATATCTATATATATATCTATATATATATCTATATCTATATATATATATATATATATATATATATATATATATATATATATATATATATATATATATATATATATAGTCCGAACTCAAATCGGGCCCGCAATAATCCGTTTTACAAGTGTTTTTATTCTTTTTTTTTTTTAATTTTGATACGCTTCGCGATTCTGCGTACATTTTCATGTTTATCGCAAATTGATAATAATTATGTTTTAAGCTGGTCAAATTTATATAAACACGTAAGCTTGATTTGTGCAATGGTTTCTCGCGTTATGCTTATTTTTTATGATTTTTTGTATTTATATTATTAGTTTTGAATACATTCATTTTTATAGCTTTATGATTCTTTAGTATGCATTATTTAGATAATAATTAAGAGAATAAATTGCTTTTTAACTTACATAGTACAAATCTATTTAAATGAGCTTTATGGGCACCCCTATTTTAAAGAAGGGCAGTAAGTCATGGAAGTAGTGTGAACGTTTGCCTATCTTTCAAACTACAGCTCTTGTAGATTTTATATTTTTCTACGCAACAGTGTGTGTTAGTTTCTGTAAAACAATCACTGCTATAGTAGACATGTTTGTTTTTTATAAAACCACTATCAAGGTGCGCGAAAAATATTATTTATGAAAAGAAAATTCATTGTTCTTTTCGGTCGGAATTGGGCCCCTAAACGTCGTGGGCCCCCCCGCATTGCGGGGTCTGGCGGCACTGTAGTTCCGCCCCTGCCTGACACTTCCATTGCATTTGCTTTAGATGAACCCAAGGTGCCCTATCCTAAAATCTTTTTATGGAACTTAGAAAAACCATTCTAGATTAGCAATCATACTGTGGATACGTAGAAACTGATTTGTTTTAAATATTATCTTTTCAAACTTTCAGGAAACACGAAAATATACCAAAACTCGTTCTAGAAGTGATTCATCTTCATCCCGCTCTAGGACACGTGAGGTAGGAAGTTTTTGATAAATCAGTAATCTATGATTGACTGACTGACTGAGGTAGGAAGTTTTTGATAAACCAGCAATCTATGACTGACTGACTAACTGAGGTAGGAAGTTTTTGATAAACCAGCAATCTATGAATGACAGTTGCTAGTATTTAACCATAGAATGCCAGTGTTGTTTTTTTACCTAAATTCTCCCCTTTATGATCCATACCAACCTTCAACTGGTGCAATATTTAGTGAGAGATTTTTGACAACAGATCCATCACCCCTTTTAACCAAATGAGTTTTTCTTACCAAAGTGGTTGTTGGTTTGCCAGATGTGACTTGGTGAGGTGTGGGGGGGGGGGGGGGGGTATCAGCATTGCATTGAACATCTTGATATCAATGATTATCATTGAAGACATTGTATTCAACACTTATTTATTTATTTTTCCTTTGAACCATTCCTCATTCTCTTCCATGTCACAGATGTGAACTTTCTGTTTCCTCAATCTCTTCCATGTCACAGATGTGAACTTTCTGTTTCCTCAATCTCTTCCATGTCACAGATGTGAACTTTCTGTTTCCTCAATCTCTTCCATGTCACAGATGTGAACTTTCTGTTTCCTCAATCTCTTCCATGTCACAGATGTGAACTTTCTGTTTCCTCAATCTCTTCCATGTCACAGATGTGAACTTTCTGTTTCCTCAATCTCTTCCATGTCACAGATGTGAACTTTCTGTTTCCTCAATCTCTTCCATGTCACAGATGTGAACTTTCTGTTTCCTCAATCTCTTCCATGTCACAGATGTGAACTTTCTGTTTCCTCAATCTCTTCCATGTCACAGATGTAAACTTTCTGTTTCCTCAATCTCTTCCATGTCACAGATGTGAACTTTCTGTTTCCTCAATCTCTTCCATGTCACAGATGTGAACTTTCTGTTTCCTCAATCTCTTCCATGTCACAGATGTGAACTTTCTGGTTCCTCAATCTCTTCCATGTCACAGATGTGAACTTTCTGTTTCCTCAATCTCTTCCATGTCACAGATGTGAACCATCTGTTTCACACACTTTGGCACTATAACTTCCAAGAACAAACACCAAGCTTATGTAAATAAAGTGAATTTCAAACTTTTACTGCAGCGTTACCCATCAAGAAGACGTAAGTCAAGAAGTCATAAGTCAAGAAGACATAAATCAAGAAGTCATAAATCAAGAAGTCATAAATCAAGAAGTCATAAATCAAGAAGAAGTCGTAAATTATCAAGAAGCCCTAACTCATCAAGAAGTCGTAGCTCCACATCTAGCAGCTGCTCATCAAGGTCAGGTCACTCTTCCAGGTCCTCAGTTTCTACTAGACACACCAGTAGGAAAAAAAAGGTCAGTACCATCTTCATTATTTTCTTGCTAGATTTACATTTGATTAGGCATTAAGTTATAAGCTACCTGAGATTATAAAACCTTTAATGTCAAACTAGATTAAATCTTTATAAATTTGGTTTCTCTATGTCTAAAACATATTTATCATTTAAATTGTGGCCCTAATGTACAATTTTCTTAATATATGATTTAAGAGAAAAGCTTATTTTTATATTTAACCCATGTTTAGAACATTTAGAATAATTATGTTCATGAGTGAAGTTGCAGCCACAACTTATATATACTGTAATATAAGAAAGGCCTACTGAGAAATTGATTGTAACTATAATGTTTTGTGTGGTTGTAATGCAAGAAATCAAAGTCTGGATACCGGATGAGCCCCTGTTCAACACATGATGAATGCAGCTGCAGGTTATCCCCCTGTCCAGCCTCGCGTGGACACAAAAATTACCACACACAAAACAGAAGGTCCCAGGATAATGCCAGGTTTGGAGATAATCCATTTTTTGAGTCCTATTCACTCATGTTATATCAAAAAGTAAAGTAAAACAAAACTACTTATAAAAGATTGTTACAAATAGCTTCATCAGCAAATATTACATCAACAACATTTAGCAAGCATGCTGATAGTTATGGGCTTTAGTTTTAATGTTAAATATAGATTTCTTGAATAAGATTCATTGTCCATCCACTAAAAAGCTTCTTAAGCTACTTGTTTTAATTGTGAAAACATTGAAATATGGAACAAATAGTTTTTGAGCTGTAGGCTAATAATAAATTTTTTTCTTCTTCTAATCATATCTCCTAAAATCTATTAACATTATAAAACCATCAATTAGAACCTCACATATCTATCTTAAATAGCCAGAAGCACAAGTAAAAACCCAGACCATTACATGGAATCACAAATAGAGCAGAAATTAATATGATGAAATATTTATTTTATAACTTCATGTTTTGCTATCAAATCCTAGAACAGGGAACAGGTCACATAGCAATTCTTCAATGCAAAAAGAAGGACAAGAAGATAGTTATCAATTACAGTCTCCTGTACAATCACCAGTGACCACAAAACACTGTCAAGCTCACTCAGAAAATAAAAAAATGACATCAAGAAACCAAGAAGTTCCGGATTCTTCTGAAAGACGACACCGGAAATCAGCAGATCATAATTCAAGTGATCGTCCTGAAAGACGACACCGGAAATCAGCCGATCGTAATTCAAACGATTCTCGGGAAAGAAAACACAGAAAATCGGCAGATCATAATTCAAATGATCATCATGAAAGACACCACAGGAAATCAGCAGATCGTGGTTCAGATACAGGTTCTGTCAGAAGCTCAAGCAGAACATCCAACCAAAATTTTCTTCAGAGGCTAGTTTGGAAGTCCCACAAGCAAGAAACTGGTCACTCTAGCAGGCAGAAGGAATCATCCAAAGATTCGAAGGTGGTGAAAAATTATAGTCAGACTAAGCAACAGAAAACAGATGAGGTAACCCGTCAGAGACATCGGAGACACGACAGTCCTGAACCTAGAGATAAAAACAAAGAGAATCTTTCGTGTACACTGATGTAAAGGGGCTGATGTATACATTTGTGTAATGGAAGTACCATTTTTAAAAGTTTACTACAACTACACAGAGTCGTTTTTTCTCTATGATAGATTGAATGTGTGAATTGTTCTCTTTGTTCTTAATTGACAAGTTGGATGGGATTTCCTCCAACACAATTTCAGACTGCTTTTCTTTATGGAGTCGCTTACATAGCCTTTGTCCCCAGCTATTGAGCCTCATCTGTTAGATGCTTTGAACTCTGGACTTTTTTGTTTAGCAACTATGAGTTTGATCATGCCCAACCATGCCACCCTCTGTAATGTATTCAAGTTATAAATTTATAAATATCAAAATTCTCTTTCAGATGAACTAACAAAAACCATGCCATTATAAATATAACTATCAAAAAATGATATTTTCAGTTTAAGCCCATTCAGGCGTACCTCATATGTTTGTAGCTTTGTCCAGCAATAAGCAAGTGACTAAATGTGGAGAGTTTTTACTAGTAAAATACTAGCTTTTACTTAGTTCTCAATGTTTGTGGCAAATCTTGTAACTCATTGTTTGTGGCAAATCTTGTAACTCACAAATCTTGTAACTCAATGTTTGACCCACTTCTAGTGCAGTGATCTTGTTCAAATTCCAGATAGATTCTACCTTCTTGTTGGATAACAATGCATGAACCTCACTTTATTAAAATCAGATAGAAAACTAGTCATTAAATTATAAAATTTCTTAATTGAATCATATGAAATTAAGCCATAACTCAATGAGATAACATTCAAAGGTGAAGTGTCATGGTTGGCTGATTGCTAACCTGAGCCTTGCCCACAAACTAGGGGCAGATAAATCTTTTAGAGATCACAAGGTACAGGTCAGATTTAAACGGAAATATGTTTAGTCGTAGCCTATGTAGTGTCAACTTCATTTCAAAGGAGCCACTAAAAAGTAGAAAATAAAACAAATATAAAAACCTTTATAATAACAAGGTTTTAAACACAATGAAAATAAGAAAGTAAAACAAACTTGCTTTCTTTAATAAAAGCTTTGATCCCTAAAATGTGTAAGAAATCTCATAAATGGGGCAATTAATGGTAATGTTTTATAATACTGCAATTAATTATTCATTTTGAAAAGTTGCTAAATATAGCTGCATGGGAAAAAAAACGACACTGATCTTTTTCAAAAGTTTATTTGTATAAATAATTGTGACAGGCCAAACCTGCCTCCTTCATAGGAAAGATTTCAATAAAAATACAAAAATAAATCCAAATTGAGATACAACAAAGAATGAACAGAAAAGTTATTGCATAAAACCATTTCATTCATGGTTTTCCAACACTTTTAACTTCTTATTTAAACAGATGTAAGAAAAAAATTAAAATTCTACAAAGGAAAAAAATGCATATCAACCAAAAGCGCCTACAAGAATAAAAATATTTACAGAAAAGGAATGAAGGTGTGGGAGAAAGAAATCTTTGAGTATTGTCATGGAACAAAACAATTTACACAAAAATAGACACTATTGCTTGATGAACATAAACATTCAGGATTTTGTTTTAGCTAGTAAAAAAAGTAAATATTGAATCAGAGTGCATTTGTTTTATTACATACAATAAGGCGTAATTAACAAAAAGTTATGAATGCTGATTCTTGTTAAAATACATTGCAATTATAATAAACAAATCACATGTATTTCATTAATTTTTATAATTATTAAAGGTTTAAGTTTTGTAGTAAAGTATTTTTCTTGAATTAAAAAAAAAATTAAAATGAATACAACTATTTGATATGTAAATTAATTATAAAAGTTACTGACTTTAATCGAGGCCAAAACCTTAAGGTTTTTTCCAAAGGAAATGTTTATAAGCTTTACAATGATGCTGAATGCCCATGAATATTGCACAGCTGAATTTGAATAGGCGAGAGAAAGACAAAATATGCCTACAAACTGTTCATCATTCCAGTCAATGCTTTACAATACATTTTGTCTATCTGAATATGCAGACTTTTTTGGTTATGTAATTTGAACACTTATGTAACAGCTGGGTGTAATATTGTAACTCTTGTTAAGGCATTTTTCGAAGTCAAAATTTAACATCTGCCTTTTCAAAATTCTTTGTCTTTAGCACATCATTTAAGTACTTATTTATTAAACACTAAAAATAAACAATTAGAAAGTTATTTTGGTTGCCATGGAAAACCCATAAAACATCTTTTTTGTGTTAATTTTCAAAATCCTAAGGCTTGTTAAAAATGTTAGTTACATCAAATTTAACAATGTTTCAATATTTGTATAGTTTTTAACATTTTGTCAACAAAACTTATAAAAAGGTAAATAGTGTTGATTCTGCATGGTGTTAAAAGAAAACTTCATATTTAGGAGCTGTTATCTTGGTGTCAATAGGAGAGTGTAAACAATTTACATTTCTAGAGGGTCCGAGCAAACTTTTCAGAAAAATTAACAAGAAATATTTTTCTATTACATATTCAAAAGTATTAAAATCTAAAACTGGTGAAAACCAGATTTTGACCTTTCCTCCTGGTACTGCCCCTTAACAAACAAATAAATGTATGATCTTCATTATCTGGGTCAATTGCTCATGGAATGAAAAAAACATGACTTCCTTTCTCTAATTACATGTTGGTTGCATGCAATACTGACTAGAATATTGGTTTTAAAAAAAAATTACAATATATTAACCATCATCATTTTTTGGGGGTTATAACAAGTATAAAAATAAAGACTTGAGTTTTATAAACTATTTCTGGTATAAAACATCTCAATTCAGATAGTAACATAGAACTCTAGGTTAAGGCACAAAGCTGTGTGCACATCTGTCACAGGCACATCAAACAGGAGTCACAGAGAGAACAATTTATTTGGACACAAGCGCAGGAGTCTAGGTAGATGTGTACAGTAGTGTTGGTTTGTTGTTAGATGTGTACAGAAGTGTTGGTTTGTTGTTAGATGTGTACAGTAGTGTTGGTTTGTTGTTAGATGTGTACAGAAGTGTTGGTTTGTTGTTAGATGTGTACAGTAGTGTTGGTTTGTTGTTAGATGTGTACAGAAGTGTTGGTTTGTTGTTAGATGTGTACTGTAGTGTTGGTTTGTTGTTAGATGTGTACAGAAGTGTTGGTTTGTTGTTAGATGTGTACAGTAGTGTTGGTTTGTTGTTAGATGTGTACAGTAGTGTTGGTTTGTTGTTAGATGTGTACAGTAGTGTTGGTTTGTTGTTAGATGTGTACAGAAGTGTTGGTTTGTTGTTAGATGTGTACAGTAGTGTTGGTTTGTTGTTAGATGTGTACTGTAGTGTTGGTTTGTTAGATGTGTACAGTAGTGTTGGTTTGATGTTAGATGTGTACAGTAGTGTTGGTTTGTTGTTAGATGTGTACAGTAGTGTTGGTTTGTTGTTAGATGTGTACAGTAGTGTTGGTTTGTTGTTAGATGTGTACAGTAGTGTTGGTTTGTTGTTAGATGTGTACAGTAGTGTTGGTTTGTTGTTAGATGTGTACAGTAGTGTTGGTTTGTTGTTAGATGTGTACAGTAGTGTTGGTTTGTTGTTAGATGTGTACAGTAGTGTTGGTTTGTTGTTAGATGTGTACAGTAGTGTTGGTTTGTTGTTAGATGTGTACTGTAGTGTTGGTTTGTTGTTAGATGTGTACAGTAGTGTTGGTTTGTTGTTAGATGTGTACTGTAGTGTTGGTTTGTTAGATGTGTACAGTAGTGTTGGTTTGATGTTAGATGTGTACAGTAGTGTTGGTTTGTTAGATGTGTACAGTAGTGTTGGTTTGATGAAAGATGCGTACAGTAGTGTTGGTTTGATGAAAGATCAGTAGTGTTGGTTTGTTGTTAGATGTGTACAGTAGTGTTGGTTTGTTGTTAGATGTGTACAGTAGTGTTGGTTTGTTGTTAGATGTGTACTGTAGTGTTGGTTTGTTGTTAGATGTGTACAGTAGTGTTGGTTTGTTGTTAGATGTGTACAGTAGTGTTGGTTTGTTGTTAGATGTGTACAGTAGTGTTGGTTTGTTGTTAGATGTGTACAGTAGTGTTGGTTTGTTGTTAGATGTGTACAGAAGTGTTGGTTTGGTGAAAGATGTGTACATAAAGGTAGACAGACGTGCACAATACAGTTGAATATTATGATGATAGCTATTAATGATTCATTAGCTACCAACAGCTGTAATTCTTACTCAACTTGTAAACATGAACTAGAGCCTGTAGCAAGTAATGCCTACTATTTTATCACCAACACGTTCTCTGGAATGTAAAGTTTGCTATTTTTCTCTAGTCCTACACATCATCAATCTTATAGCCCTACACATCATCAATCTTATAGTCCTACACATCATCAATCTTATAGTCCTACACATCATCAATCTTATAGTCCTACACATCATCAGTCTTATAGTCCTACACATCATCAATCTTATAGTCCTACACATCATCAATCTTATAGTCCTACACATCATCAATCTTATAGTCCTACACATCATCAATCTTATAGTCCTACACATCATCAATCTTATAGTCCTACACATCATCAATCTTATAGTCCTACACATCATCAGTCTTATAGTCCTACACATCATCAATCTTATAGTCCTACACATCATCAATCTTATAGTCCTACACATCATCAATCTTATAGTCCTACACATCATCAATCTTATAGTCCTACACATCATCAATCTTATAGTCCTACACATCATCAATCTTATAGTCCTACACATCATCAATCTTATAGTCCTACACATCATCAATCTTATAGTCCTACACATCATCAATCTTATAGTCCTACACATCATCAATCTTATAGTCCTACACTTCATCAATCGTATATCTGTAGTGAGCTCAACTTTTGTAGTGTACTCAACTGGACATCCATGAATTAAAAATGTCTGCTTAAGTACAACAGTAACATAACAACAACTGGGGTACAACTGTCATGGCATCTTTCAATGACACTGTCAGATAACATCCAATGACATGTACTGAATGACCCTGTCCTGTGCATCCAAGGACATGTACTGAATGACCCTGGTGACATCCAATGACATGTACTGAATGACCTTGTCAGTTGACATCCAATGACATGTACTGAATGACACTGTCAGATGACATCCAATGACATGTACTGAATGACCCTGGTGACATCCAATGACATGTACTGAATGACCTTGTCAGTTGACATCCAATGACATGTACTGAATGACACTGTCAGATGACATCCAAGGACATATACTGAATGACCCTGTCAAGTGATATCCAATGACATGTTGGCCTACTGAATGACCCTGTCAGTTTTGGCAAGAAAAAGTTGCATATCTCGTAACTTGGGAAACATTCTGATTAAAGTCTTTCTTATTGATGAACATAGAAAAATATAATTTTGTTTTAATCCTTGAGACAGAAAACTATGTACAGGAAAATAAACTAAATCTTTAACTGAATGAGCAAAATATAAGTACAAAGTACGTCTTTAGTAATTTTTAAAGTTTTGGATAAATTGCATTGATAATTGCCTACAGTATTAAAGAATAAGAGCTGTTTGAATGCCAACAAATATTTGGGACTAAATAAAAAGTTTAATACTATCAATTAAAACTAGCTGTGTGATATGTAAGCAATTATGACATCACATTTTGTGTTAAGTAGCAGAGCTTATAGTTTCAGTAAGGTATAGACTTAAATTCTCTTTACAATAATTGTAAATTATATAACAAATTAAGGATAACAAAAGTATCAAAAGAAATTGCATCAACAATAAAGATCCATAATGCATCGTACAGATATTGTGCTGAAACGGAGGACAACAGATATCAATCATTTTAAAAGTTAACATCCTAGTTCTTATTGCATTCTTTTAGTTTTTTTTTTAGAATATGTTCAATTTGCTTATTTCAATAGTTAACTGAAAAATAAGTATTGAGCGACTGAACATCCACTTAATGAGTTAGACATTAAGCCATTCAGCATACACTTAATGAAATAGTGTCTTAAGTTAAAGACTTTCTCCGCAACATCTGGACAGCAGGCTTGAGATACTGCTGTAGGTCTGCAATACTTAGAGGATATCTTGAGATCAGATCTTGGAATGGTAACTTATCATAGCCCTCACTTGACTGGCCAAAGTCAATCTAAAACATGACAAAATATACTTTTCATTACATTCATACCAGAACAATTTCCTAGTTACAGAAATACAACTTTCATTACATACTGGAGCAGTTTGCTACAGAAAATATGGTCAGATGTCTAACCAAACATGAATATTTTCCTTTTTAACTCCACTAAAACATAATACATAAGAGTTACCTACCTGCATCAAATAAGTCACAATGGAATAAACTTTGTTGTCCTGTTTAGCTGGCTCAATGATCCAGCCACTGGGCAGAAACTAAACAAAACACAAAACAGCTGGTACAAAACATAGCACAGGTGACATATGCAAACTTACTAGCATCTTAGTGCATTCTACAAGCTGCGGATATTAAGGACTAGTATAGATGTAATATATGAGTTTACCATGGCCCTAGTATAGATGTAATATATGAGTTTACCATGGCCTAGTATAGATGTAATATATGAGTTTACCATGGACTAGTATAGATGTAATATATGAGTTTACCATGGCCTAGTATAGATGTAATATATCATGGCCCTAGTATAGATGTAATATATGAGTTTACCATGGCCCTAGTATAGATGTAATATATGAGTTTACCATGGCCTAGTATAGATGTAATATATGAGTTTACCATGGCCTAGTATAGATGTAATATATCATGGCCCTAGTATAGATGTAATATATGAGTTTACCATGGCCCTAGTATAGATGTAATATATGAGTTTACCATGGCCCTAGTATAGATGTAATATGAGTTTACCATGGCCCTAGTATAGATGTAACATGAGTTTACCATGGCCCTAGTATAGATGTAACATGAGTTTACCATGGCCCTAGTATAGATATAACATGAGTTTACCATGGCCCTAGTATAGATGTAACATGAGTTTACCATGGCCCTAGTATAGATGTAATATATGAGTTTACCTTGGCCCTTGTAACATTAGTACTGAGAGGACATTTAGCATGGTCACATGATGAGTAGGTTAGAATATATTTCTCCCCCTCCTGTCTCTCCCCATGTAGTACACACATGTCACAGCTGTCTTTAGAAAGGAACTGCTGAATCTCATGGAAAAAATACACTGAAATACAAGAAATCATTTCAGTCTGTTATTGATGTCCAATAGATTCATGCACATCTTGTTGAAATACTGTAAGTGGTTTACCTATCTTTAAGGAAGAAATACTGTAAGTGGTTTACCTATCTTTAAGGAAGAAATACTGTAAGTGGTTTACCTATCTTTAAGGAAGAAATGCTGTAAGTGGTTTACCTATCTTTAAGGAAGAAATACTGTAAGTGGTTTACCTATCTTTAAGGAAGAAATGCTGTAAGTGGTTTACCTATCTTTAAGGAAGAAATACTGTAAGTGGTTTACCTATCTTTAAGGAGGGGTCAATTGTTTCTATGATGTCAACTTTCTGAAAGATAAATAATTACAAGAACAATTAGGTTATAGTATGTATTATTGTCTAAAAATACGAGGTAACAATGATGTAGCATAATAACATAAAGAATGTGATGGACAAAAAACAAACAACTAACCTTGAGTGTGTCATCATAAGTAAACCTAGTCCTTGGGTTCCTGACCGCATCCCATACAGTTTTAGGTGGTGCCAATACAAAACCTTTTCCAATGTAGCTGCAATATAGTCATAACAAGGAATAAATGTAATGCAACACAAAAACAAGTGATCTCGTGTAATTAGCTTCTATTGGTGTGTTAACTCAGTTGTACATTGGTATCAGTTACTTGTTCATTGTTTTTTTTTACCTTTGAACTGAGCATCCAGTTTTTTGTATTTTCTTCAACACAACAATGTTTTTCTCAAATGATGAGAACCTGGGAACAAAAGATCAATCTGTTATCTGGGCAATTCCAAACATGGACAAGCTGGACTAAACATAAACATTTTCAAACATGGACAAGATGGACTAAACATAAACATTTTCAAACATGGACTAAACATAAACATTTCCAAACATGGACAAGATGGACTAAACATAAACATTTTCAAACATGGACAAGCTGGACTAAACATAAACATTTTCAAACATGGACAAGATGGACTAAACATAAACATTTCCAAACATGGACAAGATGGACTAAACATAAACATTTTCAAACATGGACAAGCTGGACTAAACATAAACATTTTCAAACATGGACAAGCTGGACTAAACATAAACATTTTCAAACATGAACAAGCTGGACTAAACATAAACATTTTCAAACATGGACAAGATGGACTAAACATAAACATTTTCAAACAATACTAAACATGGCACTGAACAGAAGAGGATACATGTGTGGACACAACATTATATATAGACAAGTTGAATTATAAGAGATCCCAGAGCTTGCTCTAGTCTACACGTCTACTTACAGCCATCCCCCAGATGTAGCAGCTTGTTGCTCAGGCGACAGCTCAAGATCAATGTTTGAAGCACGCATTGCCTACAGATAGACAATAGTATTCTTATACACCCACGCCACATCTGTTTTAGCAAAAAACATCAAACTATTGCCTCTGCCTCATTCAAGGATAACGATAAAACATGACTCACCTCAGCCATAACTTCCGCTGCACACTGGTTGCTTATTGTTTTAAATCGAGCAATTTCAAGATCTGTACAGAGAAATGTTAAAAACAAATTGGTTTAAGTAAAACTCCTAACAGTTGTATATCAGTTTCTACTATCACATGAATGTAAATGAAAGCTATCAAATCAGGTACAACTAGTATTTGTGTCAAACAATAAACAGGTATAGAAATTTAAATTAGTACACAATGTGGAAAGCCACAGATGTAAGTGGTAGATTTGTGCCAAGAAGTTTTTAATGGTTATCAATATAAGAAGCAATATTATTCATAGTTTTTACATTTTTTGATTTGTATCTGCAAGGTATAAGGATTCACATTAGTACTGCTACAAAAATGAGCTAGTATCTAATAATAAAAAGCAAAACCCCAGCTTCAGTAGGTGAAAAAACAACTGCTAATAATTATAAATGTTACCCTGCTCTGATATGGGCTCCTGTGAGTTGACAAAAGGATTTTCTTCTAGATCCTCATCATCATGGGAATGTTCATTTCCAAAGTTAAAATCTTCAATTTCTTGGCTCAGTAACTGACTTTGTCTGAATGCTGTTCCATCACTGACAGATCTTTGCAATGGTGTTTTGTTATAATCTTGATAATCCCCTGCATTTGTAACAATCCTCTCTGAGGTCAAAACCCCATTACTTGCATGCTGGGATATTGATGTTGTGCTGTCCCCACTGCCATTCTTGGCCTTCCCGTTTCTCCATCTGTATCTAAGGATTGAGGAGTATTTTTCCAGTTCAGTTTTCCTTGGTGTATTGCTACTGCTGCTGCTATTGTTGCTGGACTGCCGATCCAGTATAAAGTTTTTAACCTTGCTTAATAAAGGAGAATCCGGAGAGAAAGATTCCCGATCTAGACTTGAGTCACTGGACTCAGCATCACTGTCTGACAGGTCCTGGGGTAAGGTTATAGTGGTTAAAGGTGTCTTCTCAAGCTTCCTCAGGGAAATATACTCCTCCAGTGAGGAAAGTAAAATGGAGGCCTTTTCCACTGATTCTCTTGAACTCTTTCTAGACCAGGTTACAACAGACACAAGACTTTGATCAACATCTAAAATAGAGAAAAAAAATAGTTTTTACTGGCTAGCAAGTAGCATTAGATGTCAAGAGTTGTACAGAGAAACCACAACAAGATAGATATACAGAAAGCTGTAGGTAGATAGGTTTAGATAACAAGAGAGATGGATGATAACAAAACAACTTACCTTGCACTGGTTGAATCAAATAGAACTCACAGTTCTGTAGAGCTTCATTCATTTGTAACAGCCAACAAACACCATTATCCTCTCTATGCCAAAACCTGCAATCATTTTATTTGAAACTAGCCTATTTTCTTAAGGATGTAATAAAATATCTATCTAATAAACAAGAAATATACAGCTACTGAACAAAGCCATTCAATGCTAACTACTTGTAGTATGGACTTAAATGAAATATTCTTGTACCTTTTAAACTCTAATGAAACAGTTGGAACAACATTTTCAGTGAACCATGGATCATAATTTTGAAGACCAAACCAAGATTCACAATGGCTTAACCGCTCTTCTTTTACACAGTCCACCTAATCATGGATTTAAAAATGGGTAAGTAAAAAAAAAGAAGTAACCTTTTAGACCAAATAGTTCCGGGGGCAAATATACAGTTCTCTGGCTTATGCATATAAAAGAATAATGTCTTTAGAACTACTGCTCAATGAGTTTGGAAATTTTTTATTGTATTCTTTTAACTATAAGAAGTAAAAAAACAACTTTATTTAACAAAAGGAAAATAATTGTGTTGATACCTGAACTGGCATAGAGGGAAGACCTCTAGGTTTAACTGGCACTTCATGTGATGTAAGGTTATGTGTGTTGGAGGTAGATATTACCCCCGGTTTCCATTCACAAGACTGACTTATATCTTTCAGAACTTGCAGTAATGCCTGATATAAATATACAGTTTTATAATGTACACTTCTAAATAACAATGAGTATTTATTGATGGATGCTGCAGAAGCATGTTATGCAAAAACTTATTATATAAAAACTTTTTTTGGTAAAAATACAGATTTTAAGAATTTTCTTAACTAGGGAAACTATTTGTTTCTCAGCACTACAAAGGCAAAAAATATTATGATATAAAAGCTTTAAAAAGTTGATTTAAAAAATCTGAAACAGGGATTATAGACTAAAGTATCACAAAATAATACCTGGGATGATGACTTGACACGATCAAATACTGCATAAACCTTAATTGAAGGTGCATTTAAATTATGAGGAAAGGTAAGAAAGTTAAACCAGACACGATGACCATTGGAATAGCTGTCAATCTTCCATCCCTTCTGACATGAAATTGGGAAAGGCTGTGGAAGCAAACATTAACATTAGCACAATAAAACATCTATAAATTAATACACCATTTTTTTTCAAAAGGTGCTAACAAATAATGAATAATGAATTTTGTATTAAAATCCTAACAGTATTGTAACTATAGTAATCTAAATGCCATTTTCAAAAATTTTATATAAATAATTTACAAGGTCTTCCTAATTATCAGCTGAGTATTTATTTTTGAAGTCAACTGTTACTCTAGTGAAATGTAAATCTATGTAAATTTGAAACCTCTTACCTTAACATTTTTGAATAAATCTAAAACTTCAAGAATGCTGAAGTGCTCCCTTCTCTTAAAAACAAGAATAAACTTTTATAAAAACTCAACACAAAAAACTGCTAGACATTACTAACTAAATAGATTTGCAAAACAAGTCAGTAGGAACTGTAGGTTAACAATGAAATGAAACATCTTTACTTTTACTTTTGGCATAACAGGTTAAATTTGAATATAGTTTACTACCTTGCTAAGAACATATGCATGACCACTGATCCATCTGAGTAATGACAAATATTTCAGAGCAAAAGCTACAACAATGCACAATATAGTGGAAGTCACAGAAAGAAATAACAGATTCATTCTGTTAGGTATAATGCATACTCTATAGATCTAGTTGAAGTCCTGAAAAACAGAAGATTATTTTGTTTTTACTTTTTAATTATTTGCAAATTAAAATGGCAGTTTAACATAGGCTAAATAAATGTACGTTCCTTCTTATTCAATTGCAGATTATCATTATTAAGGCATTAATTAAAGCCACATATTTTACTATTTAGCTAGAATTTATTTTCATTTGTACACGATTAGTTAAGTTAGGATCAGGTGATTAGACAATTAGTTCAAATAAAAAGCTGAGCTAAGTGTAGTAAGTCTAAGTGCTAAGCAAAAACAATTCAGATTTAATAATGCCGCTTGCTTAAGATTTTTACTTTACGAAATGAAGAGAGACTAATAATAGGCAACATCAGGTGATTTGACTTAAGTAAGAGTCTAAAGCAAAACAAAAGTTAATAAATAAAGCAGTCTCAGTATAGTTTTTGTCTTTAAAATCACTAGTAGTCTACTACGAATCTAACTAGACTAGAATCTAGATTGATTAGGCCTATTAATTAGTAATAATTAGCCTACTTTAATTAAATAACTTTAGGCCCAAGCCTAATTGGTAAAACTCCATTTTAGCATATTTTATTTGCAGCTTCACGTTCACCTCCAGTTGAGCGTATTTTATTATAAACACAACCAAAACACACAAAAATATTAGGAAAACACTTAGGATTAGAATTATTAGATGATAGATATATATATAATTATATAAATAATATAGATCTAGATCTAGCTACTTATTTTTTTATAAATGTGTTTTAATTAGAAAAGTTAAAAAGTATTATAAATAAGCATTACAGAGTGTGATCATCGGTGTGAGAAAAATCCCTCCTACATGGCACATGGTCAAGGGTTCACCGTGAGTTCACATTGACTTTAAGTAATAATTATCAGCATACGTCATAGCTTAGGGTCATTTGTGAGTTCATGTAAGTTAATTTATAGTATCATGCCTTGCAATTATGCGTTTCTACTTTACCCATTGCCATAAAGAAATAGGCAGAGTGATTTCCTAACGTTTTTGTGTTTCAACTGGAGGTGAACATGAAGCGGGGACAATAAAATAGGCATAAATGGAAATGGAGTTTTACCCTTTAGTCTTTTTAGTTTTCTTTAACTTGACTTACACTTTACAAGTTTACTTTAACTTTACACACTCGCACTAGCCTCAGAGTTCAGACTCTCAGAGTCTCAGAGTAACAAGAAAGATCACAAGAAGACTCACTTAACTAGAACTAGAGTGTTACTACACTACTAGAGTTACAGTTCTACTGTCTAGAATCTAGATTTTACAACTATTTTTAAAATAATTTTATGATGTATTTTTATTCTTCTTTTCTAGCTAAATGTAGACTCTAAATCTATTCTAAATAGACTAAAATCTGTCTATTCTACATTAATTCCACTGTCTATGCTACTAGTATCAGTATCATTATAGAATTATTATAGATCTAGTCTAGATCTAGCAGCAAACTAGCTGTTGTATAAGGTAGCTGTTTGGGCGTTTGCTTATATTTCCTATGAACCGAAACACAGACAAATCGTTCGAAAACGTAGTTTAGTTTAGTTTGCAACATTGAGTTAAATTGAAGTTTTCTGCTAACAAACTCTAGTTATGTAGTTATTATTCTAGTTTTAAATTAGCAGGCGTTTAAGGCAGTTAAAAATAATATATTTACAGAGCTCAGTCAATAATGGAAGTCCTAGATCTAGACAATTTCTAGAAGTATTTAAAAACGGCTAAAATTCTATTTCGAACATTTTTTAAAAGGAAAAAAAAGCGTGTCGTCATACTTTCAGCCCATTCCCCCTTCTTCGAAAATAGTCTCAAACGTCAGTGACTTAAACAGAGACGTCCAGAGTTTCTTCCAGGCATCTCTTCGGGGGGGGAGGCTTCCCCCCCCCCCCGAAATTTTTTTTACCGCCCCCCCCCCCTCCCCCGAACGAAATGAAATTTATATAGAAAATATATACTTTTAACAGTGTCCGCTCCCCGAAGAAAGTCTACCGCCCCCCCCCCCCCCCGAAAATTTCAAGCGCCCCCCGGAGAAAAAAGTCTGGAAGAGACACTGGAGACGTCGCGAGGCGGGGGCGGGGGTGCGGACCGCACCGGGTGACACCATTTAGGGGGTGACACCAATACCAAAAAAATGCAAAATATATAGAAGAAATTTACTTCTTGTCAGTTTGATGAATGATTAATTTGAGTATTTCCAATCGATGACCGCGGTGGGGCGAAACTATATATAATAACTTACTGTGTACATTGTAAAGGATGATTTTTTCCCACTTGAATTAATTGGTGGATTAAAATAAAGTGTGTGCAAAATTGGAGTGGGGTGACACCAATTACAACTGTATATATGCCTATATATAGCATACACCATTTTCCTTTGGTGGGGGTGACACCAAGTGGTGCCGCACCGGGTGACACCCAACCTAGTGATACCACTTGACTTAAATGACTTAATGCTAGAAAACTTTCATTGACATTTTCGAGGTCCAGTGGGTTGGGGGTGGGGATGGGGGGGTGTCTCTAAGGCCCCCCCCCCCCCCAAAAAAAAAACCCCTTCCCAAGCCATTGGTGTGTGTATCCTAGGCAATTTAGATACAAAAAAAAACATCTATATTCGTTTATAACAGATAAAATGGTAACAAATTGTAATACTTTCAGTACTGTTCGTTTTAACCAGTAAGGTGATTTGGATTTGATTCGATACTATCTGGTGGTTTTCTACATTTATTACAACCGTACATTGAATTTAGAATAACTCCAAACAAAAATGGCTCTAGCGTTGCAGAGGTTACGTATGCCTTCATCAACTGTTTCTTTGTTAACAACCTGCAACACGCATAGTTTATTCCGCTATTTTGGATTGACTTCCAACAAACCGGTTAAAAAAAGTAATTTCTATTGATAGATTCTATAGCCTAGATCTAAATCTAGATCAATTTTTTTTAAATAATAAAACGTGTAGGCCTACTGTTGTTTACTTGTCACTTGATAATCAAGTTGATAGGTTGATACCGGGCAATTAATTGATCAAACTGGGTGTCGGATGGGTGTTCTACAGTTTGTGACTCGGAGAGTAAGGTGTATAAATAGAGGTATAAATGTTGTTGAGCACACAACAGAAACAAGACTTGAACGCGTTTGTCTAAACTCAAGTGCAAATGACAGGGGAATATCGTTGCCAGTTTTAGTTAGGTACTAGATCTAGGATAAATTTTGAAAATTGGTTTAATAGGGAAACAACCACTACAGTTAAAAGGAGCAAAAAATTACAATAACAGAACAGTTTTCCTTTTTGATGTAGCTCAAACGGTTAAATAGTTATGATTTTTTTTCGTATTAAAAAAGGTGATTTTTTTAACATAGGATTTTTTCCAATTTCTGTGATAGAGTTTTTTTAAGCGTTTACTAAAATTGTCCTAGCTTGTAAACCATATGGCCAAATTTGTTATAACTTTGCAATATCTTTATTTATTATATATGGAAGCATAATAAACAATAAAATTAGAAATTTATGGGCAGAGTTAAACAAAAACAGAAGTAGAACAGGGTACACCCCCTAATTTTTCATATACAGTGCATTCATACAATCTCAGTTAAAATTTTAACTATTCAGAAAATTAAGCTCAAACTTGCTGAGAATGATGAGCTATGGATGTGTCAGTTATTACAATCAAATTAATATTCATAACTGAAAAGATTTTTGTTTTAACTGCTACAAAGCTGATAAATTATACAATTTCCCAAAACTGAAGTCTTGTTGTTGTGAAATGCAACATGATGGCAAATTTGAGTTATTAAGCACTTAAGTCTCAAAATTTGCCTGGCTCTAGATTACTCTATTCTCAAACAGAAACAATCAAAATATGTATTTAAATCTATCTGTTTGACAAAAAATAAGGGGTGGAACAGGGTACACCCCCTATTTTTAAATACGAAATTTGTTCATACACTATTTGTTTAGGCTCAATCTATTTGAATCTAAAGCTAACAACTAACTAGAGTGAAGCTTTAAAATAAGTGTGTGTGATGGTTCTATCTAAATAGTTGACAAATAGGTTAAGGATGGTAAAAATGTAAAATGCTGAGTCATCGACACACCTGACATCATTGAAAAACTGAGCGCATATATTTAAATTTTTAAAAAAAAGGCAAATTATATTTCTTAGAAATGTAAGGTGTTTTATTCATATAAATGTAATAAACTTGTTGGTATACTTATATATAAAGTTTAATTAAAAAGATGTGTTTCTGCTTATTCGTTAATATATTACATTTCAGGAGAAGTTCAACATTGGTTGGTTTTTAAAGGAAATAGTTCATATCACAAATTAATTAGTTTGCCTAAATAAAAGATAAACACATTATTTATTTTAATAGTTTTAATTTCTCGTTTACATGTTCCATCATTAGACAATATAACTGCCATTAGGCCATATAACTGCTTATCATATTGTAGAGATGTGCTGGTTTTAGAAGTGTAGGTTCTACCTGGAAAAGTAAACAGTACAAGTACATTATTTGCCTTCCCATCAAAATAAAAAGGTTTTCTGAATACACCAAATATTTAATGTGTATTGTTAATACCAGACCTTCCTTTCTCCTCCCCCCCCCCCCCCCACTACCGTCAATATCAAAACAACGCTCGCCACTATCGCCGGCGTCAAAACAACGATCGCCACTATCAAAACAACGCTCGTCGGCGTCAAAACAACGTTCGCCACTATCACCGGCGTCAAAACAACGATCGCCACCATCGCCGGCGTCAAAACAACGTTCGCCACTATCGCCGGCGGCAAAACATCGTTCGCCAATATCGCCGGCGTCAAAACAACGATCGCCATCATCAAAACAACGCTCGTCGGCGTCAAAACAACGTTCGCCACTATCACCGGCGTCAAAACAACGATCGCCACTATCGCCGGCGTCAAAACAACGTTCGCCACTATCGCCGGCGTCAAAACAACGTTCGCCACTATCACCGGCGTCAAAACAACGATCGCCGGCATCAAAACAACGCTCGTCGGCGTCAAAACAACGGTCGCCACTATCACCGGCGTCAAAACAACGCTCGTCGGCGTCAAAACTACGCTCGTCGGCGTCAAAACAACGCTCGCCACTATCGCGGGCGTCAAAACAAAGCTCGACATAATCGCCAGCATCAACACAGCGCTCGCCAATATCGCCTGCGTAAAACAGCGTTTCCCACTATCGCCAGAGTCAAAACTACGATCGCCATTGTCAAAACATCGCCCGCCACCAACGCCCGAGTCAAAAATGCCTTCGGTACTATCACCAGTGTCAAAACAGCGTTCGCCATAAGCGCCAGAGTCAAAACAGTATTCGCCACTAACGCCCGAATAAAAAGGCGTTCGCTACTTTTGCCGGCGTCAAAACAGCGTTCGCCATTATCGCCCGAGTCAAAACAGCCTTTGCCACTATTGCCCGAATCAAAACAGCATTCGCCACTATCGCCCGAATCAAAACAGCGTTCGCCACTATCGCCCGAGTCAAAACAACGATCGCCACAATCGTAATTACAGTAATACAAGCATATCAGCTAGACTAAGTCACACAAGTGTTAGTAGCGAGACCCGACAACTTCCGGTTCACTTTCACTTCCAGTCTGTAAACAGTTAAAGTCCCAAACAGTACACCAAACTGTGAAGCGTTTTGCAGCTAAGAGACACATCCAATCATTACGATTTTTTACAGTAATAGAGAAAAATGGATAAGAATGGAGATTATGCAATAAAATTTCAAGTAGAGCCCATAGAGAAGTTTAGGGAATAAGTCAAACTTACCTTATTTTCAATGAAACACTCCATAAAAAATAGTCCATGAAAATATTTTTAAAAAATATATAATACGCTAAGTCCATTTTTCTTCAAAATAATACTCCTCGCAATAAAATTGACCAGGCAAAAACGGAGAATAATAAAAATTACGAAACACTCGCACTCGCGCGTCCGCCAACTCTCGATATTTGGGTAACGGGAGGAAAATCTCGCCGCGCATCGTAAAACGGGAGCCAAATCCTAGTACCTAGACTGACTTTTAGTGTAGCAGGTAATGATGGACCAATAAGTTTTGAGCCTGAACTATCAGTATCAGATGTAGAAGATAAAGAGTCACCAGCTATCATTACTTGAAGATATTGCTGGTTCAATTTCAAGCAGCTCTGACGACAAGGTCAAACCAGTTTACTGCATTTCATCTATCAATGTTTCAATAATTGGCAGTCATAATGAAATGCAGCTGAAGGTGCAGTGAAGAAAGAGAAATATTTTCAGGAAAGACATTAACAGTACACTGCCTGAAGTGCACATAATCTCAGGAAAAATATACATCAACAGACTCACTCACTGATCATGTGGTCTCTCTCATTAAAATATTTGTTCTGTACATGAGAATGAAGAAATGATACAACCGATATTTGACTGCATTAGCAGGGAAGGAGAGAAAGCAAGAGGAGACCATAGCACTCTACAGAAAAGCATTTTAGTTGTATATCAATTCAGTTCTACTTATGGAAGTTTTTTGAAGGCAGCATTTTCTATGAAGAAACTCAGCAACCTTCTACTTCATATTCACTTTCACTACAATAACACTAAGTCAGTGGATCAGGCTCATGGTATATTTGCTCCCATTATGGGAGATATTCCTTGGAAATTTAGCAAGGTGTTATGTTTCTGGAGAGATCATAACTGTAATTGAACAACTGGTTGATTTTAGATGTGGGAGTAGATTTATCCAATAAATACCAAGCAGCTCATATAAGTATGGAATAAAAATATTTTTGGTATGTGACTCATGTAACTCCACTAAAAGGGTGCCCATATTTTGTTAAAGAAAACACAAGCTCCCTACCAGCAAAAAGAAATGTCCAGCTATGTTAGTTGTATCTAACAACTGTGCTCTCTGAGGTGTAAATTATTAAAAAGTGTTAATGTTCTATTTTTTATCATAAAAGTTGATTACTTGAATATTGTTTGATATTTTTGTTACCCAAATACCTTCAGATTGTTAATTTATACTTAAACTGTGAATATAAAACACAATAACTTGGCCAACAATGAGTAAAATCAAATATTTGGAAACTAGTTTATAAGTTATATATATTTTTTCCATTCAAAATTGTGTATGGGTGTTTTACACCCAATTGCGAGGGACTGTATACAAAAATTTCAAACCCTAATAAAAAGTTTTTTTTGCATATTATTTAAATTTACATCCTCCAAGGTGTTCATCCCAACCACCTTATAGATGGTAATGAGGCTGAGAAAATTGTATGAAACGAGACTCGAGATATGAGCAAAAATATAGCGTCTCCGGGTGATTACACCCAGTCGCCGGTAAAGGGTAGCTTGAGAGCTCCAAATGACATTAAACAGTTCTACAGCATCTACAATAAAAAAAAATGTATCACTGCCTGCAACCTGACTATTTATGAAAAATAGTGGGTAAAAACCCATTAAACTTGAAAAATTGAGAGGCAGTGTACACAGATTCCATGCGCGATCATTCTTTAAATAAATAAATAAATTTTTAGATGGTCTTAGCACATTCACACAGTCACAGTAAATTTACATGCCCAATTATTATTTAAGGTTATTAATAAATGATACCAAAAATATCGAATCCCTATATTACATTACCAGTAATACCAGTTAATAATATAGCAATGTGCACATTACATGTTAATGAATCAGTAATTTTGCAGCATATTCTGAGAGCTCTACTAAATTTTGTGGACGTCCACTCTAAAATGGAGGGGGGGGGGGGTGTTCGTCAAAAAAGGTGGGGGGGGGGAGGCGTTAAAATTCCACATTTTTGTTGACATCATAAATAGATGACCCCACATACTGTAGCAAACAATTTAAATCGTATTCAGTATCAATTTTTGCACTCTGCAGAAGTTTATCTAAAACAAGGTTTTAAAAAAATAGTAATATTAGTTGAAAAATAGCTTCAAACTGAAATACAACCTGCTGACATTTTAATTAAATGATTAATGTTAAATGTCAAATAATTTTGCTAATTAATGTCAACTAATCATACTCCAAAACTGTAGCCCTAATGATACATTGTTACTCCTATTTATTATATTTCTGCTTATTGAAAGATTTAAATTTAATTGTTAGACACTGTTGAGGAAAAAAGCAGTATTTTCCTGTGCACTGTATTTAACCCTAACCCTGACTTATAGTTATACAGCAGTACTGGAAGAAAAACCCGTATCTGTTTACAGAGAAAAAAATTTAATTAGCACTGCATGTTCAAAGTTTATGAATCCTTTAATTTACAAGGAACTAATTGAAACTATTTTATTACTTGCAGTTGAAGTTACAAAACAGGGCAAAGAAATAGTGGTAAGTTGATACTTTTTGTGAATATGGTTTTGGGTATTTAAATATTACCTTACAGCTGATTTTTAAAACTATTTTAAATTATGTAAAATTAATTAACTTGAGGGTATATTTTTTTTAAGATTGAAGGAAAGCCAATAAAAGAGGAAAAAAAGTATACTGTACGGAAAAATAATTCACCTACTGGATGCCCGCTTTGTGAATTTCAGGACAAGCTAACTTACAGGGTAATTTTTTTTCTTAATCTTTCTTACTTTGTCATTCTCATATACATAAGACTGTTTTGAATTATCAATTAAAATTATCTAAAAAATGTTTCCAGGATGTACTGATACTGCAACAGTTTCTGTCTCCTGATGGACATATCTTGCCCAGACATATCACAAGGGTTTGTTTTACAATGCAGTGGAAATTAGAAAATATTTTATATCAGTCATATTCTGCAGGTTGGTCATTTGTTTTCAAGTTGTTAGTTAACTATATACTATATAGTTTACTATTGGATAGTGTGTTGGGTTATGGCACTTTTTTGTTGATTATTTTGTGATTATTATTATGGCACTTTTTTGTTGAATGTTTTCAGTGATAAATATCTGAACATATTCCAGGTCTCCTGCCCAAGTACAAGCCTATTTTACCTGTGAATGAAGATCCAGCAACCTATGACAAAAACTATAAATGGAGGAAAAACAATGTTTATTTTGATGATTTTAGTATTGAAAATCCTTTGTAGTTGTAGTAAATAAACTTGAAAATAATTACAATGAATTAGTTGTCTTTCTGATGAATCAACCAATTGGAGGGGACGGCGTGGTCGAGTCGGTAAAGCTCATGGTTGCTAAACCGAAAAGTCACGAGTTCGAACCCTCCGGCAGATGAGGCTCGTTAGCTGGGGACAGCCACTCTTCTAGGAGAGACAACTCCAAAATCAAACAACTGCTGCCTTGTAGTTTGTTCTTGGTTGGACAAAGGCTATGGAAGCAAATCCAAAAAGAAAAGCAGGCTGAAATCGGAGTCAATGGCCTCAATGGCGCAAAACCAGTTGACACGTAACGCTTAATTGTGTTTAAGGCGTGGTCGAGTCGGCAAAAAGCTCATGGTTGATAAATTCGACCAGTCTCGAGTTCAAACCCACTGGCAGATAAATCTCGATTTCCCTTCACTTTCAACACTAATAATTAAGAACGAAGAAGAAGAGAAGAACCAATTGGATTCAATAAATAAACTGAACAAAGTGCAGTTAGAGATTTGACAGCAAGTACATCTATAAAGATGTTTAAAAGAAACTGGATGAGATTAAGTTTTTGTTTTTATCATGTTAAGTGAATCTTTGGCCAAGACTACACCCAAAATTAGTCAGATAAAGGGAGAGTTTCTTTCAAAAATCAGTCATATATCCACTCAACAGAACCAACACTAAGAATAAAATAGAGCTAGGAAAACAGAAAGTTTTTCAAGTTTTAATCTCTATTAAATTCAAAATTTTGAGTTTTAAAGAACATTATTTTTCATGTATTTAACTTGTTTGAGAAAATCAATGATGACATTCACAGTGTGAATATTTGGATACCATGTCACTAGGGCAGGCAACTTTTTCCCACGTAACTTCTGGATTGTCCCAGCCGAGGCCATTGGTAACTTGACCTTTGTTGTTTTGAAGGTCAAAGTGAACTTCATATCCATGAGTGTTTGCGTTATCTGGTGAAAAAAAAATTGTTAAAAACAATTTGTGCATGGATTCAAAATCTATTACGCTCATTATATTACTATTATTACATAAGAACTATTTTGGAAAAAGTGAGATCAGGGGTGACTGGATTGTTTGAGTGGCAGGGGGGGGGAAAAAAAAACAACATAAATCACAAGCTTTTACTTAGTTTATTACGTTTGCTTGTGGGTATGTGGCAAATCTTGTAACTCAATGTCAACCCACTTCTAATGTAGCTATTTTATTCACACTTTCCAGATACATTTGTCTATTAAAATTGCTAGAATATCTAATGTTTACAAGCTATTGTTGAACTTGCTTAGTAGTAGGCTACCAATTTCCCATGCTATTATACACCACACATTGCATGTGTTCAGCTGTTCTATTGTATTAAAGTGTTGAAAAAAAAATAAGAAAACGTTTTACTAACAAGCTTTTATATGCACTAAAAGCTAGAAAATAAATATTTTAAATATATAATAATAATACAATTACTAAAAAGCATATGTCACTGCTTATTATGTAACATATTGAATACTTAACTCAATTTAATGGGTGACCCAGCAAGTTATCAAAACGTTTTTTTTTTTTGTAAAATTAATTTGAAAAGTAGAAAATAATACAAATATAAAGAAACACAATTAGAACAAAGAAAATATTCTAAAAATTTAAAGGACTGATATTTTTTTTTATTAATAAAATTTGCTTTCTTTAATAAAAGCATTGGTCGCTCGTGAAGAGAAATATCTGACACATTCTCGCTAAAAATACTCTAATTAAACTACAGGTTTGTTTTATTTCTTATTATCGGTGTATTTAAACCCGTATTAATATATAGTTTGTTTATATTTGTTTTATTTTCTAATATTACTTCACCATTAATCTACCAGTGTTTACTATCATTAGAACTTTACAAGTATCGTCGATAAATATTATGTTCTTTAACAATAAACTGTGAGTTTATCTGGCATAAAGAGGTAAACAAAATTTACTTGTGCCTGGTTTGCCAGATTGGCCACACCATTCAAAGTTGCCTTGAATAGGACAGTCGTTGGTTACCATGAAAATAACGGGGTTGTGGTTGCTGGGAGCTCGGCCCTCTCCTGGCACAAATCCTCCTGGAATATAATGTCAGTGAAAGCCATTTTTTATCAATAATGTTAATAAACAACATATTTCTTGCATTAAGAAGTCGATGTCACAGTCTTTGGGATCAGGGGAAGCGCGCTTAGGAATTGTGACATAACAATGATGCATTCAGTGTTGCATTCAGTGTTTCTTCCAAATTTTCGGGGGGGGGGGGGGGGATTGGACACTGTTAAAACTATATTTTCTAAATAAATTCCATTTCTTACGGGGGGGGGGGGGGGGCGGTAGACTTTCTTCGCTCCCCCCTCCCCCGAGATGTCTGGAAGGAATTGATTGGGGGGGGGGGGGGGGTGAAAGGGGTGTAAACTGTGACATCAATTTAAGAGTGATTTTTTTCGGGATGATTGGTAATTGGGGGGGGGGGGGGGCTCATCATGACCTACAGAGTTTCTTCCAGGCATCTCTTCGGGGGGGGCGAAGCCCCCCCGAAAATTTTTTACCGCCCCCCCGAACGAAAGGAAATTTATATAATTTATATAGAAAATATATACTTTTAACAGTGTCCGCCCCCCCGAAGAAAGTTTACCGCCCCCCGAAGATTTCAAGTGCCCCCCCGGAGAAAAAAGTCTGGAAGAAACACTGATGACCTACCTTTTGGCCATTTGCCGTTACATGACCTACCTGTTGGCGTTAGCTTGACACAGGCACCACAGTTACGCCCACACCAAGAACTGTCACCCCCGTCATCAAAAAACTTGCCGTTAGGGGCTGTGACGTGATCAGCCAGATTCCAGGGAAATGGTGTATCTGGTAGAGGGGGGGAGGGGTGTCAGACAAAAGAAATGTAAACACGGATTTTACAAGTAAGCGTAGCATATAGTATAGTATTTATTTTCTTCCAACCGGTAATAACAACATATACTTCCTTAAAAACAACAATATGCACTTTACACAGGTGATGCACCTACAAGACCGTCTATAACATGAACAATGCACTATTGCTAACGATGCACCTAGCAGACCGTCTATAACATGAAGAATGCCCTACTCTAACGATGCACCTACCGGTTCCACGTGGTCCACAGCCGCATGCTCCTCTGTGTCCGTCATCATATCGCGTTGTGCTAGCGCACGGATGTCCGTTAAATCGTCGAATCCCGTGAGCATCTTTAGCGCACTTCTGCTCCGCCCACGCCAAACCTACCAGATGCAAGACAAATGTGACAGTAACAAAAATTTTAGTATTCTCATTCAGTTCTTCAAGAAGAAATTATTTGATAAAGATTATGGAATGTCATGTGTGCTTATGTAGAAAACGCTTATGAACATGCTTTTAAGGAAAAAGAAAGAAGCAAAATCAACGTTAGCTACTACCAACATCAGCGTGATAAAACTACTTGTTTTAGATAAGACAACTGTTTTTTTTAAAGTTAATTTTAGTAGAAATCTTAGAGTAGATTAATATTATGAAACATGGAAGTGAATTTTTAAAAACCTCTAATAATTTATTGTTAAAATATTTTATCATATGTATAGAATAGATCTATAACTTACCAACAAAACTTATGCCTAAAGCAAACAACGCAAAGCGTTTCATTTTTCTAACCTGAATATTTTCTATTTCGCCTATTCCGACTTTAAATTGTCTTATTTATAGGCCTAATTCTGTAAAAAAAAACATTATCTATTCTGCATCCAGCTGTCAAAAAATACACAAACAAAAACTGCTTTTAACGGTCTTATGGACTTAATAGTCCCACTTCTCTATCCCGAACAATACATATGAGAGATTTGGCGGTCTTGTGAACTATTAATTGATATTACTTTTTTAAAAATAAATACAAGTCTAATTACATCACGTTTCATGTCAAATAACATTGCATTTCAAGTTTGAAACAAATAGGTCTGAAGGAAACGAGTGAAATTTTGTTTAATAATTCCCACCCCATGATATATCGTTATATTTGAATTAACGTTACCCTGTTACCTTCAAGCATTAAAATGAACGACAATTTCCTTACAACTAATTCAGGCCATCTTTGAAATTTTAATGATAAATTCTAGTTTGCAAGGGTTATTATTTGACATTTCGAAGTCGAACTGGAAGCTCTAGATTGCCAGAAGCTCAGTTAGTCTAGCAGCGCTGCTGTCTAATTGTTTGTCAATAAACAAACATTTTTTTAGGTAAAATGTGTTGTTGTTTTTTTTAAACAAAAAGTAAAAGGTAGTATTTCGATTAAATGACAAAACGTACAGGGAGATAATATCCAAGCACAACTTCAGTACATAGGGAATAAAAATCCACGATAAACTGGTTACACTCTTGAAATTGCATCTACTTTATAGTACCTCTAAAATCGGGTTTTATTATAATTTAACATTTTAAAAATGTTAACGAAATTCGAAAACTTCTCCCCCATACTTTGTAAGTACTTTGAAAACATACTAAAGAGTTGAAATATTGCTAAGGAGGGTCGTCCATAAATGACGTCACACTAGTTGGGGGGGGGGGGTCCGTAATTTGGTGACGGTGTGTGATGGGGGGGGGGGAGGGGGAGGTAAAAATCGTGATGACCCCCTGTTCTGTTTCTTATTGTTAAAGAACGTTATGTATGACCCCCTAATCTGTATCCAATAGAAGAAACAGGATTACAACAGATATGTCGCCTTTATATTATATTTTGTGATCATTCCACTTGACATTTGCTGGTCTGACAAAGTAGAATAGTCTGCTGTAATTTACTTATTAATTTCAATACAGCAACGCTCATTTAAATAAATATTGTCTGACATGAAACGATGACAGCTACTATCCTCATTGTAGAGCTTGTGCGGTTGTGTCCAGCTAACTCATATTTTTATGTCTGTAGGTTTAGAAAAAAAGATCTAATTGTTTTAACATCAACATACATCATTGTAAAAAAAAAAGTCCTTAAGAAAATCATTTTTATTTTCATTGATAAGAGAAAATTTGGTTTGACATCAGTCAGATACCCATCAAAGCTGGTTTGACATCAGATACCCAACATGGCTGGCTTGACATCAGTCAGATACCCAACATAGCTGGCTTGACATCAGTCAGATACCCAACATAGCTGGCTTGACATCAGTCAGATACCCAACATAGCTGGCTTGACATCAGTCAGATACCCAACATGGCTGGCTTGACATCAGTCAGATACCCAACATAGCTGGCTTGACATCAGTCAGATACCCAACATAGCTGGCTTGACATCTGTCAGATACCCAACATGGCTGGCTTGACATCAGTCAGATACCCATCAAAGCTGGTTTGACAACATCAGTCAGATACCCAATATGGCTGGCTTGACATCAGTCAGATACCCAACATAGCTGGCTTGACATCAGTCAGATACCCATCAAAGCTGGTTTGACAACATCAGTCAGATACCCAATATGGCTGGCTTGACATCAGTCAGATACCCAACATGGCTGGCTTGACATCAGTCAGATACCCATCAAAGCTGGTTTGACAACATCAGTCAGATACCCAATATGGCTGGCTTGACATCAGTCAGATACCCAACATAGCTGGCTTGACATCAGTCAGATACCCATCAAAGCTGGTTTGACAACATCAGTCAGATACCCAATATGGCTGGCTTGACATCAGTCAGATACCCAACATGGCTGGCTTGACATCAGTCAGATACCCATCAAAGCTGGTTTGACAACATCAGTCAGATACCCAATATGGCTGGCTTGACATCACTCAGATACCCAATATGGCTGGCTTGACATCACTCAGATACCCAACATGGCTGGCTTGACATCTGTCAGATACCCAACATGGCTGGCTTGACATCAGTCAGATACCCATCAAAGCTGGTTTGACAACATCAGTCAGATACCCAATATGGCTGGCTTGACATCAGTCAGATACCCAACATGGCTGGCTTGACATCACTCAGATACCCAACATAGCTGGCTTGACATCAGTCAGATACCCAACATAGCTGGTTTGACAACATCAGCCAGATACCCAACATAGCTGGCTTGACATCAGTCAGATACCCAACAAAGCTGGTTTGACATCACTCAGATACCCAACATGGCTGGCTTGACATCACTCAGATACCCAATATGGCTGGTTTGACATCAGATACCCATCAAAGCTGGTTTGACATCACTCAGATACCCATCAAATCTGGTTTGATAACGTGTTTAATATCCAGTCATCAGAACCAACACTAAAAATAAAATTGAGCTAGGAAAAAAAAATGGGACGTTTTCAAAATTTTATTCTTTATTTTTTCAATACCACATTGATAGTTTCAAGAAAAATATTTCCATCTGAGAGAATCAATGACATTCACATTGTGAATATTTGGATGCCATGTCACCAGGGCAGGCAACTTTTTCCCACGTCACTTCTGGATTGTCCCAGCCCAGGCCATTGGTAACTTGACCCCTGTTGTTCTGAAGGTCAAAGTGAACTTCATATCCATGAGTGTTTGGGTTATCTGGTGGAGAAATTATTTTTTTTATTAAGTTAGAACTCTTTTTGGAATAAAGCGGGAGTGATCTCCCCTAAACTTTCTCGAATGCACTTAAATAACACTACGTGGGATAGCAACTCGGGATATAAAAATATTTTAAATTAATTTTTAATTACTTAAACTTTTTTAATAGAATAGAATATCGTAGAAAACAGCATTGTGCACCAAGTGAACAACAAAGTGTGTATAATAGTGGGGAATATTATAGTACTTTATAAAATCATATGCGTTTTTTCAAAAATCGAAAATAGGGCTGAAGTACTACTGAAGTACTACTTCCGGTCAACGGAAATTACTCAAAATTTGACAGAAGGCAGAGAATTAGATCTTTTACCATATGTGAGATTTCGTTTATATATCTGAAACAGTACTCAAGTTATAGGCTTTTGAAAAACCAAACATACATATATTATATACAGACACACCGACAAAATTACAAAACTATGTTTTTTCCAAACTCAGAGAGATGTAAAAAGTCGAGATTTGTAAAATAAAAAATCTCGTCATCTGAGACTATACTTCGTATAAGAGAAAATAAAAAAGGGAGGTAATTTATAAGGGATGAAACGGCTCTAAAATATATTTAATTTATCAAATTTGAGAGTTTTCTTATTTTAGGTGCATTTTAAAGCTTATTAATTTTTATTGTAGAGTTATTTTATATTTGTTATATTTTCTAATTTTACCGCACCATTAATCTCAGTGATGGATTACCTGGATTGCTCCCGTCGGCATAGCAGTGTAGCCTATCATTACAATATTATTAATCATCTTCAATATATTTTTTGTTCTTTAAACTGTGAGTTTATCTGGCATAAAGTGATAATGAAAATTTACTTGTGCCTGGTTTGCCAGATTGGCCGCACCATTCAAAGTTGCCATCTATAGGACAGTCGTTGGTTACCATGAAAATCACGGGGCTTTGGTTGCCGGGTGGTCTGCCTAGTCCTGGCACAAATCCCCCTGAAGAAAGATGTCAGTGGAGGTCAGTAATTTTAATAAAACAACACATTGCTATAATTTGTGGTTTACGTCACTTTTATTTTTTTTTGGGGGGGGGGGGGGGGTAACTTTCGCGACATAATAATGATGGAATATACCACAATTACCTTTAAAATTGTGTATATTTGCATTAGGATGGGAGTTAACTATGATATTATTTTGGCATCTTTTACTTTTTATTCTTTCTTCTTGTAAACTAAAAATGTCATGCGCCATTTAATGCGTTGACTCCGATTTCAACTTGTTTTTTTTTCCAGATTTACTTCCATCCAAGAACAAATTATAAGGCAGCAGTTGTTTGTTTTTAAAGTTTCATCTCCTAGATAGGTTGTCGTCTCATCTGGGGGGGGGGGGGTGTCATCTGCCGGGGCCATCTGCCGTTACATGACCTACCTGTTGGCGTTAGCTTGACACAGGCACCACAGTTACGCCCACACCAAGAACTGTCACCCCCGTCATCAAAAAACTTGCCGTTAGGGGCTGTGACGTGGTCAGCCATATTCCAGTCAAATGGTGTATCTGGTAGGGGTATCAGATAGAAGGAATGTACACTAGGATTTCAATAGTAAATGTTGCACATATCATTTAATATTTATTTTCTTCCAACCGGTAATAACCACGAATATTTCCTTAAAAACAACAATATGAACTATACTCTGGTGATGAGCCTACTAGATCGTCTATGGACTCTATAACATGAACAATGCACTACGGTTAGTGATGCACATACTATACCGTCTATAACATGAACAGTGCACTTTTGCTAACGATGCACCTACCGGTTCCTCGTGGTCCACAGCCGCACGCCCCTCTGTGTCCGTCATCATATCGCGTTGTGCTAGCGCACGGTTGTCCGTTAAATCGGAGAATTCCGTTAGCATCTCTCGTGCACTTCTGCTCCGCCCACGCCAAACCTACCAGGTGCAAGACAGATGTGACACATAAACAAATTATCTTTTTAAAAAAACAACGTATTCAGTTCCTCAAGTACAAAAATATTTTTAAAAGATGAACGAATGTTATGTGTGCTTTGGAAATAGAACGGTTATCAAATTGCTTTTAGGGGAAACAGGGAAACCAAATCACCATCAGCTACTACCAACATCAACGTGATTTAGCTCCATGTTTTAGATAAGAAAAACTTTTTTTATGTAGCTAATGGAGTTTGGTTGCATATGTTAAATCTCACATTAAAAAATGATTTACAGTAGAAATCTTGCTGTAAGCTATGATTTGAAAAAAATTAAAGTAATTTTTAAAATCTTTAATTGATGGATTTTATCATATGCATAGAATAGATCTATAACTTACCAACAAAGCTGATTCCTAAAGCAAACAACGCAAAGCGTTTCATTTTTCTAACCTGAATATTTTCTATTTCGCCTATTCCGACTTTAAATTGTCTTATTTATAGGCCTAATTCTGTAAAAAAAAAACATTATCTATATTGAATCCACCTGTCAAAAAATACACTAACAGAAACTACTTTTAACGGTCTTGTGGCCTTAAACGTCCCACTTCTCTATCCCGTAAAAAATAGATTCTCGGGGTCTTGTGAAAAATTAATCGATATTACTTTTAAAAAAATATATACATGCAAATCTAATATGCCAACTTTCATGTCACATTGCATTGCCTCAAGTTTGGAAGAAATAGTCTGGACGAAGTGAGTGAAATTTTGTTTACTAATTTCCACTCGCGACAGACTACAAACAAAGGAGGAAGGTTAAATAAAATTAAAAACATTGTAAAAACTGAACGAGCAATAGACTCAGAGCAGTGTCCAACATTTGTGACAAGTTGCCTATTTGTCGTGTTTCAGCCTTGCAAAATCGCTGTCTAGCATTGCTGATATCATGTAAACATTGGTCTACTTTATTTTACATTTTGTAGGTTCTACAAATAACATTAAACTATTGAATACAAGATAAGAAAAATGCAAAGAACGCCATTCCGTTCCTTATTTATATTTCAAATTATTTTAATTTCAATTTATTACAAACAGATTTTCTTCCAGGCATCTCTTTGGGAGGGGGGGGGGGGGCAGAAGAAAGTCTAGCGCCCCCCCCCCCCTGTGGCGGGGGAAATTGCTTTCTCTTCTTAATATTACTTTCCTTTTTAAATACGAACGAAGTACTATCAATCTTCACACATATAGTTTAATACTGTGACGAGGACGAGAATACTCTCAATTCCGTGCATTCAGTAAAAAATCGAAGATCAGCTTGATACACAACATTTAATTATTATACATCCGATGATTGAATATAATAGGATTCACGTTACTACACAATATACACTTGTTGCCTATACATACAGTTAAATGTTCCCTACACTATTGTCACTACACTGTTCCCTATCGTCCTTTCTCTACAATGTTTCAACCCCCTACTGCCTAGCTTCGACTGTCTCCTCACCCTCATCGTTCTAACTTCTTTGCCTTTCCAATCAAGCCTAAACTAATTTGTATGTGGCCACAGTTCTGCGGTACCTAATTAAAAATGTCAAACCCAGCTAATAAACTTCTCTGGCTTGACAGTCCCCCCCCCTCCCAATAAAGTCGCCCGGGTCAATTAGCCCGTAATTACAATCTAAATCTAACCCGTGCTTCAACGATCGTCTCCGTCACGTGCATTGTCAATCTTACACCTGCCTCTACGCCACCCCCCCCCCCCCCCCGAACAAAAAGTAATTTATATAGAATTCATATACTTTTACTAGTGTCCGCCCCACGAAAAATGTTGCCCCCCCCCCCCCGAAAATATCAAGTGCTCCCCCCCCCCCCGGAGAAAAAAGTCTGGAAGAAACACTGATTACAAAAAGTACTCAAAGTTTTGAGCACCATCTTTGTAATTATCTAATTTTATTTAGTTTTAATGGCTAATTCTACATCTTGGAATTAATTATTAAAACTAAAAGTTTATCCTTTTCAATTTAAGCTTTTAATTTTTAAAAACGAAACCTATGAAACATAGGTAGACTTCATTGGTTTTCTTTTCTTTAATAAACCGGGAGTGATCTCCCCTAAAATTTCTCGAATACTCTCATATGAAACAACAGGGGATGGCAACTTGGGACATGATTTTTAATCCATTTTAAATACTTTAAACTTTTTAAAATAGAATAAAATCTCGTAGACAAAAAAAATTGCACACCATGTGAACGCCAAATAAAATGTGCATAAAAGTGCGGAATATTATTAGTACTTTATAAATTCACATGCGTTTTTTGAGAAATCGGAAATAGCAAAAATTATTACTGTCGGTCAACGAAAATTACTCAAAATATTTTATAAATTTTATTTATCCATCTGAAATAGTACTCAGGTTATAGACTTTTGAAAAATTCAAAGTAGAAAAAGTTCCTCTTTCGGTTATCGGAAATCACTCAAAAGTTGATACGGATCTATGATTTTGATATAATACTTACATATGAAATTTCATCAACCTAGCTGTAACGGTACTCAAGTTATCGTGTTTACACACACACACAGACACACACACATATACACACACAGACATACGGACAAGATTTCAAAACTATGTTTTTCCGACTCAGGGAGCTGCAAAACGTCGAGTTTGCAAAATTCTCGATTTTTTTTCTATAAACTTCGTATGTACGAGAAAGTAAAAAATGGCTACTCTTTTTTAAATGCACGTGGCAATATTGCACACTAAGATGCAGTGAGCACGACAAAGCACTGCAGATGAAATAACTTTTCCTTCCACTTAAATAATTACTTTGTATTGTGTTAAGGAAATAGGATCAGTATACATGTAATTCTAATTAGAAATTCAAACAGTAATTGATTTGTTATTTGTTATTATTGTAATTATTTTTTAACAAACGGGAAATCATTTCCAAAGTAATTAGTACAGGCGCAGGTAGTGTATGGTTAACATCATTAGGTAGAACTAAACAACAACAGTCACGGCTAGTGTACCGTTAACATCAGTAGGTAGAACTATAGGCCTTATTATATTATAACAACAAAACTCACAGAGCATTGTAAGTGGTGTCCATAACATACATTAAAACTGACAAAGTGACATCGTCGATTTTAACTCTCCATAATATATTTACACGTCGCTACAAAATTAAAGCCAGACCCCCTCCCTCGCCCTTACCCAGTGGCGTTGCTAGGTCGGGTGTCACCCGGTGCGGCACCTCTTCTATTTATTTTGCAACTTTTCGCCATGGTGTCAACCCCCCCCCCCCCCAAAAAAAAAGTGTCACCCGGTGCAGTTCGCATCCCCCGCCACCGCCTCGCGATGCCTCTGCCTCCACCCAGTGGCGTCGCTGGGTCGGGTGTCACCCGATGCGGCACCTCATGGTGTCACCCCCCCCCCCCTCAACCATCAAAAGAAACAAGTATAGGCTATATATATATATATATATATATATATATATATATATATATATATATATATATATATATATATATATATATATATATATATATATATATATATATATACACCTGCGTAGACCTATATATATATATATATATATATATATATATATATATATATATATATATATATACACCTGCGTAGACCTATATATATATATATATATATATATATATATATATATATATATATATATATATATATATATATATATATATATATAGTTGCAATCGATGACACCTCCCTCCGATTTTGCCAAATGGTGTCGATTTGTGCACTCCTCATTTTAATCGACCTATAAATTTTGCAGTTGGTGTCACAACCCCCCCCCCCCCATCCCCACCCCCGCCCTGGTGATAGCTTTAAATTGCTCACATTTATTACTAACTATATTTATCTATAATCGGCTATTAATCCAGCTGGATGTAAAATTGTTTTCTGTACAGTTTGTATGTTTAGGTCACTGTGTCCACGTCCCCGTCCCCTCCCCATCCCCCCACCCACCCCCATCCATTAACGGGGTCGTCACTTTGTACTTAAAATATTTTTTACCTCTAAGCAACCATTCATTTTGCTACTTTTTGTCTTGGTGTCACCCCCCCTGCATCATGGTGTCGACTGGTGGGGTCCGCACCCCCCCCCCCCCCGCCTCTCGAAGCCTCTGCCTCCACCCATTCTCTAATTATGTAACTAAAGTGTAGTCATTAGGTCGAGCAGACTAAACTCAGCACACACTTTTGTAAAAAAAAATCGTCAAGGTTTCTAATTGTATCGTTAAAAAAGTCGGACATAGGCTACCATTTTCTTGGCGTGTGACTTGTTTTATGAACGAATTCTTTGTAGGGTTAAACTAATTTTTTTATTAAAAGAGGCCTATTGCGTTGGAAATATTACGTTTTATTATTTTTATCAACTATATTGAGGCTTAGTGTCGAACATCAATTAAATTAAACCCCGACTAAAATATTGGACAGCTAACACTATTTTAAAAACGTTTGGCCATCAACTTAAATGTTTTACTACTCGTATGTGATTGTGTTCTATTTAAACTCAAATGAAAAGAAAAAACTTAACGTTGTTGTCAGGTCACATAACGCGTTATACATGTTGATCCATGCGTTTGAAGATTTTTTTTTTTTTAGTTAGTCGTTGTCTGTCGTTATCTAGACCAGCGTTCTCTCTCTGTAGAAAGTAAACACATTTAAGTTGCTCGCTCACTACTGGTCAAAGCTCTCGTGTCACCCTGTCCAACTTGACCAATGCATGTCATCGTGTCCACCTCTTGACCCCACCATGTCACCGTGTCCACCTCTTGACCCCACCATGTCATCGTGTCCACCTCTTGACCCCACCATGTCATCGTGTCCACCTCTTGACCCCACCATGTCATCGTGTCCACCTCTTGACCCCACCATGTCACCATGTCCACCTCTTGACCCCACCATGTCATCGTGTCCACCTCTTGACCCCACCATGTCATCGTGTCCACCTCTTGACCCCACCATGTCATCGTGTCCACCTCTTGACCCCACCATGTCACCATGTCCACCTCTTGACCCCACCATGTCATCGTGTCCACCTCTTGACCCCACCATGTCATCGTGTCCACCTCTTGACCCCACCATGTCACCGTGTCCACCTCTTGACCCCACCATGTCACCATGTCCACCTCTTGACCCCACCATGTCATCGTGTCCACCTCTTGACCCCACCATGTCATCGTGTCCACCTCTTGACCCCACCATGTCATCGTGTCCACCTCTTGACCCCACCATGTCATCGTGTCCACCTCTTGACCCCACCATGTCATCGTGTCCACCTCTTGACCCCACCATGTCATCGTGTCCACCTCTTGACCCCACCATGTCATCGTGTCCACCTCTTGACCCCACCATGTCATCGTGTCCACCTCTTGACCCCACCATGTCATCGTGTCCACCTCTTGACCCCACCATGTCACCGTGTCCACCTCTTGACCCCACCATGTCACCGTGTCCACCTCTTGACCCCACCATGTCATCGTGTCCACCTCTTGACCCCACCATGTCCACCTCTTGACCCCACCATGTCACCGTGTACACCTCTTGACCCCACCATGTCATCGTGTCCACCTCTTGACCCCACCATGTCCACCTCTTGACCCCACCATGTCACCGTGTCCACCTCTTGACCCCACCATGTCATCGTGTTCACCTCTTGACCCCACCATGTCATCGTGTCCACCTCTTGACCCCACCATGTCCACCTCTTGACCCCACCATGTCATCGTGTCCACCTCTTGACCCCACCATGTCATCGTGTCCACCTCTTGACCCCACCATGTCATCGTGTCCACCTCTTGACCCCACCATGTCCACCTCTTGACCCCACCATGTCACCGTGTCCACCTCTTGACCCCACCATGTCATCGTGTCCACCTCTTGACCCCACCATGTCCACCTCTTGACCCCACCATGTCACCGTGTCCACCTCTTGACCCCACCATGTCATCGTGTCCACCTCTTGACCCCACCATGTCCATCTCTTGACCCCACCATGTCATCGTGTCCACCTCTTGACCCCACCATGTCATCGTGTCCACCTCTTGACCCCACCATGTCATCGTGTTCACCTCTTGACCCCACCATGTCATCGTGTCCACCTCTTGACCCCACCATGTCCACCTCTTGACCCCACCATGTCATCGTGTCCACCTCTTGACCCCACCATGTCATCGTGTCCACCTCTTGACCCCACCATGTCATCGTGTCCACCTCTTGACCCAACATGTCATCGTGTCTACCTCTGACTTAAAACCATGTCACCACTTAAAAGTATTAAAACCCTCTTAAAATCAGAAAATCGATAAAATTTAAATACGGATACCAAATTTTTCAGACTTGATTTATCCAACACTAATTTACCAAGAAAAATCTCACAGAGTTCTCAGGTACAGAATCTTTGAGGTAGTATGTCTTAGCTGCCAGCCTAGCGCATGCCACTGGTCAGATGGACTGAGGAGATCAAAGCTACCAATGTTGACCGGATAGTTTGTTGGATAGTCTGCATGTCACGGTTGGGGGAAGAAATGAAGCTCTGGAACTCTGCAATATGTAAGTGAAGCGCACCTCCCCCTACTACCCCCTTCCGAGAGAACACTGTCTCAAATTGTAGCACTGTCAATTTGTTTTCTTAGTGTGCACTGTGTGATCTTAGGCAGCTTCCCATAGGCAGACGTATACAAGTGGGGTCCGTGCAAGATTGCCACACATGCTGGGGTCCCGCCCACAGAGGGGTCGGGAAACAGCTACCATGTGATCCACCAGCTGAATGTACCCAGCTGGGATGGTTTAATCCACCAGCTGACATAGTAGAATGTGCCCAGCTGGGATGGCCTCCACCAGCTAACGTCTTACCCCTCCCTCCACCAGCTTACGTCTTACCCCTCCCTCCCCCAGCTAACGTCTTACCCCTCCCTCCCCCAGCTAACGTCTTACCCCTCCCTCCACCAGCTAACGTCTTACCACTCCCTCCACCAGCTAACGTCTTACCCCTCCCTCCACCAGCTAACGTCTTACCCCTCCCTCCCCCAGCTAACGTCTTACCCCTCCCCCCACCAGCTAACGTCTTACCCCTCCTTCCCCCAGCTAACGTCTTACCCCTCCCTCCCCCAGCTAACGTCTTACCCCTCCCTCCACCAGCTAACGTCTTACCCCTCCCTCCCCCAGCTAACGTCTTACCCCTCCCTCCCCCAGCTAACGTCTTACCCCTCCCTCCCCCAGCTAACGTCTTACCCCTCCCTCCCCCAGCTAACGTCTTACCCCTCCCTCCCCCAGCTAACGTCTTACCTCTCCCTCCCCCAGCTAACGTCTTACTCCTCCCCCCACCAGCTAACGTCTTACCCCTCCTTCCCCCAGCTAACGTCTTACCCCTCCCTCCCCCAGCTAACGTCTTACCCCTCCCTCCACCAGCTAACGTCTTACCCCTCCCTCCACCAGCTAACGTCTTACCCCTCCCTCCACCAGCTAACGTCTTACCCCTCCCTCCCCCAGCTAACGTCTTACCCCTCCCTCCCCCAGCTAACGTCTTACCCCTCCCTCCCCCAGCTAACGTCTTACCCCTCCCTCCCCCAGCTAACGTCTTACCCCTCCCTCCCCCAGCTAACGTCTTACCCCTCCCTCCACCAGCTAACGTCTTACCCCTCCCTCCACCAGCTTACGTCTTACCCCTCCCTCCCCCAGCTAACGTCTTACCCCTCCCCCCACCAGCTAACGTCTTACCCCTCCCTCCACCAGCTAACGTCTTACCCCTCCCTCCCCCAGCTAACGTCTTACCCCTCCCTCCACCAGCTGACATCTTACCCCTCCCTCCACCAGCTAACGTCTTACCCCTCCCTCCCCCAGCTAACGTCTTACCCCTCCCCCCACCAGCTAACGTCTTACCCCTCCCTCCACCAGCTAACGTCTTACCCCTCCCTCCACCAGCTAACGTCTTACCCCTCCCTCCCCCAGCTAACGTCTTACCCCTCCCTCCACCAGCTAACGTCTTACCCCTCCCTCCACCAGCTTACGTCTTACCCCTCCCTCCCCCAGCTAACGTCTTACCCCTCCCCCCACCAGCTAACGTCTTACCCCTCCCTCCACCAGCTAACGTCTTACCCCTCCCTCCCCCAGCTAACGTCTTACCCCTCCCTCCACCAGCTGACATCTTACCCCTCCCTCCACCAGCTAACGTCTTACCCCTCCCTCCCCCAGCTAACGTCTTACCCCTCCCTCCACCAGCTAACGTCTTACCCCTCCCTCCCCCAGCTAACGTCTTACCCCTCCCTCCCCCAGCTAACGTCTTACCCCTCCCTCCACCAGCTAACGTCTTACCCCTCCCTCCCCCAGCTAACGTCTTACCCCTCCCTCCCCCAGCTAACGTCTTACCCCTCCCTCCACCAGCTAACGTCTTACCCCTCCCTCCCCCAGCTAACGTCTTACCCCTCCCCCCACCAGCTAACGTCTTACCCCTCCCTCCACCAGCTAACGTCTTACCCCTCCCTCCACCAGCTAACGTCTTACCCCTCCCTCCCCCAGCTAACGTCTTACCCGTCCCTCCCCCAGCTAACGTCTTACCCCTCCCTCCACCAGCTAACGTCTTACCCCTCCCTCCACCAGCTAACGTCTTACTCCTCCCTCCCCCAGCTAACGTCTTACCCCTCCCTCCACCAGCTAACGTCTTACCCCTCCCTCCACCAGCTAACGTCTTACCCCTCCCTCCCCCAGCTAACGTCTTACCCCTCCCTACACCAGCTAACGTCTTACCCCTCCCCCCACCAGCTAACGTCTTACCCCTCCCTCCACCAGCTAACGTCTTACCCCTCCCTCCCCCAGGTACTTTGCTCGCCCTGTTGTTGATCCACAGCCTCCACCCTCGGGTCAAGGCCACGCTAACTCCACCAAACTCAACCACAGAACAGACCTCGAACATTTCTCCAGCACCCGATGCCTTGTCCACTGTTACTGATCCACCAATCGTCAATAATCCACCAAGCGTCACTAATCCACCAATCGTCACTAACCCGCCTACAGTCACTGATCCACCAATTGTCAATAATCCACCAAGCGTCACTAATCCACCAAGGTTCACTAATCCACCAAGCGTCATTAATCCACCAATCGTCACTAATCCGCCAATCGTCACTAATCCGCCAAAGACTACGAATGCCCCAGTCTTTGTCCACTCGCCAACTACAACAATACCACCTGAAGTCCACACCACCGTGACGGCCGAAGCATCTGAAAACTCGGACGAACCAGACTCGTGGAACTGGTGCACTATATTCCTGCTAGTCATCTTTGTATTTGTTGTAACGTCTTGTTTCATATTTTGTTCCTGTATCACCGCAATCATAACCTCCAGGTAATTTGTTTTTTCCATTTATTCCTATAGCCAGGTAATTTTTAAACATTTTGTTTTGCATTTATTCCTATAGCCAGGTAATTTTTAAAAATTTGTTTTGCATTTATTCCTATAGCCAGGTAACCCGCGAATTATCTCGTTCGGACCCGCGAATTATCTCGTCGCTTTCTAATTTTGCGACGATGTGTGATGAGGAGCAGTGTTTCTTCCAGGCACCCCCCCCCCCCCGGAGGAAAGTCTATCCCCCCCCCCCCCCGAACGAAACGAAATGGAAATTTATATAGAAAATATATACTTTTACCAGTCTGACCCCCGGAAAATGTGTTCGCCCCCCCCCCCCCCGAAAATATTAAGGTGCCCCCCCCCCCCCCCCGGAGAAAAGTCTGGTAGAAACACTGATGAGGAGGGTGTGTGTTCGGATAGTGTGACGTCACACTTTTGCATTTTAAAAACTATGTTAGAAACTGAATTAAGAAGTTATTTCGCGGTTTAGAAGTCTGTCTCAATAAATTGTAATAGAAATTGATTCGTGTACCCTATGTTGACCGAGCGCAGTCAATATTTTAGAAAGAAATCGTTGTTAAATAAAATTAAACTTCAATTTTGAAGGGGGGTTGTAGGCTGGGGTGTGACGTCATTTTAGGGGGAGTGGCTTTTGTGACGATGTGGACGAAGGGGGGGGGGGGGGCTAACAATCGTCTTTAAAAGCGTGACGTAGAGGGCGCTAAATGGAATTTTCAACTTTTGGTAAGCAAATGATAATCAGGATTGATTTTTTTTTCCTCAGACACCCAAGAGGCAACAGCAATGTCCCGTTTCATCCACGTCCACAGGACGCCATGCCTGAACAGGACTTTGTTCCTAGAGGCTACCAGTACTCACGTTTAACAGAAACAGTGACACCAACGTCATATCCGGCTTACAATCAACCGAGTACTTCCAACTGCGCGGCCCCCATGTACAGGCGCCCCCCGCCCAACTACCCACCGTATGCGCCGCTTGCCGTCCATTCGTTGTTTTACGGCCATGCTACTTGGGGTCTGATGTCCAACAAGAACAAACGTTTGGCTATAACTAACATCCCAGAGGTCAAAGATCATCGGATGATGGAAGAAACTAGAAATGGAGACGTGGAGACAAACACGGATGGGGCTCATGGAGAGGAAATGAATATAGGTCAAGGCGACCTGCCTTGTGGTAAGCATCAAGGAACGCTGACGTTTTTGGCGGGAGAGACGGAAGTGTGTGGCCTGGGGGACGGGGATTTTTGCCATAAAGGAGATCCACCGGACACTGCCGTCTAGTCAGGCACGAGCTATGATTCATGCCATTCCGCTAGAACTTTCTAAAAACATTGATAACTGGAGTCTGTTTTTAGAAAATAGCGTATTTAATTTTTATGTATGTGATTTATTACTGTTGTAATTGGGTGGATTTGTTGAATTTGTATCTTTTAAAATGTGATAACCTTATGGCTTTATTTTAATTTTATTTTGGAAGACCTAGATCTATATTGTATTAGCATATTAGCATGTACTGATAATGTCAGAACCAGCGTATTCAATAAACATAACAGTACAGATATGTTAACTTTTTCCTAGTCACGTGACTAATTGAGTGCTGGCTAGTTTTGGGGAACGTTAAAATATTGATCAGATCATAAGCCCTTTGTAACATTAATGCTTTGCAGAGTTTCTTCCAGGCAATTTCAAGTGCCCCCCCCCCCCCCCCCCCGGAGAAAAGTCTGGAAGAAACACTGACTGATGCTTTGCATGACTTTTGTCCTTTAAAAAATTGAAAATAAACGGTTCGTAGCACGTTTTTGCTGCCCGCCCAATAAAATGAACAAACCCACCCCGCCCCTTCCACCATGAGTTAATCATTTATAAAGGACCACATTAGATAACGTGTACAATGCGCCTTAAATTTTGTGACATAGCCTCTCTTTACCAAAATCACTCCAAGTTCAAAAAGGGAACTTTACTTTTTTTAAACACACAGTAAGCCGTAGCCTACATGCGACAAGTCAAAAGGGAATGTGAGGGTCAGTGGCGTAGCAAGGTCGGGTGTCGCCCTCCAGAGGTGTAGCGACCCTTCCAGGGGACAAACGTTCAATTTGCACCTCTTAAAACACTATTTAACACTCGAACTAATCACCTAATTAAAGTGGAATTATCATTTTTCTCTATATATTTTGCTATTTTTTGCCTTGGTGTCACCCGGTGCAGTCCGCACCTCCCCCCCCCTGGAGAGGGTTAACTTGCATCTTTATCCTCCATACATCACGAATAATTGAAATATGAGTAGCTCTACAGTGTAGTGTGTTTGGGTAAACTATGTACATCACGCCGGTCCCTTGAGTTATCTGCGATTGGTCAATACGAATCATATGACGACCACGATCTATTGAAGCAAGCCGTGACTTCCATGTTTAAATACAAGTTTATTTCAGCTTTCTAGGGAATGACAAACAACACAGGCAGACAATAAAAAAAATGGGTATTCAATACTTTATTTATGTTGGTTACTATTTGGAGGACAGAGTTGGTTTGGGGTGGCCATCCCTGCTTGACTAAAATTATTCATCGTTTATGAAGAAATAACAGAAATAAAAACCAAACTGGACTGCATACACCAGCAGTAACTAGAGCACTGCCATACAAATAAAACAACAGCCCCTGCTTTAAGCCGCTATTTGCCACGCCTCAAGTACGGCGCAATGAGGGGTACGGCCAATTGAAATCAGTTTTTAAAAAATTGGACAAGAAATAAAATGACATACATGCAGAGACCCCACAGAACTACAGAGGCAACATATTGACTCAACCACGAACATTAACAAATTCTAGCCTACAGTCATATTCTTTTCTTAGCACCCCCCACAACACAAATAGAAAATTGAATAATTAAAAATTCTTTTTAAATGTACACTACAGTGATGCCATCAACGGTTCTCAACCATTCCATCCAGCCCAACCTCTACACATGGTACTCGAGTACCCTTTAGACAGCCTGTCTGCATAATTATGCTAAAACAGATACTGAATTATAGAGCCAGATTTACCCCTAAAACCAGCTGTTGAGAAACCCCGATAGAAACCACAGTAAACAATTTGATATCAAGGCAAAACAATATGTAACTTATAAATTGTACAAGTGTTATTCTAAATGTAGAATATCCATTCTGGCAATTAAAATTATTTATACAAGAACAAAGCAGAGCCAATGAATACAATGTAAGCTTTAAAAAAAAAGAAAATGAAACAATGAGTACAATGTGAGCTACATAGTAATAAATAAAAGTATAGTGTACCCATCCATCCACAACTGATACAGAACTGTGTCAACCGCTAAACATTGCATTATAATTCTATAGTACTCGTCTTTAGCTAGGAATTTATTAACTAGATTTTTTTAATCTGTAAATATTCTACATGGCGTGAAAGCAAAATAAAAGCAGTACGGTACAAGAATGCAATAACAGTTAAAAAAATAAACAATGGCCTGTCAGGGTCCTTATAGCAGCAGGCCTACATTCAACAACTTTTTCAGCAGTTTACTGGTGCACATCTTGATTTTTGCATAGTGGAAACTACAGCTAGTGTTTCCTGTAAGCGTAACCTTCTCTAAAGACAGGCCTAAATTCCCATCAAGTCAAATGAGATGAATGGAATAACTGCAGCGTCTCCCAGTGATTGAGAAAAGCTGATCACAATCATGTCTCTAATGTTCAATCATCTAGCATGCAAGCAATGTTTAAATACATCAAAATCAGACAAGCAGTAAAAAAATGATCACAATGTCAAATGATTCTTTATTTACTTGTTTCTAATTAGATCTCAAAAAAAAAAAAAAAATCCTTACAATATGTTTGGTTCTTAAGTTCAAATAATACAATAAAATTAGCTTTTCACAGTAAGTCCAAATACATTGTAAAAAAAAATAACAAGAAATGCTCGTTAACAGTGAACCTGCTCTAAGTAAGCCATTAAGGTGGTGGTTGACTTGTTTCAACATTAGATGGCATGTGAAACTGGGACAGTAAGAAATGGCAGTGCTTAGGGCAAGCTCCCTTCATTTGGTTACTGCAGAAGGTTTTATCATTTGCTGCTAGAGAATATACATGCAACAAATGAGTAGATATGAACCTGGTTATATACATTGTCCTGATCCATGTGTGAGAGAAGAGTTCCGAATTTGATTTCAAAGCTCAGGAAATAAAAAGACTAAAGATATTAGTGGAAAACTGAATGTACAAACAAATGGAGTAGACAACCTAAGGCCTTTATGCATAGGAAAAATAATTGTCTAATTTGTTAATTTAATAAATATTTATGTCATCAATATATTCACTTTGTATTCTATGAACATTTACTACATAAAAATAAAATATGGTCACACCAGTGGAACTTAAAAAAAATTGATTTAAATTAAAAGAAAAAATCAGTAGTTCAAACCAAACTGGGAATACATGGCCACACCTAGACCTACGAACCAACAAAGATGAATTGTGGAGACATGCACAGCTCTTTTCTTTCACGAGGGTACAGAGAATGTTTTAAAACTCAAGAATGTGGTGATTCAATTCTTGTTTCCAATGGGCAAGATATTTTAACTGCAGCATAGCATAAAGGCACTGATTGTACACAAAGACTCTGAATGACTTCCAAAAGTTGTTAGTACCCAATAAGACACACTGGTCACAACCAAATAGTCATGTAGTTACCTTAGTTTTTCCTGATCAGTTGTGATTAGTTAACGGAAAAATTTCAATATAGAATAATTTGATCATGAGCAGTGGAAAAATTGCCTTCTACCAATCAATGTACCAGATATGGCTAAATTCATGCTATTTGAGCAGCTTGCCCCACTGATGCCATAGTGCAACAATGGCATGCACTCAACTAAAAGCTCTCAAACTAAAGTTGTTATAAGGTAAATCACCAAGTCCTCATGGTTTCATGTAAAAGCAATTCTTATCAAAGCTTAAATGAAATACCATACTTCTTGTATTAATATTATAATAATATAATATTTAGTGTTATTTATGTGTAAAAATAAATTCTGTATGTATATGAGCCCGACTAAACTTGCACACCTCAGGATGCTGCATATAAAGGAGAATGATCTAGTGAGGGGCAGGGGTTCAAGAAAACAATTCCCCAATGGTGAAACTAGCATTGATTCATTTCCTCTTTTAGAGATCACTCTCCCCATAGAGTGCAGTTGAAAATGACATGTAGTCTAAGGCGCCAGGAACAGCATCACGTCCTGTGTATGGTGCCATTCTTTGAATACAGTACTCAGCTTGATCTGGTGGTAATTCTTGTCTAAGAATCTGTGCTGTGATGTATGGCTGAAATTGTTTTTTTAAAGGTAAATTACAATAGATAATTTTTGGCTAAAATTAATATGAATTCATGTAAATACAAAATAAAGTTTAAATGAATTAAGATGATGGCAGATGATTCTCAAACTAATTAACAATTTTTTTTTTTAAATATCCCACAATGAAGTTAGTTTTTAGACAATAAGTAATCTGAAAAACTTTCTAAATGTACACATATAATTATAATACTGATAAAAATGGATTTGACAAAAGTTTATCTCAGCAAGCAAACCAACCTTGTCTCCTGCAAGAATCTTAAATGACTGCATGACTTGCTCTGCAGTATCTGTATCAGCAGTCTCACGTGTCATGAAGTCCAAAAATGCATCAAAGGTAACATAGTTAGAACGGTTGGGGTCAACAATAGACATAATCCTCTGAAAATCTGCTTCGCCCTTTAAAAGAAAACACAACAGATGAAGAATCTTTAAAATACTATCTTCTACTTCTATGTCAACTACTGTGATGTTTGCTTTAAAATAGATGTGAGAGAGTAAATCCCAGAAATATTTACCTGCTTGTCATCTCTGATTTTGTAGCCCAAGCTAATAAGGCAAGCTTTGAATTCCTTGGGTTCCAGTCTTTTCGTTCGGTTTTTGTCAAAGTGATTGAAGGACATTCTAAATTCATTCATCTGAGCTTCACTAATGCCTTTTGAGTCTCTTGTCAATATCTAGATAAAATTAGCCATGACAGATAAGTAAACTTCCATTTTCTTGTGTTTGAAGAACAACATTTAGAATTAACCAAACAATATAAAATACAGAGGACCTGCAACATTAAATACAAATGTCTACACAGTACAAACCTGATTTTCTACTTCATTTATGTTTCTGGCAATAGCAGTCAGTAACTGTTCCCAACCAACTCGTAAAGTCTATAATAATAAAAAAAAAACAACAAAAAAAAAACAGTGAATAAATTATAACAACACCAACTCAATATCTGTCCTTCAGTTAGTATTTTAGTGAAAATTTAAACGGATGCATCATTTTAATGTAAATTTCAAAATTAAATCACTAACTCTACAAATGAAACACTGCAAATGTACAGATGCTTTCTTACCTCCATTGTATACTGTGTGTAACGATTCTCAAATATCATAGCTTCTTGGACTTCCTGAAAAAAAAATTAATTGCAGGAATGAATTATATTTAGTTGAAGTATATTCAAATATTGGTGCTACCCAGTCTAGTTAAAGGAAATCCTTTAAAAATAAATTAGGCCTACTCCCTAGTTATATTTAAGGGGGGATAATTTTGCAACAATATGTTCAAAAGCCAATTTTTGCTTATAACGAGTGTTTTTTTCAAGCAAAGACAAATTTTACTTTTTGAAGAATACATAAAAAAAGATTGCTTACAGTTGGCTTTAAATTCAACATTATTTTCGTGCCAATCCAATTTTAAAAATATTAACTTTGACAAAAAATGACGTAACCGAAAAACCATAATAAAGTAGCATTCAAGTAAATATATAGGACTACACAATTCTAATTAAATTAACCGTCTTTGTCTTGGGGTGAGAGCTTGCTCAATGAACGTTTAGTGAGAGCAAGACTGCTAACACCATAGATAAAATAAAAACGCATCACCTTCTTCGGAAGGCAAGGGTGCAATTTTTAAAGCCTCGTGAGGGGCCATATTAATTAAATCAATGGAGCATTCAACTATTCCAGCTATGCCTGCAATGGTTACTCATTTCTAAATCTACACACACCTACATGCATCCTGTGTTTGTATAAATATATATGATACTCAGGTCTGCGTGAGATTTTCTGACTGGCCAAAACCTTGTTTTTCAACCAGTTCACTATGATTATCCATGAATTTGTCAATCAAATGTCCATGAATTTGTCAATCAATCAAATGTCCATGAATTTGTCAATCAATCAAATGTCCATGAATTTGTCAATCAATCAAATGTCCATGAATTTGTCAATCAATCAAATGTCCATGAATTTGTCAATCAATCAAATGTCCATGAATTTGTCAATCAAATGTAAAGCTTTGCAAATTGCCTACACCTAGCCAAAAGGCTGTATGCCCTGTTGTTGGCTTAATGTAACAAGATCCAACAAAATTTTTGGCTTAATGTAACAAGATCCAAAAAAGTTTTAAGGGGGGAAACGCTCATATTTTTAAAAATTAAAATGATAGGAAAGTTAGTTTCTACATATGACATAATGACGTGCTAATTGAGGCTTTTTCACTTTAATAATGAGGCTAAAAATATAAAAATAAAATCACACTATGTAGAGGAAATTTTAAAGCTGTTTCAAGTTCTAATCTATGTTGTTACCATTGCCCAAGAATTTTTTGTGTGGTTCTGTCCAAAAATACAGGTGGAAGTGGGGAAATAATTAGTCTATAACTAGCTCAAATGCTTGAATGAAAGTAAAAGAATTTTTGTCTCTAAATTACATCTGTCTCTTAATTATATTGTTTCCTTCAAATTTTTGCAATATAAACTTACTCTGGATTTTTTTTTTTAATACACTCAGTTATACTTATCAAAGCAAAGAAAAGACCAACCTGATTGTATCTCTCTAGTTCATCTATGTTGGGCTTGTAGGCAACAACAGCTTTGTCAAATTGTTGTAATTTCTTTAGCTGTTCCTCTAATGATGAGCGTCCTGTCACACCAATGGAGGCCACAGCATCTAGCTGATTTTCAATCCACTGACCAACAACATTAGCCTTGGCAGCAAACTGTCTACGTAGACGTTCATTATTCTGTTGTCTCATCATTTCTTGCTGCAGAGTTGAGTCACGATGGGGGACCAATTGTTTCACTTCACCCCATTTGTTGGTAATATCCTGAGTTTATAAAATTAAAATCTTGTTAATTATAGAAAGTGGGAGAGCTAAGTAAAACAGATATCTTTGGAAATGAAAGCTACAATAAATAATGAAGTCTTTTCAAAATAGATAATTTGAAACTTTGTCTACTATTCTGGATATATAAACCAAACACAGTTGGATTGAAAGTGAAAGAAACATAATGGACAGAAAACCATGCATCAAGATATGGGGGGCAGTAACCCAGTATCATCCATATAAACAGAAAGAAACAGAAAACTTCACATACACAAAACTATGAGACACACACATCACATTTTTAAAGTGGTAATTATGATTCTATGGCTATAATACAGCATATTATTGTAGGCAAATGTATAAAGCAAAATGTTATTAAAAATTGTTTTTAAAACTTATCTTAGCTATTTGAAATTTTGCATCAAGTTGCTCAATATGATTTACTATGGCTAGAACCATAGCCGTAGCTATCTAATACAATTTAATTTTAACATTTTTAAACATAATGTCTCAGAGTTGGGTCAGATTTCAAATTTCATCGCAATGCTACTCTTTTAGCTCGAGTTATAGATAATGTTAGCCAGCTTTTTACTAGTTTTCAGAAAAACGGGTTTGTATGAACCATATGTGTAAAACTAAACAAGTATAAGTTTTCGGCCAAATGATTTAAAAAATTTTTTTACACCATACATACACCCTGGTTTAAATGCTGTTATTTTGCTGTTTCATCAGAATTACTATGGTAAAAAATGTGTATGTATTTTGGGCTACTTTTTTTGTCTTTTCTGTAGTCAGGGTGCTACTTCCCCCTTATCAATGTAGAAACAGAACATTTTAAGTGCATATTCAGGTATTTAAAAAATCAAGAGACAAGTTGTAGAGTTAGTTTGATAAAAATGCAATAACAAACATTTAACTATGCTTTGTAAAATCTATATTAAAAATTAACATGCAAACAAGTCATATTATAAATTGAGATTAAGGTAAAAATTATTTCAATAGGCCAGGAAAAAAATCAGGATAATAACATGGCTATATTTTTAAATGTGACTGAAATTTAAACTCTAAAATCTGTAATTGAAAACCATTGTAAAGTTGGTTGCTTAGAGAGACATTATGGCTAGACACAGTTAACAACTACGTTTTGGTTGTAACATCTTAAATTCAGCATAAAATAATTGTGTTACATAGTTTTAAACAATGGAATAAAAATTAAAGATTGGTGCACTAATAGCTTAAATTTTTTTCAAGATTGTTTTTAATTTCAGTTTTAAAGAAACATTGATACCTATGTTACTTATATAATAGTATCCAGCAAGCAGTTAACAGTTATGGCATATTGTTAACAAAATGTCAGCAATAAAAGTTACTAAATTGTCATAAAGTTTACGCTGTCCCATTTTGGATTGGATTCCAAACAACCATTAGCAGAATAGTGTTCTTACACATCAATTTTTAAGTAAAATTAAGGTCAGCAATTATATAAGTTTTCAACAAAGTTCTTGATTATTTGATATTTTAAGACATTTACAATGTTTACTACATACACAAATGTGAAAAAATAAAGCAGATTTGTTAAAACAATTTAAAAGTTTACAACAGATGAATTAGTGCTTCACAAATGTCTTCAAACAAAACACTAGACTTGCAAAATAATTTTAATGCCTACTATTAAACAGTTTCTGCTTATTTGTATTTACAACATTGTCTCTCTTCAAATGGTTAAGTCAACTTACAAGATCAAATGAAGTCACATTTATCATTTTATAGCAGAGTTGTGATCTGAAATAATTTTTATGAAGCACCACTAGAACTAACATACAAGAGACAACACATTTTATTAGTAGATGTTTTTGATCAATCACATTTAGATAATGATACAGTGAAACCCCTCTAGTGAATAATCTAGTAAATAAAATGCAGGATTGTTTTAAAACATGCTGTGTGTTTTCAGAAGTATTAACTGAACAACAAAACTTCATGCAATTAGAGGGGAGAGTAAGAAGGACTAAAATCACTTTTTAAAAATCTGAATACAAAGGTAGTAATTGATCACTTGCAAATTTATAAAGCCTAAGCTTAGATAATATCTAAATCTGTATTCACTTGAGAATGACTTAAATAACTTTCCACATTTTGAAAATTTAACTGTATTTTTAAGCCTATCAATTAAAACATTTTTTTGTGTGTTTAGTTGCCATTTTTTTGTTGATTACTTTATTTGGATTGATGAATATCAATTACTAATAATAAATATAAAGATATATTAAATTGATTCAAAACTAGATAGATTTGTGCTAAAACTATTTTTAGTAATTCCTTTCTAGGCTTTAAAATGTTTAAAAGGGAAACATTATCAGTTAAGTTTAGGTTTTCAGAATATAGGGTTTCACTGTATACACATTGAGATACAGATTGCATGAGTAAAAATGAAGTGTTGAAGATTTCATGAAGCACAAGTACATTATTATTGACTAGTACTAACCTCCTAATCCCAAGTTCAATCCAAACATCAAAATAAATGTAAGATAAAATAGAATTGATTAAAAATAGAACAGCTCAAAATAAACTTATGAAGCAAATTAGGGAGTTTTAAGTAATTAAAAGTAAAAACCTGCAGTAATAATAATGTGTGAAGAAATTTAACAGTTGAAATGGTTATTATAAGGCAGCAATAATTTATAATGAACACATGAAGCTGTTTCATGCTATGTTGTTACAATTTACTTTTCAAACCAAGAACAATGCAAGCCTAGAGATATCTAAGTATTTATACCTTCAAGCATAAATAACACTAAATCTTATGCTGCAAACTTAAGTAAAACTGTTAGTTGCTTGTTATGATGCAGTTAAAGAAATTTATAAATGGGATATTTTTCACACAAGACAAACTAGACAACTAGTACTACTTAGTGAGTTGAATTTTAAAAACCCAGCACTTTACTTTAAAACAAGTAATACCATGCTTCCAAATTAATTCTAACCAATCATAGTGCATACTTCTCGACATGACACATACATGTAATTTTTATAAAATGTTTGAATAATTCTAGTTACAACTGCGATAGTATAAACATAGCAATTTTCTCTCTCCCTTTAACTAAAATTATTAAAAAGAAGCTTCTATTAAAAATGTAAACTTAGAAATAGTTTTGAACAGTACTGACAGTATCTGGATGCCAAATTTTTCGTTATTACATTTTATATAAATTGATATATTTATTAAACAAAATTATTGGGTTATGATAAACTGACACATTTTAAATGTCAAATGCTCTAGTGCTAAAGGACATAATTTGTTAACTTTGGTATGGTTGTTTTTCAGTCAAAAACAAAGTTTAAGAAAGAGAGATATTTTATAAAACCTAAAAATTTAAGTCAGTGGAAAATGTGAAAACAACAAATACAAGTGATAAATGTGTCCCACCTGTGCATGAAGAGTAGTGTAAGGGTTGTCTGGTGGAGTAATTCCAAACTGTTGACCCAACCTCTGGACCTCCTGCACTAGCCCAACAATGGTTGCAAATTCTTTATCCGCCTCACCTAAAGTAGCTTTGAACTGTTCATGAGCATCAACTAAGCCCTGCAAGGGTTTTTCAAAATGAGTTCAAAAATATATTCAAGTTACAGAGCTAAAAGAGGCAAAGCAAGGTATGAAAAAAATCACTTACTTGCACCTCCTCTGTTGTATGAACAATAAACATATCCAAAAGATCCTCCTTGGCTCCATCCATCCAGTTGTTAAATGGCTATGGAATAATACTATATTTAGAATGTGTAATCATCACATTTTTCTTAATATATTAGACAGTTGGCCTTATTTAAAGCAAAATTAATTATATTGGAATTAATGTCTTACAGCTGCTCTTTTGGCAAACTCCAAATGCAACTGGTCGATTCTTTCTAAGATCCTTTCAGCCTCTTCTAGGGCATCCCTTCTCTTTGTTGTCAGTTGGCCAAGAACATCCCATTGGTCACATATACGCTAAGATAAAAATTATCACCTGTGTTAATGACTAAATGTACAAAAATGGGACAGCCTATTTTTGAGAAAGTTGATACAAATGCCCAAAACTGTTAAAAAAAAAGATTTTTTCCTGTTCATGCCCAAGACATGAGCAGATGAAGTGGAGTTCATCTTTTTCAATGAGCTTGGCATACAATGTAATAGTGTGGTCAGCACTATACCCTGCCACCTTTGTTTTCCTCACGCGAGTCAGAAATGGGTGGACTCAGGGACATCCTACAGACTCGAGCTCAAGATCGTAATTAGAGTAGTAAGCCCTTTGACTACACCATCCCCTATATAATTATAGATATTAAACATACACTTACCTGGCATCTTGCATTAACTGTGGCAACGTCATGATAATCCAATGAACTGGAAAAACCCAAAGAAATATTTAAATTTTATGCTCTTTAAGCACATGATGCTCAAGTACAGTTTATAACATTGTTCTAATCCCATCATAATATAAGCTAATGCTTTTTGATAATAGTTATTTGCAATCCTTACCATATGTATGAATTTTTAAAATTAAGTATGTAGTTATACTATAACTCTAAAACAAGATTTAAAAAAGTATCTTACTTTAATTCTTGTGCAATAGCTGCAATTTGTTCCACTCTATCTTGATGAGCAGCAAGATCACTTTCAAAAGCTTCATGTTTCTTTTTCATAGCCTGACAGTTTTAATAGACAAAATTATTATAGCACAGTTACATTACAGTAAGTATTGAGTCTTAACTATCTAAACTGTTGCCAATGTTGGGAAAAATTTTTTAAACATACTTTGAGCTCATTTAATCTACATCTCTTGAAGTCTCCAGATTTCAGCATATCTTCTTTACCAGCAGCCCACTCCTCATGAATCTCACACTTGTGACGGAACTTCTGAGCAAGATGGTCTAAACGCTCTAATCTAAAACAAAGCAACGCTTTTAAATAAATCCCTTTCATCAATTAAAAATAAAATATGAAGTTTATCTTCCCTTAAACCATGACTTTGCTAGCTACTATTTATTTATTAAGTTAAAATGATTAAAGTAATAATTTGTTTTGAGCAGGGTACAAACCTTTGTAATTCTGAAAGAAGCCATTCTTCAAAGCCTTTTTCTGCAGTCTCTAATCCTTTCCATGCATTAGCAATATCCTAGCAACAAGACAACATAATAGTTATATAAAATTAACTATAGTATAATATAAACATTGAATAAAAGTTTTTGAAAATATTTACCGAAACCATCTTTCCTTCAGTTGGGAGATATGCTGGTCTGTTGGAAAGCCTAAGTCTAGTTTGAAGTGTATTAAAACTATTTTCAAGCTTGGCTTTGTCTTCCAATTTTGGTGGTTTCTGTTTACGCCTATAGTCACGAAACTCTTCAAGCCTTCGCTGTGTGCCTGGCAAAGTATTATCAGTAGTGCGATTTTCTAACCAGGGCCTGGTGCGGCGAATCCACTCCAACAGCTAGGTGTTTAAAAATATTTTAGTTAATGTCTAATCTTACTTATATAAAACAGTTAAATTTTAAAAATTAATTATAATGGAAATTATTTAAATGAGTTTTGTTGAAGTTTAAGCTCAATGTAATTAAACACTTACATCACTGGCTAGTCTCTCATATTCTTCCATAAGTCTTTCATTTTCTTGATTAACTTTCAAAACTTTGCAAATTCTGTTTGCTGCTGTCTCAGCCTTAAATTCAAATAAGTGATATTTTTACAACAGGTGCTGGTACATGGGAATACACAAAAAAAAAAAAAAACAACACAAAACACCAAAAGGGCAATCACTTTAAACATAAAATATATCATTACGCTGACAAGTTTATTATTTAAATATTGCAAATAAAACAGGTTTTCAAAGGGTCCATTACATTTTTGAAAAGAATATAAGCCTCTAATACTCTCAGGTTGTCAGAATAGCCAATCAATAAATTCTGTTTCTTTAAAAAGGTTTTTTTTTATAATTAGTTCTTCAATGCTATTTATTAAAATGCAATAATTATTTCACTCAATCCTTTGAACTTGATACCTGATTTACAATTTGGATAATTTTAACATTTAAATTTAAAAATCATTGCCACTAAAGTTACACAATATTAAGTTGATATTTTGAGATTTAATAATCGCACAAAAGACATACCTGCTGAGCACCAGAGAAAGCATGGTAGTAGGAAGAAACATACGCCATAACAGACCTCTCATCTGGTTTGGCTGAATTAACCATATCTGAACAATAAAGTGTTAAAATTAACATAGGCCTATTTTGGAGCAACAATTCACAGATATTTTGTAGTAATAATACATACAAACCATCATCGAAAACCTATGTAACAAAAAATGTGAATAAAAAAAGTACAGTAGAATCTGTTGACAAACCTTCAGGATCTAACATTCTGGGAATGTCCAGATGCTTCTCTGCAATATCAAAAGCAGTGTTCAGGTTTTCCAATGGGTTTTCCTGTGGGTATTACAGAATAAGGATACATTTTTGGCAGACTTATCTACAATAAGACCATGCTGTTTTTCTTATTTTAAAAATTTAAGTAGTATGTGATTCTAAAAAAGAACTACATGGCTATGAATTGTAATCAATAGTAGCGTTTTACACTAGATCCATATACACCAAAGCAAAAAGAGTACAATTAACAAAACAAATTAGTCCTAAACACAGACTACAAGCAAATACTACAATGTATATTATTTTTTTTTAATCTGGCTGCATCACAAGCAACTTTAAAGTAAATATGGCTCAATGTAAATATTGCTCAATCCTTAACATCTCTGAATATTTCTTTTACTTATTATTTTTTTTTACCTTTGAAAGATTATTGTACTCAAGAAGGTCAGGCCGATGCCTGTGTATGAGTGCACAGAAAGCGAGACCATCTTTAAAACTGCAGAAGACAAGCACACACCATGCAAGAGAAAAGTATAACCATGTTAAAAAAAAAAATTATTTCAAAAAAGAGAAACAAAAAAAAATTCATCCATGGCAATGCGTACTGAAAGCTTCTTGAAACTGTGAATCAAAGTATTGCTTTTAAAAAGTTATCTGTCATCAGCATGCAATAAAAAAATTTCATGCAATTAACAGCCAAAAAGTACTAAATGATTTAAGAACTGAAAATATCCAGTCGTTTTAAACAACTTAATAGTAAATTTGAAAAACTTTGGAAGTAAAGTCATTTGCTGTACTCATTTTTTCAGAGAAGACCTACATAACTCAATTGTTGCAATTTTTAGCCAAGTAAACACTGATAGAATTCTCTGCAAAGAGAAGAATCCTGAGTAAGGTTAGGTATTTGTGAATACCCAAAAGAGTCAGCTGTATACTCAAGAAAAGAAAATGTGGTAAAACATGAGTTTGTTTTTGCAGCATGTTTCATTATATTTTAATTGAAAACAGAAAATAGAGCAATTCAACTTTAGCTAGCATGTATCTATTGTATTATATTTTTTTATTAAGGAAATGAACATTACAAAAATCTTTACATAAAATTTTAAACCTAATGGACATATTTATCTACAAAAAACATTTTTCCCTCCTAACAGCATGATTATTATTCAAGAAGTTTGCCCAACTGTCAACTGCACTGACGTTTTTCTGAATCCAAATCTGATAAGTTAAGTGCCCAAAATAATTGTTTTTTTAAAATCATCTGACTGTAAATCAAAAAGTTACTTTAACTTTCTTAATTGTCCAATGGACTTTTTTAAGGGTTTTAAAAATGTATATTAATTTTCAATATTAGTATTCTTTCAATTGTGTTTTAATAAAAAAAAAAAACATGCATTCATGCTCTTCAATCTTTAAATTAAGTCTTTACAAAGCTTTAGTTTTTCAAAATCTATTGGGTACAGTATTGTAATTTTTTTTTTTAAAAATAAAAAACTGCAAGCACCTAATAAAAAGTATGTTATTTCTAGCACTGGTGATTAAAGAAAAATAGTGAAAACAAGGCAAGCAGACTAGGGAGCACTGAGTGGTGCCTATCTGTTTACCCTAGAGAGTTTGTAGTAGTCTAGGAGGTCAGGGCGGTGGCGATGGATCAGTGCACAGAAGGCTAACCCATCTTTCCAGCTGAAATGTTTATAGATTATGATCTGGGTTAATATATCACCTAAGTAACAACAAATATGGATGGATAACCTGTTAAATAGCAGTTTGTTATATATTTTGATTTTTTTTTTAAAGTTACTGAGGTATTGATTTCATAAACCATAAAGAAAGATGTTTAATTATTTCTACAAAATATTAAACTAAGCAGCATTTCAGCTCCCCCCCCCCTATTTAACAGACTATATTATCTCATGCTACTCTTTCAAAAAAAAAAAAGCATCATATACTTAACACCAAATATGAAATGACCTATAGAAGTTACAGCAAAACCAATTTTATAAATGTTTAGAATGACAATATTGATTATTATATAGTCAAGATTTACACATATTAAACCATTTTTTTCTTAACATGCTTTTAGATTCTTCAGCATTTATTATTGTTAAAAATTTGTTTCTTTTCATTTGTTTTCCGATCCTTTTTTAATTTGACAAGTGTTGTTTAAAAAAAATTGCCTCTGCGTAGTCAATATCATTTAATGAAGTTTCATTAGTTTTTAATTCCATAAGTTAATTATTCACCCCCAAAATAACTTAATAAGATAGTTTGTAGCCACATCATTGAATGTCATTTGAAATTGAGAAGGACATAACAAACCCACATTCTGACTTGGGAAATTTTTTCTTTCTTTTTGAACCAAAAAACTTATTTTAACAGGGTTATCTCTTTACCTTCCTGCAACCTTTCCCACCTACACAAAATAGCACCTTTTTTTTCTATTCACCCTTCAAGTAACTTCCATTTTCTTTTAGTTGTGTAATTAGATCTAACTTGTTTCTAAAATAAAACCACAATTTCTTCTGTCTACCTGGAGCTTAAGGAACTGTGTTGATGAAAACCATGTAGGAGAACATGTACATACTTTTCCCCCCAGCTTAACTCAGGGTTTGACACATTAGGTGCCAATAGGTGTTGGGTGCTTCAGATTGCATCTGTTACACTAACCTTTCCAAAGGTTCCCTGCTTGCTCTCATAGCTTTTCTATACCCTTTACCTTTCTAACATACCTATAGCTATTGGCTTATTCAATAACAAATATATGCTATAAAGAAGTTTTTTAATCAAATGGGGGAAAGTATACTAGTGTTTGATAATAAACCTTTATTTTATTCAATCATGTACATATTCTACACTAATATAAAACTGAAACAATCCTTTTCTACAAAGCAAAGAATAACCATGGATGGGGAGAATTATATACCTGAGGTGAAAGTTCTGTACATTAACATTTTTGTAAGGAGCTGTTTTTCTTTGGCACCACAACAAAAGACCTTCTTTGGCTGTTAATTCTGTCAACAACAAAAAATAAGTCTAAAAATTGGATCAATAAAGTACGTTGTTACATGTCTTTTAAAGAATATTAATTGCTAGAACACTGAGACCAATACTCTTCTTCAATTAATGTTATAATTTAACATAAACAACAATAGTGATGCTACTAAACTATTCCTGATCCGACTTAAAAGATGCAAAATTTTTCAATTTTATTTGGAAAAGAACTTACATCAAACAAAAAAGATTGAAAATAATAAATCATTTCACCTTCTACTGTGATGTCTTGAATAGCAAAACGGAGGATGATGGTCCAGATCATACCCAATGTCATCTTTACATTTCCATCCACAATTTCTGAATGAAACAGGGACCATTTAAGTTTGTTACACTTAGCAATTAAATAACATAATATTTATTTTAATTATATTTAGGTTGGTGACTTTAATCACAGGACAGATAAAAAGAAAACTATAAACAAGACAAGTTTCTCTAGTTAGGTGGTGTTATTTTTTTGCTATAGGATACTACTAAATAATAAATTGATGCATAACAAAATATAATAACAGTCCAAAATAGTTTTTAAAAAATAGGTCAGGACACCCCCTCAATAAAAAAACCAACCTTTTAATTTCCACCCTCTTCTACCATACCATTTTCATCTGAAAACTAGCTTGTTTTCCTATCATCTTAAACCCCCCCCCCCCCCCCAATGATTAGGTGGCCCTGTTTCACCATATTTAGACTACTACCCAATAGTGACAAGATGAATCACTTAAACTTAAAAATTATTAATAGGGGGGGGGGGTTACAGGAGCAAGAATTGGTAGGTAGGCTACCGCCAGCCTAGGAAATTTGGAAATTAAAAAGACTAGAGAAACCATCCATGCAAAAATAAAAATGTTCAAGCATGAGATGAGCTAAACATGCCATAAAAGTATTAAAAGCTTTGATCATAATCTGTCGTTTAAATTATATCCCCTTGGTATTAATACAGAATGGCAGGGAGATGGTGCTATTAAGAGCAAGATGTTGCTTTCCCTGTACGTGGCTCAGGTCAAAGAATGTGTGCATGCAAGGTCGTTTTTGCACACAGCAACAGGCACGTGCAAAGTAATCTCTTGGCAAACATGTACACACCACATATACGAGTATACAGGAGCTTACACGCAGCTCAAGCTGCGTGTGTGTCTGAGTGAAAATAGAATGTGCTTAACTGATTCAAAGAATGATAACACTTGATGATGGGAGGAAAGATGGGGGGGAGGAAAATAAAACAAACCACCAAGCTTTTAGTGGACCAACTGTGACCAAGGTCACGGGGTAGCTTGTACAGCATTTTGAAGTCATTAACACGGGGTACGTTGATAATGCTACATTGACACCAGTTTTATGAGCAATAAAACAAAAGAGCCTGCACTACAAGTGGAAATGTGCGTGTAAGTAAAGCAAACAGAGCTATGATAATAGCATGTAACATACGATAGAAGAAGCAGCTTACACAAACTTTTAACTACCAGTAGAGCTACACGTTTAATTGTAAAAAGGAGATGGGGGGGGGGGGGGGGGGGCGCAGAGAAAGTGCGATCAAAAACGTAAAACTTCATACGACATCAGAAAAGCTGGAGGCTAATGATAAATCTACCTGTGTTGAACACGTTCCCCTCCCCCTACCTGAATTGTTTTATCGACCTTTCTACCTTGCTGCAGAAAACATTGCTGTTTCGGCAGTTTTACAACTATTCTGTTAGCTGAAACTATTGTTATTAGCAAATTACAAGAAAACGGTTTTTACATGTTTCGGGTCGGACAGTTTTGAACTGTATTTAGAAGCGGGTTTGCGATACTAAATGTAATTGTATGATGTAGTGCTAAATATAAATCAAGATTAACATATTGTAATGCTTTTGACAAACTACGTAAGAAGTACTGCAGAACAATTAGCGATCTCAGTTGCTATATATCCCGTGTGTAACATTGACACTACAACGCTAATTCTACTTTTATTAATTGTCATCCAGCCAGCCTCACTCGTGACTAACGTGTACATTTCAATGACCATATAAGGAAGTGGTATACACAAGAAACCTGCGACAGTAAACCTCGCTCTAGTTCACACAACAACACACAACACCGTACTTGACGGGACAACACAGTCTACTTTCAAATCTAGCTTGACTTTAAGTACATCAAAGCTTCATCTTTACTTCAACCTGAATACTCCAAAAACTCGATCTTCCATTGGTTAACTACCATCGCATTAAGCTTTTAAGGGAAAAACGCAGCCTTATTCAGTTTGTCTACAAAACAAACGTGGCTCGGTTACACATTAAACACGCAACAACTACATTGTCAGGTCTTAAATGTCTCATAAACGAGTAAAAGATTTTAATCATCATTGTAGGGAACGAATATGAATAAGCCTCCCATAAACGACGTAAAGTAATAAGTGCGGGACGATGCAGTGGCCAACTTTTAATTTAAAAAAAAAAAAAAAAACAACTGCTAAATATTTTAATTTCAGGGATTCCGTAAATAAGCTTAGGGCTGCGCCACAGACGCTATAACTATATTTATCTCCCCACTCCACATCGTCACTAAAGCCAGACCCCACCCCTAAAATGACGTCACACATCAGCCTTCCCCTTTACTCCCTTCAAAACAAACTGTTTTTTAAACATCCATTTTTTCCTTAATATATATGCTGAGCTCGCTCAACATTGCGAATATTGATCGATTTAAATTACAATTCACAAAAAGGAGTGTTACCACGGGTCGTCCTTATTGTACGGCGTGGTGAAACTCCAAACAGCTGACCCCAAACGTTGCCAGCCTGTCAGTGGTAGATCCATTAATTGGGGAAAATTGGGGATATTGCTGACCGCACAATCCTTTGAAAAGCTCAAGTCAAAAATAGATACTCCACTTTATATTCCTTATTAGGCCGTCAAATCATATTGATGTTTCCCTTTACACAGCAATAATGTTGCAACATATTTAATGTACGATACAATAGGTCGAGGAGAGAAAATCGGCCTAGATCTAAATTCACGTGACATTTTCCTTGCAGGTTAGGCCCAGATCACCCTATTAATGCAGCGCTTCGCCAAAAATATAAAACACGTTCCAGATCAATGATAAATGTACACCTTACAATCTACCCCACGCCATTTAGATCATAAGAAGAGGAATTGTGTGTGGGGACCCACTTTCTAATGGACACAGCTATTTATATCAAGCCTCAAACCTTGCTACAGATGCCAACTATAGAAGAAAAACCAAACATCGCCGAAAGACACTACAGTATTGTATCGGGGGTTGTCGCGGCCACAATAATTTGACCTATGTAAGTAAATGTCCTCTGATCCAAATATAGAAAAAAATTCCGGCATCCCCCCCCCCCCCCGACACGGTGAAGGGGTCACTATGAGGTCATAGTGGTCTAGACTTCAGTATGCTTGTTTAATACGTCATAGCATGAACAGTGATGTGACTTATACCCCCCCCACCCTCCTTACCCAGCAGTACAAACTACGTACTTGGGGTCACGGTGAGTTCACACAAGTGACCATAGTTACAAGTAGGGGCGGGGTAGTCTATCTTTAATCGTCAGCATAATTTTGCAAAGATTGCAAAAAACAGTTTTAAAAAAGGTGGATTATTTTTTAAAGTGGTCATCCATTTATGAGGTCCACATGTGGGGGGGGGGGGATTGACTCATGCGGACGTCCACAAGTTACACTTAACATCGAAGTGCTTACATTCTAAAACAAACATAAAACTTGTAAAAAACGTGTACAAAGTAAAATTAAGACAACTGTGCTTGTGTTTTAAAAACCATCACAGCGTGTAAACAAAACACAGTATTTTTATCTACCCTAACATTATTGCCAGAGCGTGTCGTCGCACTTTCTAAAACCCTCCTCAAGAATTTCCGGAGGGTGACGTCATTTATGGACGACTCCTACATTAAATAGTACCTCAAAAATATAGGTATGAACCCAGAAGGCCTTGCGACTCATTAATCCTATAAATGCTAATACTTATTATCACATCCAACGCAAGTGTAAGCGCGTGGACAGGGGGCGAAGGGGGATTAAAATCCCAATTTTTTTGGTCGTCACAAATGGATGACCCCCTTACAGACGGATAAAGAATATCTAAACTACCACTCAAACACCTCCCCCATAAATTTTGGTTATGACTGCCTGCATGCAAACTCAAACAATGAAAAATAGCGGGTAATATCGAGACAATTTTTAAATACTCGAACACATTCACACGGCCACGAAAATCTCTTCCCTCCCCCTTCCCCTCCAAATTACTAGTAGCAACTGAGCATCCGTAATTTTTCTGCGAACCAGCGAAAAACGTCACAAGTGTAAACCCGCGCGAAATCGCGGGGGAGGGAGAGAGAGAGAGAGAGAAAGATAGAAATCGGAATAATTCACTTAAAAATAGCAATTTTTAAGTTGGAAAATATGGACTTCGTGGAGAATTTGTGTTTCTAAAACTGGATTCCACTTTTAAAAAATCCAGCCAAAAAACTAGCGATTTTTCAGACTTTTTAAAGTCTGAAATTCAATTTTCTAATTAACAAACTTTTTCCAGACTCCGCACGAACCCTGTGTATTATTAAAAGTTTAAGTACTTAAAAATTGATTAAAAATCGTGTCTATAACCCGAGGTGCCATCCCCCGTAGTGTTATATAAGAATTTTCCGAAAAAGTTAAGGGGAGATTACTCCCGCTTTATTAATATCTATATCGTCCGCACTGACAAAATCCGATGAGTCGGGTGTGTGTAGTCACTTCCGCTGTATCACTGAGGCTGACTTACCAAACCACTGGGGTTCGACCGAATCCAGGTTAAGAACCAGTCTTAAACAGGGTTTCTTCCAGTCTACCCCACCCCCCCCCCCCCCCCCGAACGAGATGGATTTTATATAGTAAACATACATTTTTACAAGTGTCGTCGTCGTCGTCGTCCCCCCCCCCCCCCCCGAAGAATAAAGTCTGGAAGAAACACTGGTTGCCTCCTGAATTCCAATAAATCTCACGATGCTTTCGCACATCTAAACCTATCATACACATTATTCACGAGAACACAATGATTCAAACTAAAAACAATTGTACTTTAACGAATTGTCCCCACGCGTCTAGTTATTATTTTCAAAGTCTTAATAACATGCGATGTGCTGTAAATGTGAAAAGATTGCCCCCCCCCCCCCCACGTAGAACCAGTATAAAAGATGCACCACCTCCCAAGATAAAAATATTCCTCTCTTTTATGTTTTTTCCCCGCCCCGTCGCAGGTCTGATACTAATTATCAGCTTGTTTTACATTAGAACTACAGTTGGTTTGAATATTTTGGGCTGATTCGATTTCGCACAGCTAACAGTTTGTAGGTGAAAGACTTGATTAACTTTTTAGTTTGATGAACAGATCGTATGACTATCCCAGTAACAGCTTCAATTATGACTGTATAGGGGCTTATCGACGTATTTCATGCTATTTCTGTGCTTGAATAGCTACTCTTTAACACTGACTCTTAGCTCTTTTTTTTATTACTTAAAACACACACCAAGTCCGCTAATTCAACTAAAATACGCAGCATGTCCTTTAGTACCGCCACCCAGTTCAGTAGCGCTGACACACCAGTATAGATCGACCAGTTGTAATGACAGGGCTGATTATGGTATCTTATAAAATGCATAGATTTGTATGTAATGACGGAACGAGACGGTAATTTAAGAGACACATAACATTATCTGGACTACATTTCTGAAATAGATGACAATGTGGTCACTATGTTCACGAGCTATGGTCAACATATTTAGCCACCTCCTCCACCCACACAAACAAGCTTTCATAAGCGGTCTAAAAATACCAACGATTATCTGAGGGGGGGGAAAAGGAGCGACCCGAATGAACTACCTACACAGGTAGTACAATATTTACTTAAAAAAATAACATTCCAGTATCATTCACCACAGTGTAAGGCAAAGTACCTAACAGAATGTAGGCGGGAAATCAAGAACAACCAATCAACGGCACGATTATTTAAACGCATGTAGTGTTGAACTATTTTACGCCTCAGTACGCCGTCGACACTCCCTCTATGAAGCGTATCAAATTTGTAGAACGATTTTTAAATTGTTATCATAGCCCCTTAAAAGGATTTCAAGTTTAGTAGCTGCAACGTGTGTAACAGGCTGTGTAGCCTGTTTTAGCTACAGGATAAGGACTCAATATTAAATTCCATTGCCGTAAGCACTGTATCATAAAAGCTGAACTAACCAGACGACTTGACGAATGCGGAAATAAGTGACCCAAATAGAACGACACTTTTATGGGGCATAATGTGTAGCTAAAACTGCCTAAAACACACACGATAACGTGTAAATATTAAAGGCTCTAGCCATCCTTTAGGTGATGTGTTTATGCAGTTAACCAGATGTTACAGGATAGTCATGAAACAGAAGAAAACATTGGGATACGTAGTGAATGCAGATCAAGCAGTGACTGTTTATTTTAACAAGCAATTCAGTTTTACCCATTTAACGGAGAGGACTTAATTACAATATAAACTTATAAAAAAAATAAAATCTACTGAGATAACAAGGAGTGACTATCACCAAACATTGCATTATCCTATAATCAACCCACTAGCAGTCAGCTGTCTGACAAAATAGGTGACAAAGATTCAGGATGACCTGCCTAAAAACGGAAAGGCTGACAATGCACTGTCTTTCTAGATTAGCCTAGGCCTACATCAGTTAGGCTAAAACAGAGACCCATTTAACATTAACATCATGCTTATTATCAGAACAGGTATCACACCTAAATATAGACAACAGCACATGTAACACAGGTGACAAACAATGACAATTGAATCACACAAAATTGGGTTGTATTAAACTAATGTTATGCTTGCCTGAACACAATGAAAATAAGTCTGTATTAGCAATTTAAACATGCTTAGCCCTTCAAAAAACAAAAACACAGGAATAATTATTATAAACAGTGTTTACCTTCAGCGCCTATTGAAACTAGTTTCACTCCTTTGGAGGCTATGAAATCCAAAGCCTTATTGACGTTGGCTATTTTATGAAAGCGCATTTTGCCTCTGTCTGGTTTTGGTAAATGCTCTCCAGAGATGACTTCTAACAATAACATAAGTTTGAGTCCATTTCGAAAATCCTCCTCTATATTTTCTATTTGGTTTTGTGGACCAGTCTTTCGAAGGTGAGAGTTGCACCATGCTGTAAAAGTCTGAAAGCAAGTGTTTATACAAAATGACGTTAATTACTTAAAAACAGTGACCAATGGAAGATGGATGGTTTTAGGATAACCATACCATTGATTTAATTCAAGCAGGAAATATTTTTATACAATAACATCTTTAGGCTCCTACAAAGTGCATTGTTACACAAGAAATAATGTATTTACACAATGCTCCGGCCATTTGTAATTAACCACTAGTTTTTAAATGAGGCAGCATGATAAAAATAATTAAAACAGCAAACTGCAAAATAGCAAGTTGTAGTATATTATCACCAATTAAAGTATCATGAATATTTTGTAATGGCCAAGCAAAAAGTATTAAGTTTGCCTATTCACCAGCACTATTGTTTTCCTCCTCTATTTCTATTAAGTTGCAAAAAAAAAAAAAAGCTTTTACTTAAATTTAATATAGTAACTCTACTATTTTACAGATTGCCCTTTAACAACAAGTCTGAAAATAGCTACAATTAACACAATAAGGACAGGGATGAAAAAGCAAATAAGAAAGTTATGCTATAAAATTAAGCAGTAAAAATATAGGCATAATAATGTACAAATATAATTGTTTTGTTAAACCTAGATCAATAGACTTGACTCACAGGGAAAATTGATTTTTCCCAAACTAATGACTAGTACACAACTCATTCTGTGGGTCACATTACTCATTGGAAAATGCCAAACTAAATTCCCCAATATTGATTTTTATTTACATAAACAAACAGGTTTTAAGTTATAGTTACATTTGTAGTTATATTTTAACTAAGTTGACTAGAATGTCAATACTGAAACCTGCTCCTAACACAAGCATTTCAGTTGATTTTGGTCACTGAAGTTCCTGAGATTAAAAAGTGTAGTGGATTTTAGAACCTTCTTACACTGAAAATCATAAAGTTTATTTACTGTTCAACTTTTTTTTTTTGAATGAATATATTTTGTAATAGTTATTTAAGTGGTAAATGTGTGTTTGCTACATTACTACAGTATGCAAAACCAGCACACAATATTTAAACTCAAAGAATGCTACTTGCTAAATAATTTTATAAGAAATAATTAGAAATGAATAAAGATGGGCCTATTTCTTTTTAATATAGTTGCTTTGTAGGATACACAAATAGCAATGTTAATCATTAGTATATTCTTTACATATGACCCTTTAAAAATATGACTAGGTATTTTAAATATGGGGCTGCTATAGAGAAAGTACATATTATTGGAAAGTCCAAAAATTCTATTATCATTATTTAGCACACTCAGTCTGTATGGGGTTTTACACTAACATCATTAGATGCTGCCAATATTTTACTATCTCCTTCAGACAAAATACCTGGCAGAGTACCAAAACCTCTCTACTGACTAAAATTATCCCATCTTAGACTGCTGTTTGCCAGTACTATTTTGCTAAGTTAGCATCTCTAAGGTGTTTGATCTTGTTAATAAATTACCAGCACAGAAACTGTACAGAAACTCAGCTTATAAATTTAAGCAATATTTGTTGGAAAGAATATGTATAGTATGGTGTTAGCTGCAGTGAATCATAGCCAAGCAACATCATAATATAGAAAATGTTGGGTGTGTTTAATATTTATTTAGGGTTTAATCAGACATACTGAGTAACCAAGTTGTCTAGACTCTTAAACTAACATGATTAGAAATAATTAATATACATTAGAACTGAAGCTGAAAAAACCTGGTTTCTAGGTAAAGAACATAATTATTGTGAGGTCTAATTACCCATGAATTTTTTTTAAAAATCACATTTTTTAAACAAGTTGCTGAGAATTAGAATAATTTTAGTTTTGTATTTTTGGCTAGTAAGTAGATCTATAAAATGTTTAGGGAAAAACAACATTTAAATGAAAGTAGAAATAAATGCCTAATAATTATTATGCCTTGGCCTAATTGTTATTTTTGAGATTAAAGAATTATGGGAATGTAAAATACTTTTGAAAATTAATAATGAATAACTATTTAACCTGCCACATCTTTTTGTTTTAAAATTAAAACATCTTTATCATTTTATGTGGTGTAAAAAAGCAATAGCCTAAACTGCAGATGTGTTAGTAAAGTTGGTATTAGGTCTAATAGTAATACCAACAGCTTTAGCCCTAATTACTACAACATGTGAATGGGTTGTAACCAGTTTTTAAAAAGTTCTTTGCTAAACCAAAATACTAATCCTAGCTCCAGACCTAGTGTATAAATTAAAAGAGCAGGGACCCATTCAAACATTTAGTTTTTAGATCCTAGATTTCAAGATCTAGGATCTTGATTCTATCATTGTATTGTACTAATTGTAGCTAACTTACTAGATCTAGATCTAGAAATCTAGATCTATTTCTAGAGCTATTGTATTAGTAATATTACGTTGCCTATTTTTACTATTTTTATGTCAACACTTTGATCGGTTTTGTTTGAAAATATTTAAAGATCAATGTTAGTTGTCTTTTTAAAATAGTAAAACATCAGATAGATCTATACTTAGATGTAGTTTGGGGGAAAATGTTTTTAAAAAAAAGAAATAGCAATAACCCTACTGCTATTACTACTACAATAAGACCAACGGTACAAGCCCCGCCCCTCGGAGTGCCTCATCCATATTAGGTGTGCAATCAAACCTCTCGCGGCAATGGCGACTGCCATCGATGTTTACGATTAAAATACGTCGAACATACGCGTAACAAATGTGTAATAAATATAAAAACAAAATAACGTTTTTATTTAATAGGTCGATACTCATTTGTTGGAGTAACATTTATAATTTTTTTGAAATACTGAACAAAATAGTCGCTATCATACTGACCTTTTTCTGCTGCTTTTCCCATGCCGGGTCGAGTAATCCTTCCCTGTCCCACTCTTCTTCCTCCTCCATATATCCATCGTATTCTGGCTCCATGGTTTAAAATAAGTTGTTCCTCTCCTCCCTGAACTCCTAGATACTTATAAAATTTAAAGATGTAATTTTGGAGGCCAAAAAGACAGCAACTAGACCAGTACACAAGTAACGGGGATATCACCACCCCGCCAGGAGATGCAAGTCACGTGACCTTTGCCGGAAATGAATCCTAGGCCTACGGAGTAGAGTTGCGTTGCTCCAAGTTTCCGTGTCAGAGTTCATGTGTATGTATTTTCAAAAGGGGGCGGGGATATATTATTATTTACTTTTAAACGCCAAATAAGTAAACTTTGCTGGGAATTATATATTTTTGAAATAATACAAAGATGAATTTAGGACAATAGCACAGTCTGAACTTAAGTTTCAACCTAAATTTGCATATTTGCTTGGCTGTTCTGTTAGTAGAGTAACCGTTAATTCCCCCTTCCTTGCTAAAAAAAAAGTTTACCGTGCGTGTTACGTGTAAAACTATACACAATAAACATATTAAAAATTATTGTTATTTATCAAGTCTTTATTAAAATATTGAACATAATTTTCAAGAGATTTTCAAAGATCTTTTCATTTGCTAATCTACGTTTGTCTTAATATGAAAAACATGTTCTTACCTAAGAAAGTGTATGCAAGGCTAGATACTAGATAGATCTAGAAAAAATTGATACGAAAATTTAATTTAGGTTGTGTATTTTTTCAGATCATTTAGATTTCCTCCACGAGTCGCGCTATGCGAGGATTAATTCCTTTTCTTAAGGCTTAGAACATTCAACATATATGCTAGTTCTTCCAAACCCTCTTTAAAAGATTGTCACCGACCAGCGGCCTCCACATTCAAATAATTTGAATAACACTAAAAACAGGCGTAAAATGCAATTTCGAACAATGGAACATATTATATAATAATAATCAGCGTATATAATATAGGGACTATAAATATATACATTAAGCATTTGGCTATTTATAGCCTATATATAGAGGCTATATATAGGGCCTATATATATGGCATATATATATATATATATATATATATATATATATATATATATATATATATATATATATATATATATATATATATTTATATATATATATATATATATATATATATATATATATATATATATATATATATATATATATATATATATATATATATATAAGCGAAAAAATATGGCAATTGGAAAGTTATCTTATATTGAACTGCTTATTTTCTAATCGTTTACTATTTTCTTACATGTCGACGTCGTTTTGATTATTGCTTGTTTGTGTAAACCATATTAATTACAGAACCGTTTTAATTGAGTTATATTGTGTATTTTTTTCACCCGTAATTAAATGCAACTGCTTTTTAAATTAATTGATTTCAAACGCAGAATCATTTTTCTTCTAATGCATTGAATGAATGAAATATGTCTAACCACACGCAAAGATGAATCATTTGGATAGACTCTGATAAGACAATTACCCAAGTTCGTTTACTTACTGTTACCCTGGTTTAATTATTTCAATTGAAAGTTTCTTTAACTACTAAAAATGTGCTGAAGATTGTTATAAATATTGAAACTTGACTTTTAGCCATATATATATATATATATATATATATAATATATATATATATATATATATATATATATATATATATATATATATATAGACCTATATATATAATATAGGCCTATATATATTTATATATAATTATATGTATATATTCATGTTTATATATGCCTATATGTGTATGAAAAATAATCAATTTAACGCGTGTTGTATGCGGTTTATAAGCGATACAGATAGTGAATTATTAACAAATTAATATCAACATAAGTGGAGTTTATAGACCTGTTATAAATATTGAATATACAAATATGTTCATTGTAATACAAATAATGTAATTGATTATTATTGGTAAAAGATACTGTCTAAGAATTACACCCCTATCCATTCAACCACCTATTCTATTCGTCTCTCATATAAATATATTTTTTACAGTAAATACACGATGTGGAACAGCTCCTAGATGATTGATAGGGAATGGGAGGAGCCAGATTAGAAGGGAATTCCGAGCACATGGATGCTATTTTCGTCCCAAACGGTGAGGTGAGTTTATTTTTGGAACACGAGATCGAGAGTGTATTTCAGTCATTAAAGTATTCTATATTTGCAAAGTGTAGGAATTTTATTCAGGGGAGTAAACTCGAATTCACACCACGCGTTTACGCCTGATCTAATTAAAAATTAAAAAAAAAAAAAAAAAAAGAACTGACAGAGCAGCAGCCGTCCTTATTTAAAAAAAAAAAAAAACTTTTATGGAATAGATCTAGCATCTAATGAAACTAACACATTGTTAAAGCTAATATATTTTCTGTTCGCTCAAGGTCAACACACTAACATTCTAACAATCTTGTTACAGTCGTCCATATATGCCGTCAGTGACGTCACACTCCTGAGTTGGGAGAGGGGTGAAGAAGATTCGGACTTTTGAGATGATTTATGACGATGGGAAAGGGGGGGGGGGGACTGGATTTTATCCGTTATATTGCTTTTTTAGAAAGACTTTTTTTTAAAATATTAATTTTAAAAGTCTGAAAGAAACACTGGACCGAGATAAGTAGGCCTATATATTTTAGAGCTATTGCTGTTTTAAAAACATGTCATTTTGAGGAGGGGGAGGGATAGTAGAATGAAGTGTTACGTCATTATGGAGAGGGGGGGGGGGGGCTTTTTGTGACAACGTATGACAATGGGGGAGGGAAAGATACTTTTTTCCATCGATGACCTCCGCGGGCTAGAGAGGATAACGTTACACTGTATAAAACTTAGAGCTCTTGGTCATCAGCTGCTCAGATCTTTGTGGAATCCGTGTGGGTTTGTGCTAGCATAGTGGCATATGAGTGATATGAAGTAAAAAAAAAAAACACAACACATTCTAGCATTTTCCATAAGGCTTTTAACATGTGATGATAGGACAATGTTTTTGTTGACAGAAAGTTTGTATATCCTTACTGTATAGCTAGAAGTAAATTGAGTTGCACGTATTATATGTCTAATTAACTAAATTGCTTAACATTTTCTTCTTCGTTCTTAATTATAAATTTGTAAGGGACTTTCCCAATACAGTTCTGTAATACGTGTCAACATGCAGAGGCGTAGCGAGGGGGGGGGGGGGCGGACCGCACCGGGTGACACCATTTAGGGGGGTGACACCAAGGTGAAAAATAGCAAAATATATAGAGAAAAACTTGATGGGGGGGGGGTGCAAATCGAAAGTTTGAAAGTTTGTCCCCGGGAAGGGTCGCTACGCCTCTGGGGGTGACACCATTAAGTGCCGCACCGGGTGACACCGGACCTCGCTACGCCACTGTCAACATGTAATTCGCCATTCGATTTCAGTGTCAGCATGTAATGCACCATACGATTTCAGTGTGCATTTCTTACTGATGTCTGAATCTCATAGCTTTTGTCCATACAAGAACAAACTACACGGCAGCAGTTGTTTGGTTTTGGCGTTGTCAGCCTCATCTGCCCGTGGATTCGAAGTTCTAACTTTTCGGGTTAGCAACCACTAGCTTTACAAACACGACCACTCCGCTCCTCTTAACCGAAATAGCAATTTAAAAAATAAGAGCAAGGTCAAGTATGTTTTGATTGATAGGCTAAACATGGCATTTACTGCGGGGTATTACAATGTTAATAGTGACTTGTTTTATTTTTGTTATGATGTCTGCAGTAATTCCTTGTGTTACTCTGTGACGTAATTGTTCGATTAATCACGACTTCCCCCAAGTCTTCCACCCCCACTTATTCTGCACCATGACGTAATCACACCGTGAATGGCGGAACTGCACCAATCGTGCCCTTAACGCTATACATTATTTTTGTACTCGTAAACGGCGCAGGAATGCAACAATAACTGTATCTAGACCGGTATGGCGTGTAGAAATGGAACAATAACTGTATCTAGACCGATATGGCGTGTAGAAATGAAACAATAACCGTACTGAGATCGAGCAAAACTCGGTACAGTGTATAGCTGTACCCAGATCGGTACAGTGTAGGCTGCATGCAAAGCAAAATACACAGATCCGTACAATAAGCATCCAATGATACCGGTGCAAAGCATCGTGATTTGCACTGTATGATGATGTAATATGGTGTACGCTGTATAAAGATGTGTATAGTGATGTTATACTGCCTATAGGGTATAGTGATGTAATATGGTCTTCACTATATAATTATGAAATATGGTCTATACAGTATAATGATGTGTACATTGATGTTATACTATATAGGCCTACACTGTATAATGATGGAATACGGCCTACGGTGTATAGCGATGTTATACTGTCTATGGCGTATAGGGTATAGTGATGTAAAACGGCCTTCACTGTAGGCCTGCAATGTTGTAAGCGGCGTGTACTATATAGTTATGTAAATGTAATATAGCCTTTGTGTGTAGTATAAAGTGATGTAATACGGCCTATAAAGTGATGTAATACGGCCTGTAATACAGCCTATAAAGTGATGTAATACAGCATATAAAGTGATGTAATACGGCATGTAATACAGCCTATAAAGTGATGTATTACAGCCTATAAAGTGATGTAATACGGCCTATAAAGTGATGTAATATGGCCTGTAGTATAAAGTGATGTAATACGGCCTATAAAGTGATGTAATAAGCCTATAAAGTGATGTAATACGGCCTATAAAATGAGATGTAATAAGCCTATAAAGTGATGTAATTCGACCTATAAAGTGATGTAATACGGCCTATAAAGTAATGTAATACGTCCTATAAAGTGATGTAATAAGCCTATAAAATGATGTAATAAGCCTATAAAATGATGTAATAAGCCTATAAAGTGATGTAATTCGGCCTATAAAGTGATGTATACGGCCTATAAAGTAATGTAATACGGCCATAAAGTAATGTAATACGGCCTATAAAGTGATGTAATACGGCCTGTAGTATAAAGTGATGTAATTATACCTATAAAGTGATGTAATACGGCCTATAAAGTAATGTAATACGGCCTGTAGTATAAAGTAATGTAATACGGCCTGTAGTGTAAAGTAATGTAATACGGCCTGTAGTATAAAGTAATGTAATACGGTCTGAATGGACCAGGTTTGTCCCCATAAATTAAAAGATGCAGGCATTCAGCTCACCGGTAAAAAAAAAATCCCCCACAGATAACGTTCTGCGATGTTTATTTCTGGGCATGGGCGTCTGCGGTAATTAGGGGGTGGGGATGGGTGGCTAAATACATTCCAGGACTGGGGTGGGAGAAATTGCATGAGCCCCATTTAAATGAACCCATAATTATGTGAGTTAAGTATCTATCGAACTGTCTTTTCCACCCTACCTCCCACCACGGACATTCCCGTTAAAAAAAAATTTAAAATAGCTTCGTCAACTTTAAATCTACAACTTGCTTGTAGAGCATGCACGTCCCTAGAATAAAATATGGCCGTCCACTATGTTGTAAGCTGCTGCATTACTTCAGTCAACATTTAATGAAGGCGCGCGTTTAAAGCAGACGACGAGCGCTTAGGTTTTTTTTTTAAATTCCTCTGAGATTTGTCACCTGTACACAGCTCACAACAAACGCAGCTAGAGCAATCTAACATCGGATGCCGGCGATCGAGCCGTTGCTTGCTTGCTGATTTCACGCCGAGTACATTTAGCTTTGTTGAACCCAACATATGCCCCACCTGTCGATTTAAATACATTTCGCTTGTCGGTCTAGTTGTAACACGCTGCTTATGAATGTAGCCTAATCGCAATGTGAATCAGCGCTACTTGTAGCCTACACACCGCAACCACAATAACCCTCAGTTCTAGCGTCGGCTGGTTTGAGTTTAGTGTAGCGCGACCTCACAATGGTCAGGTTATGAGCCTTATCAACAGTGGATATCGTGTAGGCTTATGACAGGTGCCTGATACCTGCGGCAGGTACAATCTGTAGGTGAGCTACAGACGCGCGTGTCCTGGTCGACCTCTGTCTGGCAAAATGGGTCGTTGATGAATTTTGTGCCGCACGCAAACAGCGCTACATGAGCAGATGACTCAGTGCTGGCGCCCACTTCACATTTCACCGGCCGATGCTGCACTTCTCGTGTGCTGCTGAGTACATACATGTAAACAAAAGCTCACACATCTTTCATGCTTATAAACACATTTTTTTTTCTATACTCGTATCCCAAAATAGATATAAGTTTAATAACAATTTATTGATTGTTTAAAAATCGATTTAAAATCAAGGTTAGAGTCTACATCTTTAAGCATGTTAAAACAATAAAGCTTAATGTACGTTTTGCTTGTAATACGAGTCTACATCACAAAGCACAGATTAAATATTAAAATATTCCCAATGATAAAATACTCTTCTATTTGCTACATCTACTGATACGGCCATCCGGGCCATTTAGTGTATAGTATAATCAGTGATTCTTCCAGACTTTTTTCTCCGGGGGGAAGGGGGGGCACTTGAAATTTTCGGGGGGGGGGGGTAGATTCCACCCTTGATTCCACCGTTGCTTTCACCGTTGATTCCACCGTTTGGACACGCCACTGACCAGACCGTGGTGATAACGACTGCAACAGATGGTTATTCAATGACATGGCTGAATGAGAAGCAGACAAAAATAATTAACAACGCTTTGAATTAGTTGCAAGTCAAGCCGTTTCGATTTATTATTGTAATTTTCTTATTATAATTCAAACGCACAATTTTCATATAGGCCAATCCGTAGGCCCATGTTCAAGTGGGTAGGCTTATATTCAGGTGGGTAGTTCTATATTCAGGTGGGTAGGCCAATGTTCAGGTGGGTAGGCCAATGTTCAGGTGGGTAGGTCCATGTTCAGGTGGGTAGGTCCATGTTCAGGTAGGTAGGTCCATGTTCAGGTGGGTAGGCCCATATTCAGGTGGGTAGGCCAATGTTCAGGTGGGTAGGTCCTTGTTCAGGTGGGTAGGTCCATGTTCAGGTGGGTAGTTCTATGTTCAGGTGGGTAGGTCCATGTTCAGGTGGGTAGGTACATGTTCAGGTGGGTAGGTACATGTTCAGGTGGGTAGGTCCATGTTCAGGTGGGTAGG